TTTATCGATACCGCTTATCGGTCCGGTCTTTTAACGGTACTCTTATCGGTTCTTTTGGAGAAAAAAATAAGGTAAACTAAACAAATTGTGAACAAAACTAACATTGCTTTTTAGGGGAGAGAGATCTCTCGCCTGGATTGGAAAGATCGAAAATACTAAAAGACGCATTTTGCACGCTTTTTGCATATTAGAAACGGAGTTGGCAACACTAAAACTGCAATATAATGTTTGTGTAGCAATAATACATATATTTTTTACATGTCTCCAGTACCGATAAAAATACCGGCAACGTCGGAGCTTAACGGTACCACGGTCTTTAATAATTCAGCCCCGGGGCCCGTTTAATACCGGGGCTCGGTACCCATCCCTATTGGTAAGAAGGGTTATGAGGTGGAGCTTGTAATGTTTTGAGTTATCAGTAATGTGCATTTTAAGGAAATGTAGTAATTATTTCAGTATTTAAAAAAAAAAAAAAGTGATTCTAGTCAACCATCATTATCCGTACACATTGTCCATTCAGTTGTCTGTACATAGAGGTTATATTTAACTATTTTTTTGTTCAGAAACGGTTTTATTGCCAGGTAGGTCCACACGTAGGAGGAATTTATAAATAATAAAAATATAGCAATAAAATAAAGCAGTAATTTACATCGAAATAGAATGCAATAAATTATAGAATATAAAATATGTGCAGTAAGCAATATTTAAACATTGTGTGCATTAATGTAATGCATATAGAGTCTGCGTTGTGTCAGTGGGGGGGCCGGGCCTTGTTGATGAGGCCGGTAGCAGAGGAGAATAAACTGTTCAGGTGGTGAGAGGTTTTGGTCCTGATCAGTGTTGGGACTAACGCGTTACTGTAACGCCGTTATTTTTGGCAGTAACTAGTACTCCAATGCATTACTTTTTAAATTCAGTAACTCAGTTACCGTTACTACATGGTGCGTTACTCCGTTACTGCGTTAGTTTTTTTTATAAAGTCAACAGCCAGGCGAACAGAGATGAGAACTGTACTTAAGTACAGTACTTGAGTAAATGTATATTTCCTGTGTCACATGCGGAGACGGGCTGTGGGCGTGTTTGTGTTGTTTACTAACAAGACTATCATGGCGGCGGCGGAGCTCAAGTCTAGTTTCTCCACCTGGAGATATTCTCACTATTTCACTTTTGTCGAGCACAAAGAAAAGAACGTTTCTGTTAAATGTAAGTTGTGTCCTGGCGGGTCAAAGATCCTATCTACTGCCCAAAACAGTCATTCAAATCTCTTAAAACAAATGCAAAAACAACATGCTGGACGAAGCTAGTAGCTAATACCACAGAGACTCAGCCGACGCCACTCCACCTCCACCTAAGCAACAGCGGCTGGATTTTAACCAAGGGACTGCTAGCCAGGGAAAAGTCGATAAAGCCATTGCACGGTATGTTGTAGAACACATGCAGGCTATTGCTACAGTGGAGTCACCCGCTTTCAGGGAGCTAGTTAGCATGATAGCATGTCCGGGCGGCACACGGCATATGGGACGGAAAACATTTTCCAACTACCTGGAGAAAGAATATATAAAACTGGAAAGCCAGCTAATATCGATGCAATCCAGATTGCATATAATGCATCATGTCAAGTTGATCAACAGATTGTATTATTCTCCAATGCAATAACAGTACTGAAATGAAGGCTATAAGGGCATTAATGGGAGCCCTTTTTTCAAGTAACTAAAACGTTACTTTTCACAGTAACGCATTACTTTTGGGTTTAAGTAACTAGTAAAGTAACTGAGTTACTTTTGACATGAAGTAACTAGTAATGGTAACTAGTTACTGGTTTTCAGTAACTAGCACAACACTGGTCCTGATGGAGCGCAGCCTCCTGCCAGAGGGGAGGGGGGTGAACAGTTTGTGTCCAGGGTAGGAGGGTTTAACTATTCTTAGTGTGAAGTTGGGTCCTTTTTTACCTTCATGATCAACCAAACCATAAAAATGTCCATCTTCATGGTGTGAAAGCCCAAATAATATGTTGCCTTGGTCAGTCTGTGCAATTATTTATCCAATAATAGCAATTTGATGACAGATTTCAAATTTGTATTCTCAACTTTTCTGTTATTTCCTAGATGAGGTGCGTACAGGAATATACCGTCAGCTATTTCACCCGGAACAGCTGATCTCCGGAAAGGAAGATGCAGCCAACAACTACGCCCGTGGACACTACACCATCGGCAAGGAGATCATTGACTCTGTCCTGGACAGAATCCGCAAACTGGTAAGGCCCCTTAGTGGTAGTTGTCAGAAATGATTAGTTTAAAAAAAGCCATTCAGATTTGGCTCTCCTTCCTATGTCCACGAAGACTCATTAAAATATACCACCCAACTTCTGTGTATCACGACCCAATGCTACCTTTGCAGTAAGCCATAATTCTTCACAAACCAATGAGAGCAGACCGGGCTTTTTCTACCGGGAGGAGGGCTAAAAGGGACATGCGCTAAAACGGAAGGTTTCAGAAAGAGGCAGAAAACGGTTATATTTGTATTGTACAAACTGTGTTCTAGTAGAAACCCAAAATAAAAGTATGAACCTGAAAATAGCAAACTAAAGATTTTGTTTTATGATTATAAACATCAGTATAAATGCGGAGCAAAGAAATGCGTTATTTGTTACTGTTTTTTTCAGTCTTTGTCATTTATTTCACTGTGTCCTTAGGCTGATCAGTGCACGGGTCTCCAAGGCTTCCTGGTCTTCCACTCCTTTGGTGGAGGCACAGGCTCTGGTTTCACCTCCCTGCTCATGGAGAGACTCTCCGTTGACTTTGGAAAGAAGTCCAAGCTTGAGTTTGCCATCTACCCGGCCCCCCAGGTTTCCACAGCTGTGGTTGAGCCGTACAACTCCATCCTGACCACCCACACCACCCTGGAGCACTCCGACTGTGCCTTCATGGTAGACAACGAGGCCATCTACGACATCTGCCGCAGAAACCTAGATATTGAACGCCCGTCATACACCAACCTGAACAGGCTCATCAGCCAGATTGTGTCTTCAATCACAGCCTCGCTTCGCTTCGATGGAGCCCTGAATGTCGACCTCACAGAGTTCCAGACCAACTTGGTGCCCTACCCTCGTATCCACTTCCCTCTGGCCACCTATGCTCCAGTCATCTCCGCAGAGAAAGCCTACCATGAGCAGCTGTCCGTAGCTGAGATCACAAACTCTTGCTTTGAGCCAGCCAATCAGATGGTGAAGTGTGATCCTCGTCATGGTAAATACATGGCCTGCTGTCTGCTGTATCGCGGTGATGTGGTGCCCAAAGATGTCAACACAGCCATTGCTGCCATCAAGACCAAACGCTCCATTCAGTTTGTGGACTGGTGCCCCACAGGCTTCAAGGTAGGCATCAACTATCAGCCTCCAACAGTGGTCCCCGGTGGAGACCTGGCCAAGGTGCAGAGGGCTGTGTGCATGCTGAGCAACACCACAGCCATCGCTGAGGCCTGGGCCCGTCTCGACCACAAGTTTGACCTCATGTACGCCAAGAGAGCCTTTGTCCACTGGTATGTTGGGGAGGGCATGGAGGAGGGAGAGTTCTCCGAGGCCAGAGAAGATATGGCTGCCCTGGAGAAGGATTATGAAGAGGTTGGGATCGATTCCTTTGAGGAGGATGAGGAAGGAGAGGAATATTAAATGGGCTAAGCTTGCATTTGACAGTTATTTTCCATTATTCTCTTAAGATAATATGAAAGAAATACAACACATTCTGCATGTTTTTTTAAAATTCAGAAATATGCATTGGTTTTATTTTTAAAATTCAACTTTCTTATCAATAAAGTTCGTTGTTGTGCCATCACATGCTGTGTACCAATCTTGTTTTATTCATTTGTTTTATCAAAAACTCAGAACAATGTTGAATTACCCAATTTGTTTGAAACGTGTTGTTGCTATAAATCTTTCCCCAAAATATATTGCCTTTTTATTTGTTGGCTTTGTGTATGCTTCAGTACGTATGCTGTGATAATAAAACACTTGTTGGAATGTCTGTAGTTTTAGAGTTCAGTTAAATCCATCTTATGAAGCCATTTTTCTACTAAATTGCATGCCTGAGAAAAAACTTCAATATGCTGATTTTATTCAATAATAACTTTTTCAAATCAAGAATTATTCAGATCTGTATAACAGCTCGCGACCTCACTTATTCCTAGCATATTGTTACATACTTTAACCCTTACCCCCCCCCCCCCCCCTTACTTTGGTGTTCGTGGTCAAATCTGACTGGTCCTTTTTTAACTGCTACATTAACACAAACATGAATCATCACCAAATTTAATTTAACACCCTTTCAAACTGTAAATATTGTATCGGACTACTGGTACAAGAGAAACTGCAGTAAATATACAAAGAATAGACACTGAACAATAACGTATTGCGTGTGCCAGGTGTGATTCGATGGGGGGATGGGTACATAAGGGGTGGGGAACACATCTAGTGTGTGTGTTTTATCCGATCCGGATGGTTACTAATTCCTTTTCTTTATTGCGGTCATTTTTGACCGGGAACACTACCATGGGTGTTATAAAGTTGACTAAATTATCCAAAACTCAATGAAAGTGGTGATCAGCAATTGTTCAAATGTCTACTGTGAAGGATATCATAAAGCCTTAATGCAATCGAATATAAAACAAAACAGTTATGACTGTTAAATAACTTTTAGGTATCATCATTGGGAGTGGAAAAACTGACTATCAATAGCAAACGTTTATTCGACTGTACAAAGCATACACTCAATTTACACAATTCTTGTAAATACTCGCTTCAGATTAATTCTGGTACGACAGAGTATTTCTCTGCCTCCCACTTGGTGCATGCCGGGTACGTTTTGAAACCTTAGAACAGCTCTTCTTATGACAGTCCTTGTCCCAACTTTAATAATAGTCATCGCGGTAAATGATACATGATGTTAGGCCTATGCAACACAATACAGTCTCATCTGGATATCGATATTCTTTGCTATTCCTGTCCGATATGGAGGCAGACGCCATCTACTGGAGATTGTTGAGGCTCCAGAGGCTGGGCTGATATCTCACGAGGGCAGAGGTCACTTAGCGAGGTATGTAAGAGCTAAATTATGTTAGCTCAATTTGCTAGCTAACTTGCCATGGCTACACGCTGGGGAATATGCAGTGCAGGAAAAATAAGTCATGACTTCACGGTGGCTTTACGGACCCTGGCTCCCGAAAACCACAAGGTAAGTGTCGAACTATAGTTCGTGTACTCCCAAAACCTTACACAAAGTGGGATTTTGTAAACATTCAAGGTGTGCTCTTTCTGAGCAAGTTATGTCAAGAAAGAAGGAAATAATTCATCATAAACTTATAACTATCTACCGTTTTATCAACGTAACAAGTTTGCAGGTTTGCACTATAAAGGCTACTTTATTCTGTTTACATCTACAGTATGTAACAGTGCCTCCCATAAAGGAAGAGGAAATGTTTGTTAGATTCACATCCCCTTCCCACAAAAGCAATTAAACATGGTTACTTTGTATCACCACTCCTGGTTTTCTTTAGCATCACTGAGCAGCAGGGAGTATGTGTCCAGAACTGTTTGTGGCAATGATTACAATGATATCTCTAGGTTTATGTTTTAATCCTTAATTAAATGATGGTTGCTCCTGCATTTGTGCTCACGTTTTAATTTGTATTCAAATGTTCATAAGTACAAAAATCAGGTTTGCTGCATTACTAAAACCATGTATATGTTTATGTATGCACCATGTACACCAAGGCAAATACCTCGTATGTGTCAACCTACTTGGCAATAAACCTGTTTCTGATTCTGATGTGTTCATCCTCAGATAGTGGCTGTTGCAGCGAGGGATCTGAAACATGCTGAAGAATTCGCTAAAAAGCACAACATCCCACGAGTATATGGGAGTTATGATGAGTTGGCAAAAGATCCTGACATTGGTGTGTTCTTCTGTCAGCATATGGCTTTTCCTTTTGGTCTGAATTAAATCAAACTATTCCACTCAGCAGAAGTTTCTTCAAACTAGTCAATTAATCTCTAACGGCTCCAAGAATGCTAGTGGTTGCTGCTTTTCATGTCCTACTTGGAAGTGAATTCTTAAATCATTCTAAACACTACACTTGTTTTAGATGTGGTGTACATCGGCACCATCCATCCTTACCACCTGGCTACTGGCAAGCTCTTTATGAAGTCCAAAAAGAATGTGCTGATTGAGAAGCCTTTGGCCATGAATTTAAGGGAGGTGCAGGAACTCATCAGTGCAGCCCAAGACAACAGTGTCTTTCTCATGGAGGTAACTAACTAATTAATTACCAAAATCACATTTGCCATTGATCTGTTCAAACCATTCCATGTCTCTGTTCAGGCAATTTGGACACGTTTCTTTCCTGTAACCGTTGAACTCAGGAGACTGCTGGAGCAGGGTGAAGTGGGTGATGTTCAGATGGTGAGGGCTGATCTGGGGGCTCCACTCACACACATCCCACGCCTGGCTGAGAGGAAGTTGGGAGGGGGGGCACTGCTGGACCTGGGCATCTACTGTCTGCAGTTTATCTTCACGGTTTTCAACGGCGAGAGGCCTGAGTCCATCCAAGCAACGGGGCATTGTATAGACACAGGTGATTGTCTGCAGGAAGCCTATTCACTAAGCAAATATTAAATACAACGTATATTCTTGCATAGAGACCAGATGTCTTTTATATATATCATTACAAAACGTTCATTACATCCTTTGTTCAGGTGTTGATGGAACAGCAGTTTTGGTCCTAAAGTTCTCGGGAAACAGACTTGCAATTTGCACGTGCTCAATCACCATGATGCTGACCTGTGATGCAGTTATCACTGGAACCAAAGGCACCATTAAGGTAATGGCATGCAACAAGAAAAGTATAAACATTTCCTCACAGGACCAAACCAATTATTTTGACATTGTTATATTAGGTTATTGCTAGATAGAGGAATCACAGCCAAAAGTGTACATTTTTGCACCAATCTAGTTAACAGGAGTGATAAAACATCTACTATTTAATTCAGGTGTTCGTTTTCTAATGTGTTTTGCAGCCCCTGGTGCTTCTAGTTTGCCTATATAATTGTAGTCTTGTTGATTTATACATTTTTTGGAGCTATAAAAAAGAGTTTAGTCCTGGTGAAATACTTTTCTTATCTTGGCACAATAGCTTAATCAACAACAAAAGTAAATATGATTGATTTACATTTTGGCATGAGCTCATTGCTGTGGCTGTTTGTTAATGATTCATGAAAACATCAAAGTACTGCAGAAAATGAACTATCTACAAATATTTATCCACGGTGAGTTACATTATACTTTCAACATCAGATACCTGACCATATGTGGTGCCCCACATCCTTGGAGGTGAATGGAAAGGAGATGCAGTTCCCCCTGCCAGAGGCCAGCATGCCACTAAACTTCACCAACAGCACAGGACTACGATATGAAGCTGAGGAGGTCCGCCAATGTTTGCTGAAAGGTAGTATTCTATAATGCATATAAAGCAGAACATGAGTAGCATTTTTTATTAATCTGGTAGTGATTGATCCATCTTAATTTATTTACATTTTCAGTTATTTGCTATATCCAAATGTGAATGACAGATTTAAAGGGGACCTGCATGCAAAATGCACATTGTGATGTCTTTTACACATAAATATGTGTCCCCGGTGTGTCGGGGAACTCACGCAGCGTCAGAAAATAAAACCCTCTCTCTTTTCCTCCGTACCCAAATCTCTAAAAACGGGGCTACACGCTAGCTGATCCAGATTTGCGTCCAATGTGACGTAATATCGGAAATGTAGGCTGGCTTTACACCCACGGCCCTATCAGAAACGTTGCTATCAGAAACAATGCCCGACTGTTTTGGACGTAATATGGTCAATACATTAGCATCGCTAACACTCAGAGCTAACCTGTACTGCACAGAGCATGTGTGTGAAGAAGCAGGAAATATAAAGGAACTCACCTTGTGGTATAACCGGCAAGAGAAAAAGCCTTTGAGCTCCATACTGTTTCAGAAATAATCCTCCATAATCCATTATATGGCGTTTCATCACCACAGTATCTGCCGGTATATCTCCCGCATGAGCTCAGCTCCCTCCTTTAAAAAAAAAAAAATCAATTTCCTTTTTTTTTTAAAGCTTTATACCCCAAATCAGCACTTTTGAAACAGGAAGTGAAATAGAGGGATATGAGGCATGGCTAGAATGGGTGATCTGTTTGGTATTTTGAGCAAAACATTTCATAGACATGTTTTTAATATATTTGTATACATCTGAGACCTATGCTATTGCCTACAAATAGCATGATAGGTGCACTTTAAGATTGAAATAACTTATGTTAACTAATTAAATGTCAAAAAAAAAATAAAAAAAATATTGAATGTTGATGGCCCTTGTTGTGTGATGTCTTAATTATCCTTATTTATAGTTGCTTGTTCCCCTCTAGGACTGAAGGAGAGTCCTGGGATGCCGTGGGCTCACTCCAGCCTGATAGCAGAAGTTTTAGATGAGGCCCGGAGGCAGCTGGGAGTGACATATGAGCAGGACAACATCCAGTGATGTGTTTTCAGACTTGGTTAGCACACTTGTACCTCAAAAAGAAAAAAGGAACAATTAGACTAAAACATCCTATCGATTGTATGCCTTCATTGCCTTGTGATGGTTCTTGATGTTTTATGTGTGTTTACATTAACCTTACAGTGGCTTTCCCGTGAGGGGACAGTGTGATGATGGTTAGCCAGCATGCACAATAATGTTGCAAATGTATTATCTTTTCGATTTACACACAGCATCTATTGCACGTCTGTCTGTCCTGGGAGAGGGATCCCTCCTCTGTTGCTCTCCCTGAGGTTTCTCCCATTTTTCCCTTTAAACTGTGGGTTTTCTCTGGAAGTTTTTCTTTGTACGATGTGAGGGTCTAAGGACAGAGGGTGTCGTATTGTCATACTGATATTCTGTACAAACTGTGAAGTCCACTGAGATACATGTAACATTTGTGATATTGGTCTATATAAATAAACATTGATTGATAATGAATTATAGTAGGCTAAGCTTACACTAAAACCAAAGAAGACTAATTAAGTTAAGCCATCACTATGCTGTTTTTTGTTCCCTCTGTGTTCATCCTACTGTGACATGTGTGATAATAAAATAATAGTTAAGCTTGTCAATGGTTTTCATTTTTTGTATTTTTAAAAAAAAAATATGTTGTACATTTCATCTAGTCTCTTGACGTTTTCTTACACTAACACACTAATGTCAAAAATATATCCGGGTTAGTTGTCATTGATTAACATATAGAAATAAGTAGGCCTATTAGCCTACATTTTCTGAATTAATTTTCTTTCACTGCATCCATGTCACCGCTCGTTGCTCGGCAACTGTACAGACGCTTTTTACTCTTCCGGAAGTGCGTGGTTGAGGAAATATGGCGCACAGAGCAGTGCATATACCAGTGGTATGCATTGCTTCAATCGATTCGTTTACTGCATTGTTTTTGTCTATTTTCATCGCTTTTGCAGCATTTGAAACGGTGAACGCCGACAATGTGTTCAGTGCCAGCCACACGGCTACTGTACCCATCTCTGCCGCCAGGGATCTGCGGTAAGCTTCCTCACCCTACTCTTACTGTTAGCTAGCTATTCTTTGCTAACGTTACATTTGTATATCATCTTGTATGTTTATGGTAAGTTTACTACGGATTCAGTTTCACGCTGTTCACCAAGGCTTTATTTTGTTATTCAGTTTGCCAGGCTTTAACACAAGTGTTGAGAACCCCTGCACTGTTGTTGGGAGGCAGAGGTGTACCTGACTCCATTCAAAAACGTACACGTTCAACGACTTATTCGGTATTATAACCATACTATATTCGTAGACATATTCATGAATACAATTTACAAAACTACATTGTGTTGAAGTGAATTTCGGCGTATAAATGGTACCTTAAGCAGCAACATAATCTCTTATTTTCCGCCCTACATCGAGTGTATGTGTAACAACACGTTGCTGACGTAAATGATAATCTGGTCTCATCTGGCGACTGACGAGGCTGAACCGAATATGGTGGGTTATCCATAAATGATAAACCTCATGTCTGAAGACAAATCGAGTCGTATTTATTTACTTGTGCATTTGTTTGCAACATGGCTGTAGTGTACTGTGCATATTGATCCAGCAGCTTGCAGTATATTCCACAATATCACGGTGAAGTCAGTTCTAGGTTGGATATTCGGCAGACGCCCCATCCGGTTTAATAGGACATACCTCTTTTTAATAGACTTTAGTCAATCTTCTATTTTAAATTAATGTTTATATGATTCTTTTTTTAAACTCATGTTACCTTATGACTCCAAATCAATGCATCATTGTATTACTACACTGGAAAAGTAGAGCCTTCCTCGCATTTTTAATACTTTTTCTATCTTTTTGAACGAAAAATCAGAAGGTTTTGTCTTGAAACTCTTGGATTTTTTCAATAGCTTTTATGTCATGAGTCATGACTCATGAGACAAATTGACTCAATATCAATCCACCATTGTATTACTACACTGGACAAGTAGGACACCTCCTTTCATTCGATTTTGGGTGCTTTTTGGTTATAAATTAATATTTAAATTTTAATTGAAACCTCTTGGACTTTTTCAAGGTTACTTATGCCTGACTTTCCTCTTTAGCTTTTATGTATAATGTCATGGCACTATTTTGTTTGTGTAATCGTTTCAGTGTATGCTTATTGTATCTATGATAATTTCCTGTTGAACAGTTGCCACAATTCAGTTCTATCAACAACAACAACCCATCGTAAATGTTGGCACAGGATGTGAACTGCTTGTGAACTGTTTACATAAACCACACATATTTAAAACATAGGAAAGATGGAATAGATTTCTAGAAATCTTTACATTATCGGTACATAAATAACCTAGACGTAAACATAGTTGAAAGGTACAATAGACATTTTGTTGTATAGACACATTTAAATCTGAATCAAGGTTGCTTGATTACTTAATATGCTAGGTTTGATGTAGACGATTCACTCTTGTTTTCACTAACCAAAGCGCATGATGCTGCTTTTCATCCATCCAAAACATTTGAAAACTTCACGTGTTCACTTGTGACACAGGTACCTCCTTTACGATGTGAACCCCCCGGAGGGTTTCAATCTGCGGAGGGATGTCTATATCCGCATGGCCTCCCTGGTGAAGACTTTGAGGAAGGAAGGGGATGACTGGGTGTTGGTGTTGCCCCCATGGGGTCGACTCTACCACTGGCAGAGCTCAAACATCCATCAGATGCGCATCCCATGGGGGGAGTTCTTCAGCATCACCAGCCTGCAGGTCAATGTGCCTGTCGTTGAGTTTGAGGAATTCATCGCTGGTGAGCTTTTTGTCTTTGACCCGGAATAGAGTTACATTTTCTGAAGGTTTTGATCTGTCTTGCCTGTGAACCTATTGAAAGCCCATCACTTTATCGTTACAAATGTTTTTTTTCTTTTTTCTATACTTTAAATAATACATATTAATAGTTGTTTTTCAAAATGCACATTCATCACTGTTTTTATAAGGGAGTGCTCCTTAGCTCAGATTAAGTGTGCCAAATGCCAATGAATGTGTTTTGTTTATCTTTTGGATCTAGAAAACGGAGGCCCTTTCATAGACCAGGTTCTGGTATTGCAAAACTACGCTGAGGGATGGACTGATGGGAAATGGGAGGAAAAGGTTGATGAGCGGCCATGCATTGACAAGTTGATGTACTCCAAAGATAAACAGGGCTACTACAGGTAAAGAAACACACTGCAAAGAATCTGCCTTTAAAAAACACTAAGACTGAATTAACAAGATTACCACTTCATCTTCATTATCTTTTATAAACCATGCTAGTTGTCATTAGGCTGATGTTTTCTGAATAGTTTTGTCTTTTGACACCCTCAACATTAGATTAGATTTAAATTCTCGGCATTGTGATTGAAATTCTTTTTGCTACATTGACTGGAAAATGAGGAGGCTGGAGACCGATCGGATGTTTGAGAAACTGGAGGTTTATTCAAAGTATTTAGCAGGAAAAAGGATAATGACAGTGCGAACAGTACACAGACAAGTGTTCACGCTCTATTTAACCATCATTTCTGCCAAAGTCTCATGATAAACACATCAAAACGGAGGCGCCACCCGACGATTAGAATGGATAAATGATTCCTCATATGAAAAGTACATTCTTATATCATCATAAGCATAAAGTCTAAAGGTTAAATATAGTAAACTATGTGTTAACAGATAGAAATTAGCTGGGATGACTGTTCGATTTGATTGCTTCTTGGTTCAAAACACTCTTTTATTCAATATTCTGTTAAAAGTGTTGCCAATTTCAGTATCTACTTCAGTCCCTTTACAAAAAAGAATGAGAATGTGGAAGATTGCCGCATGTAAGCAGAGTAAATTGTGTGTCTTGGACTGAAACAAAAAAATAGTTTATTGCATCTTTAAGACATTTTTAGGTTCAAGCTTTAAATAAATTAGAAATGCTGCCTGTTACGTAAATACAATTGGTAGGATTTACTTTAATAAAATGTTAACATTATAACGTATCACGATCATCGTATAAGTAGCAATACACAAATCTTGGTGGAAAAAAGTAATCTAAAGTTTTTATTTGGAAATAAGAAGAAATAAAGAACAAGATTTCTCCGCCCCACTTTTTTGTTCCTGCCCTTTTTAGAAGCATTTTTGTTGTTGTTAATTTTTCCCGCATGGAAAAAGAGATTTTATTAAGCTTAAGTGCCAAACAAAATGAATTTTAATTAAAGTAGAATAACTCGGGAGACATAATTCAGACAGTTGGACAAAGATAATCTTGATTCTTAACTACATAGATTGTTATGCCTACCTTTTTGTATCCTGCCCTCTGGTGACGGGAGTGGTTCAGTCTGTAGGGGATTGGACTTTGACCCGGAGGGTTGCCGGTTCACGTCCCTGATCGGACCAAAAAAATACGGAGTGTGGACTGGTACTGGAGAAGGGCCAGTTCACCTCCTGGGCCACTGCCAAAGTGCCCTTGAGCAAGGCACCTAACTGGCTGCCTCCACTCTGACCTCTCAACTGCATGTGTGCATATAACTGTGTGTGTATTTGTATATTGTATGTGCATGTTCTAAAAAGTATGACCTGTATAAACGCATTTGTGTGTACGACAGAGTCGAAACTGAATTTCCCCCTCGGGGGATTAATAAAGGACTTATTCTTCTTCTTCTTCTTCTTCTTCTTCTTCTTCTTCTTCTTCTTCTTCTTCTTCTTCTTCTTCTTCTTCTTCTTCTTCTTCTTCTTCTTCTTCTTCTTCTTCTTCTTCTTCTTCTTCTTCTTCTTCTTCTTCTTCTTCTTCTTCTTCTTCTTCTTCTTCTTCTTCTTCTTCTTCTTTTTCTATTAGAAGGCATTTTTTGTTCTTTATTGTTCCCACATTTATTTATTAAGATTGATTATGCTTAAATGCAAATTGAATGATACCCATCTCTTCTTTCTTGCCCATATCCCTCTCCTCTCCATTCATTTAAAAATGTTGCCTTTATTTTGTGTGTGTGTGTGTGTGTGTTACCAAGGGGCTGGTTTTGGGGCTACGAGGAGACGAGAGCTCGAAATGTAACGTGTATATCAGCCCAAGGGCATGCCTCCATTATGTCCCCTGTCCTCCAGAAGAACATCACAGCGACGTGAGTCTACTGAGCAATAATCTGATATAAACTGCAAGGACTATACACATACTGTACATATAGAGCAGCTCATTTTACATAATACATTATAATCTTCTGACTTTAAAACTAGCATTCCTAGCTTCTAAAGTGAGCTTTAATATGTAGCTGATAACCATTACCAATGTCATCATACACCTTATATGACAGGTGTAGCTAATTGACTAATATGTGAGTCAACAAACAACCAATATGACGGAAACGAAAATGATCGGTCCAAACGTATCAGTCACTATCTAAAGTATTCAGTAACAATCCTTTATAAGACAGTCAAACATGTCATTCTTTTATATGTAAAATACCTGATATATATTGTACTGCCATGTGGTAAATACTTGTGTATGCTGCTCTTTTGCACTTTTTGCATATCATGTATTTTGTTTTTGCTATGTTTGTAAAATGTAATTTTCTTAAATGTTTTATGTGAGGGACTGTGGATGGAAATTAGCTCAAAGCTAAATCTGGCACTGTTACGCTTGACACATTTGAATGTTTTAAGTGTTCATTATTGTGCATTGTCTCTGCCAAATAAACGATTAAATAAATAGATTATCCGACTTGATTGTTACTTAAATGTAGTGAAGTTTACAGTTCGGATTTTTTTTTAGACCTTGTTGACACTGACTTGGATTAATCTCTTTGTACCGCGCCCTTTTGCAGGTCGGTTATGCTTGACCGAGCAGAGACACTCCTCCATGATCACTATGCTGGAAAGGATTACTGGGATGTAAGTTATCGGCTTGTATCAATTAAATAATCTAGGTTTCAGGCAATACATAAAACCTTTTTTTGTGTAATTTGGAACTTTGGAAATGTTGAATTTTCTGTGTTTTTGTGTAGACCCGCCGCAGCATGGTTTTTGCCAAGCACCTGAGAGTCATAGGAGATGACTTCAGAGCAAAGTACCTGAACTCCTCAGATGACAGAGACTTTACTATTTACAGTGAGGACTGGACTCGCATGAAAGTGAGTACATTTTTCTGATTGTGGCATGATTATGGGATTGTACAAGTGGAATAAAGATTGTGGAAATGTACAGTATATTATCCAAGCATTTACCATGTGAGTCCATTTGTACGGAGCCCCTAAAGGTTCATGGAGAGAAAAAAAAAGTATCTCGTGCCCACGATATACTTTCTCGTTCGCACGAAATACTATCTCGTGGGCACGAGATAGTATTTCGTGCGAACAAGAAAGTATTTCGTTAGTTTCTTTAGAACCACCAGCATGATCCACCAGCATGGACGTCCATGCTGGTGGATCATGCTGGTCCATGCTGGTGGTGCTCATTCATTCCTATGAGAGTTGCTCATTGGCGCATGATGATAAAATGGCCCAACTTTTGAGAGAGCGAAACGTCACAGATTACCCGGCATGCCTGAGAAGTACCCGTATGTGCGCTCATAGCGCATGCGCAACTTTAACCAAAAATGCTCGTTCACATCAAGCACGTCAATTTGCGTACACGTAACAGCACCGTGCGCACATGACAGCATGGTAATGGATTGTTATTATGATGGATTTGATATTAACGAGGCGGCAGTTAGCAGCTAGCTAGTAATTATGCTAATGTGCACATCAATCGTTATGTACTTATATTACGCTTTAACAGGATCTAGTGATATCCAAGCAACAGAGCTTCATTTAGCATGAAATAATTATTGCACTGTATATATATATATATTAGGGCTGTCAAACGATTACAATTTTTAATCAGATTAATCACAGCTTAAAAATTAATTAATCATGATTAATCACCATTCGAACTATGTCCAAAATATGCCATTTCTTTATGTATATTGTTGTGGGAATGGAAAGATAAATGAAAGAAGGCGGATATATCCATTTAACATACAGTATCTATGTTTATTATAACATTTTTCTGTGTGTCAAAATGAAAGACAACCTACACACCTATCAATCATCAAACCGTGGGGTCTTAATTCATTACGTGTTGATTTCTATCAACGGGGGAGTACTTCAGGAAAGTCGACAGAGGGGGGGGGGGGGCGGCGGCGGCTAGTGGAGTGACCACAGAGTGTGAACGATCAGCTGTTTTAGCGCAGTTTTCCAGTGAAGGGGGGGGGGGGGGGGGGGAAGTCTCCCTCCGCAGCCGGTTGGCGTAGTTTTGGCACAATTCCGTTGTACAGACCGACGTTAACAGCAGCCCTGTCTGTGCACACGGAGACCGACTCTGTCGTCCGGTGATCTAACCGCCTTCTGGAAAAGCTTCACAAGTACGTCGGTACGCAAATGCGCTTTGTGACACAAGTAACGGTACGCATTTCAGATTACGCACATAACCTGCGTACCAGTTATGTGCACCCCTGTAGCCTACTACAGCAAAAGTATTCTCCGTCGGGACTTCCTGCAACAACACCACGCCGTTATCAAAGATGTTCTATTGAGAAGACGATCACTACGTGACAAAAGTTTTCAAAACCGTGGCTACTGAAATCAATCTTACTAACTGCTGTCTGTGCAATTTACTCCGCGCGAGTTGACAGACTTTATTTTGCTTACTTTAACATCATTTTTCATGGTGGGGCTAAGCCATTTCTTGGTATGGGTGTAGCCTACCCCAGCCATACCCTGGCGCTGCCACTGGTGGCATGTATGGGGCGGGCCATTCTGCACATGCGTTAAATATTTTAACGCAATTAATTCAAAAAAAATAATTACCGCCGTTAACGCGATAATTTTGACAGCACTAATATATATATGTATTTATATATGTGTATGTATATATATGTATATATGTATATATATATATGTGTATATATTTATTTATATGTATATATATATATACGTGTCTATATATGTGTATATATGTATATGTATGTATATGTGTATATATATATACGTGTGTGTATATATATATATATATATACATGTGTGTGTGTATATACATATATATATACAGTGCAATAAGCTTCTTAGTGCAATAAGAAGCTACAGGGACGTTAATCTACGTCGGTAATATTAACTTTATTTAATACAACATTTACGGTACAACATTTACATCATACAGCCCATGTAGTATAATATTTTACAAATTATTACAGCTCCGTGGGCTGGCAGTAAGGCGATATGGTCCGTTCTTATTGTGCATCCATGGGTAAAGATAAACGCATGTAGTGCTGAACACATAACATGAACGTGCCGGTGTTCCGGATTAACTGGTTCCCCGATCAACTGGTTGACAGATGTGGAGGCGTGGCCTTCGACTGAAATACACATTTCGATCGCTTCTTCTGTCGTTTACATAAATCTTTTCGTATATTTGGATGGATAGGAACACTTTGATGCACATTCAGTACCAGTGTGTGAGGTTGTGGTTACGATGGTGATATCCGGACGCGAACAGCGAGGACTACAAAAAGAAAAACGAGTTGACATGGGGATGTCTGTTCAAAACATTGCGAGCTCCAATAAATCATTTAAACCAGCTATTGTTGCCAGACTTATTACTGAATATCGTTTTTAATGTGATACCAAGTCCATCTGAGACATGTGTACACCTTCAGACAGCCTCCAAGTGAAGCGTACGTTGTTTACTCACAGTTTGAAAGCAGCGTGGAGAAGTCTTCAGCTGTGATAAACTGTGATCCTCTCAGGTAAACTGTGATTCGCTCAGGGTCAACTGGGATCCACCCATGGGAAAATGGGATCCGCCCAGGTTAAACTGTGTTACGACTTCTGTGGCTATCTACCAGCGATCATGTTTAATATGAAAGACTACACACACATTTATCCCTTATAAAAACGGCATTCTGCAGCACTCATCCAGATCACATGCTGTTAACTCGTTTTGCAAAGATAGCAGCAGAAATGTCATTGCTGCATGTGCAGGGATATTAGACTTTAAAATGCTGATGGGTCATTAATGTTGGTCTCGGCAAACAATATTAGGAATCCTCTATTCAAACTACATAATATTCAGTGTCCATCGACATGAAAATAACAAAAAAGTTCATGCTGGACTCAAACCCGAGTTCCAACAGCAAAAGTCACTCCAGCCCTGCGCGTTATGAGTGCGCCACGGATCAACACGATACCACGGTAAAACTAACACTTGGGACGGGTGGCGCAGTGGTCTGTGCATCCGATCATCAGATCAAGGGGGAGTGCTGGGGAACTCCAGTTCGAAACCCGCTCCTGCCGCCACTGCGTCAGGCCGTTGTGTCCTTGGGCAAGACACTTCACCCGGATTTGCTCCTGTGGGTATTGTCCACAGTACATGTATAATACCAATGTGTACCTGTAAAAGTGCCTCGATGTCTTCGAGGCGTGAAGATGGACGGTGTGGCGCAGTGCGCTGTGCAATGATCATCAGATCAAGGGGTGAAACCCGCCGCTGCTACGTCTGTAAAGCCGGTGTGTCCTTGGGCAAGACACTTCACCTGAACTGGCTCCTGTGGGTATTTACCACAGTATCTGACCATTGCATGTATCATATATGTGTAATGTGTGTATATGTAAAGCGCTTTGAGTCATTGATAATAAATGTAAGGAATTATTATTATTACTTATCACAACATAATGTGGGCTCGCAGGCTGATAAACTAGGATATCTGATCTCGGTGGGTCTTAATGAGGCTTGATACAGACCTCAGTCAGAATACTATATTATAATATGTATATTATATGGCTTAAAGTGTACATACATTCGCTCACATTATAAATGATGGTCTGGTTGCATTTTTCTGGAACTTTTTAACAAGGTTAATTTAAAATATTATAGTGTGGTGGTTCAATACGTCGTGTTGATCCGTGGCGCACTCATAACGCGCAGGGCTGGAGTGACTTTTGCTGTTGGAACTCGGGTTTGAGTCCAGCATGAACTTTTTTGTTATTTTCATGTCGATGGACACTGAATATTATGTAGTTTGAATAAAGGATTCCTAATATTGTTTGCCGACACCAACATTAATGACCCATCAGCATTTTAAAGTCTAATATCCCTGCACATGGAGCAATGACATTTCTGCTGCTATCTTTGCAAAACGAGTTAACAGCATGTTATCTGGATGAGTGCTGCAGAATGCCGTTTTTATAAGGGATAAATGTGTGTGTAGTCTTTCATATTAAACATGATCGCTGGTAGATAGCCACAGAAGTCGTAACACAGTTTAACCTGGGCGGATCCCATTTTCCCATGGGTGGATCCCAGTTGACCCTGAGCGAATCACAGTTTACCTGAGAGGATCACAGTTTATCACAGCTGAAGACTTCTCCACGCTGCTTTCAAACTGTGAGTAAACAACGTACGCTTCACTGGGAGCCTGTCTGAAGGTGTACACAGGTCTTAGATGGACTTGGTATCACATTAGGAACGATATTCAGTGATAAGTCGGGCAACTATAGCTGGTTTTAAGGATGTATTCGAGCGGATCACAGCTTAACACAGCTGAAAGACTTCTCCACGCTGCTTTCAAACTGTGAGTAAACAACGTGTGCTTCACTTGGAGGCTGTCTGAAGGTGTACACATGTCTCAGGTGGACTTGGTATCACATTAAGAACGATATTCAGAAATAAGTCTGGCAACAATAGCTGGTTTAAATGATTTATTGGAGCTCGCAATGTTTTGAACAGACATCCCCATGTCAACTCGTTTTTCTTTTTGTAGTCCTCGCTGTTCGCGTCCGGATATCGCCATTGTAACCACAACCTCACACACTGGTACTGAATGTGCATCAAAGTGTTCCTATCCAGCCAAATATACCAAAAATATTTATGTAAACGACAGAAGAAGCGATCGAAATGTGTATTTCAGTCGATGGCCACGCCTCCACATCTGTCAGTTGATCGGGGAACCAGTTAATCCGGAACACCGGGCGGCGCGGTCCCGTGGGTTAGATGCGCGTTCATAATGCCGAGGGAAATAACTCAGAATAACGTTATTAGCACATTTTTACAACTTGAGGAACGAATGTTTTTAATAAGGGCTGGGCTATACAAGTGTTCATACTGGGTAGTTTATTTAGTTGAAAAAAAATTATCCAACGATTTACAGACCACTTTCCCTAAGTGAAAAAGTGTTTCCGGGCCTGGCAACCAAACGGAAGTGTAGTACCGCCGTTTGGCCACCACGAATATTTTCATCTGAGTCCGGCGCACTTCCTGGGGGCTTGGGCGGAGTCACAGAAACGGCTCTCAACTGATCTTCACCATGGATGTATAATAAGAACGATCTTCTCACTTTGCTCAGCGTTACTGCTTGTTACAACTTTCATTTTCCGTACTCGCCATAAACTGTTATTTTGGCTCAGGTTAATCTAGCCCCCTTCCGACGTGAGTGTGGTTCTTGGTTCTTGCCGGGCAGCCAAGTGGGGTCAGCTAAGAACCGGGTTTCGGTGTTTAGAGCCGGCTCCGCTGCGGCTGAAACAGGAAGAACCAGAGCTAAATCAGGCTGTAGCCCGCAACTGGCTCTGGACTCAGAACCAGAGAAGAACCAGTTAAGCACCAGAAAAGTACAAGAATGGTTCTTGAACCGGTTTGGTTTATTGGCAGCTTGCAAACCACTTAAGAGTACTGGAGTGTGGTGCTGTTGCTTTGGTCTGGATCTGTGAGCTAACCACGCCCCGTTCATTTGCATATAAGGAATGGAAATGAGTCATTATGAAATACAAGTCACCTGAAATAAATAAATGTGTATTTAAATGTACATGTATGCATATTTATTGCCTCATTTATTTATTTCAGAATTTATTTCACAGACATATTTATATATATATATGTATTTATTTAATTATTTATGTATTTATTTCATTTTGGCTTAAATGACATTCCATAAAAAAGTGAACCAGTTTCGTAGGACCGGAAATCCCTGAAGTTAGCTTGTTTAACGAAAATCCTGATTCATAGTATAGGCCCCTGGGCGCATGATGTGTGTGTGTGTGTGTGTGTGTGTGTGTGTGTGTGTGTGTGTGTGTGTGTGTGTGTGTGTGTGTGTGTGTGTGTGTGTGTGTGTGTGTGTGTGTGTGTGTGTGTGTGTGTGTGTGTGTGTGTGTGTGTGTGTGTTGTGTGTGTGTGTGTGTGTGTGTGTGTGTGTGTGTGTGTGTGTGTGTGGTGTGTGTGTGTGTGTGTGTGTGTGTGTGTGTGTGTGTGTGTGTGTGTGTGTGTGTGTGTGTGTGTGTGTGTGTGTGTGTGTGTGTGTGTGTGTGTGTGTGTGTGTGTGTGTGTGTGTGTGTGTGTGTGTGTGTGTGTGTGTGTCCGACACCACCGGCATTTGTTTTCAAATTACCACGAACAGTAATTTACACAAATCTGGTTCTCCATAGTTATATGTGTATTCCCAAGTGAAAGAAATGTGTTTAATCTTAATCTCGATGTAGTGCTATAGTCCTGCCGGAGTGCACCGGAACGAACAGCACTATCATAAACAAATGCCAACACACACACACACACACACACACACACACGCCCTGGCGACCGGACATATTCTTCACAAAACTAACAATATGGCGTAATAATCGGGCAGTTTGATGTGTTTTACCATAAGAAAGTATCTTGTGCGAACGAGAAAGTGCGCACAAGTTAATAAAGTGTGGCCTCGTTTTATTTATTTTTCTCTCTATGAACCCTCCAGTGCTCCGTACATTTGCATCATGTGAATTTTACTCTTTTGTCTTTGAGAATGTTTTACATTTTTGAGCTTATCATCTCACCCACACCCTTTACTGCTCAATACCTGTTTGCTGTCAGATGTCAGTGGGATGATGTGAAAAATATGCCTGCTGTTAAATCATCTGTATGTACAGATACTTCATACTGTATGAATGTGCTGCTTGAGTCTGCATTTGTTTATTTTCTAAATTCAATCAATCAAGTTTCAGCAATAAGTTAACAATGTTCCGTCTCTTTATTTATTTCCTCCTCAGGCCAAGTTGGGCTCGGCTAAAGGGGGTCCATATCTGGGGGTCCACCTGCGCAGGAAGGACTTTATCTGGGGTCATCGGGAGGATGTACCCAGCCTTAAAGGAGCAGTGAAAAAAATACGCAGCTTGATGAAGAAGCACAAACTTGAAAAAGTGTTTGTTGCAACAGATGCCGATGAGGAAGGTAAAGACATACTTGTTACGGTGTGCAGGAAGCAGGACCCAAATGCAGACTTAAGTGACAAAATAATTCCTTTATTTCAAGGCTACAAATCTCCAGACAGAACAGAACACTCACCGCAGTTTACTCACAACACAAGACAACCCGACAAAGAGAGACAGAAACCCAGAACTTAAATACACCCAGGACTAATCACATAAACACGCATCACTAAGCCACCAGGGTGGGTGGAGGGGGTCAGGAGGACGGGACTGAACTGACCGCCCAGGGGCACGGCAGAGGACCAGGAAGGGGTCTCGGGCGGACGGCCCGGGGGCAAGGCAGAGTCCAAAAAGGGGGACTCGGGCGGACGGCCCGGGGGCAAGACAGAGTCCAAGGTGAGGACCATGGAGGGGTGAAGGCAGCGGCAGGAAGAGTCAGGGGGCCGGGCCCGAGGGCGAAGGCAACGGCATGAAGAGTCAGTGGACCGGGCCCGAGGGCGAGGACCGCGGCACTCAGGGGGCCGGGCTCGAGGGTGAAGACCACGGCTCTCAGGGGGCCGGGCTCGAGGGGCGAAGACCGCGACTCTCAGGGGGCCGGGCTCGAGGGCGAAGACCGGACAGCTCCGGAGGCCGGGCAGGAGCCGGTGTCGACCGGACAGGTGTCGGCAAGATTCCCCACGGAAGAGGACCAGGAGTTGGCAGGACCCCCAGCAGAAGCGCAGTCGGCGGGACCCCCAACGGGACAGGACATAGGGTTGGCAGGACCCCCGGCAGGAGGGCAGTCGGCGGGACCCCCAACGGGACAGGACACAGGATTGGCAGGACCCCTGGCAGGAGCGCAGTCGGTGGGACCTCCAACGGGACAGGACATAGGGTTGGCAGGACCCCCGGCAGAAGAGCAGTCTGCGGGACCTCCAACGGGACAAGACATGGAGTTGGCAGGACCCCCGGCAGAAGAGTAGTCTGCTGGACCTCCAACGGGACAAAGCATGGAGTTGGCAGGACCCCCGGCAGAAGAGTAGTCTGCGGGACCTCCAACGGCACAGGACATGGGGTTGGCAGGACCCCCGGCAGAAGAGCAGTCTGCGGGACCTCCAACGGCACAGGACATGGGGTTGGCAGGACCCCCGGCAGAAGAGTAGTCTGCGGGACCTCCAACGGCACAGGACATGGGGTTGGCAGGACCCCGGCAGAAGAGCAGTCTGTGGGACCTCCAACGGCACAGGACATGGGGTTGGCAGGACCCCTGGCAGAAGAGTAGTCGGTGGGACCTCCAACGAGACAGGACAAGGAGCTGGCAGGACCCCCGGCAGGAGAGTAGACGGCGGGACCTCCAAGGGGACAGGACAAAGGGTTGGCAGGACCCCCGGCAGGAGAGTAGTCGGCGGGACCTCCAACGAGACAGGACAAGGAGCTGGCAGGACCCCCGGCAGGAGAGTAGACGGCGGGACCTCCAAGGGGACAGGACAAAGGGTTGGCAGGACCCCCGGCAGGAGAGTAGTCGGCGGGGCCTCCAACGGCACAGGACAAAGGGTTGGCAGGAGAGTAGACGGCGGGACCTCCAACGAGACAGGACAAAGAGTTGGCAGGACCCCCGGCAGGAGAGTAGACGGCGGGCCCTCCAACGGGACAGGACAAAGGGTTGGCAGGACCCCCGGCAGGAGAGTAGACGGCGGGACCTCCAACGGGACAGGACTTGGAGTTGGCAGGACCCCTAGCGGAACCTCCAACGGACCAGGACATTGGGTCGGGACTTGAGACGTGACTCAAGGGGGAACTCGAGAGGGGAACCAAGGGGGAACTCGAGAGGGGACTCGAGAGGAGACTCGAGAGGCGAACTAGAGAGGGGACTCCTGAGGGGACCAGAGGAGGAACCAGAGGAGGAACTAGAGGAGGGAACTCGAGAGGGGACTTGAGAGGGGAACTAGAGAGGGGACTCGAGGAGGGACTAGTGGAGGGACTAGAGAAGGGACTAAAGGAGGGACTAAAGGAGGGACTAAAGGAGAGACTAGAGGAGGGAACTCGAGAGGGAACTTGAGAGGGAACTGGAGATGGGTCTAGAGAAGTGACCTGAGGAGGGACTAGGGAAAGGACTAGAGAAGGGAACTCGAGAGGGGACTCGAGAGGGGAACTAGAGAGGGGACTCGAGGAGGGACTAGAGAAGGGACTAAAGGAGGGGACTGGAGAGGGGACTGGAGATGGGACAAGAGATGGGACTAGAGATGGGATTAGAGATGAGACAAGGGAATTGACTAGAGGAGGGACTTGAGTAGGGACTAGAGAAGGGACTAGAGGAGGGACTAGAGGAGGGACTTGAGATTGAACTCGAGAGGTGACTCGAGAAGAGACTAGAGAAGGAACTTGAGAGGAAACTGGAGAGGGGACTAGAGAGGGGACTAGAGAGGTGACTAAAGGGGAAACGGGAGAAGGGACTAGGGAAGTGACTAGAGGAGGTACTTGAGAGAGGACTTGAGAAAGGAATTGAGTAGGGACTAGAGAAGGGACTAGAGAAGGGACTAGGAAAGTGACCTGAGGAGGAACTAGGGAAGGGACTAGAGAAGGGACTATGGCAGCTGGGGCCGGGACTGGGTCTGGAACCATGGCTGTTGGGGCCGAGACTGGGGCCGGGACCATGGCTGCTGGGGCCAGAACTGGGGCTGAAACCATGGCTGCTGGGGTCTGTACTAGGTCTGGAACCATGGCCGGAAACATGGCTGCTGGGGCCTGTACTGAGGCTATAACCATGGCTGCTGGGGGCTGAACTGGTTCTGGAACCCTGGCCCTTTGGGCTCGTGCTGCCAACCTGGCCTTGCGACTCCTTCCTTTAGGAGCCGTTTGGAGACTCCGTGGACCTCCAAAGGCCAGACGAGTACCAGCTAATGGCTCCTGGACAGTATCAAACACTGGGTGAGAAGCAGGGGCTGACGCCAGACGGACCACACCAATGCGTGTGGTATCAAAACGGGAGTTGGGAGGCCTGGGGCTGTCAGGCAGGGGATAATACACCGTGAGAAAATCCAAAATCCTGCCCGATAATAACTTAACCAAGCCTGGCTTCTCCATCGTAATCCGGCGTGCCTCTGCCAGAACAGCCTCTCGCTGCTGAACCCTGGACGCTCCCAACCATCGATACGAGCAGTCATCCAAAGCAAAGGAAAACTCCAATAGCTCCTGCTCAAAGGGATCTGCTGGGCCCATATTTATGGTTGGGTTGTAATGTTACGGTGTGCAGGAAGCAGGACCCAAATGCAGACTTAAGTGACAAAATAATTCCTTTATTTCAAGGCTACAAATCTCCAGACAGAACATAACACTCACCGCAGTTTACTCACAACACAAGACAACCCGACAAAGAGAGACAGAAAACCCAGAACTTAAATACACCCAGGACTAATCACATAAACACGAGACAGGTGAGGAGGGAGGAGAAAACACAGAGGTACCAGGTGAACACAATCGGGGAGGGAAACAGACAGAAAGCAAACAGGCAGGAAACGGGGGTGAACACTTTACAAAATAAAACAGGAAACCCAAAGATAGAAAAAGACAAAAAAAACACCAACACAGACAGATCCTAACAATACTGGCCCATTAAAGACAATTTAAAATTGTGTTTGATTTAATAGGCTAAGTTTTTGTGATTTCTTTTTTTTAATTGGGAGTGAAAACATTCTAAATCCTTTCGTACTGCATTGACTAAATAAAATATGATTGCATTGTGTTATAATGATAATGTTACTGTAATAGGACAACTAGAATTAATAATAGTAGCTTACATACTATATAGCAGTCATTATAGTGACTTCTATTCAAGTATATTCGCTATAAATGCTACTATAATCCTGTTTAATGTATGTCACTTTGTAGAGTCAAAGGAGCTGAGAAGGTTGTTGCCAGACATGGTGCGGTTTGAGCCGTCCACAGAGGACCTGGAGCTCTTCAAAGATGGGGGGGTGGCCATCATCGACCAGTGGATATGTGCCCATGCAAGGTAAATAATTGTTATGGTATTTTTACATGTATTCACTACGAGTTAACAAGATATATAAGTACTTTATTGATCCAATATTGGGAAATGATTTAGTAACAGTTGCAGCAGTGTGTTCAGACATTACAATGTAAATATCTTTAGAGGTGGAAGAAACTATAAACATAATTAAATAAAACAAAATATATAAAAACAATGAGCAGCTGCAAGTCTACACACGTATCTAAAGTAGAAAAGACATGAACCACAAGAATACTCCACATAACATTTTCTAGATAATTTAGACAGTTCTATAATATAGAAATCAGGTATACATGACAGGGTATTTGTATCAGACAACAAAATGACACATATTTCATAGGTTAATGACCTTCTTGTTAATAAAGTAATTGGTTCTTACTGTCTTTTCAATTTGAAAGCAAAGGTTTTGTAACACCAAATACCTCGGATATTTTAGCAGCCTTGTCACTCTCATTCCGTACTTAACTTGAAAAACTAGTTCTAGCTGTACATGCCGATCTCTTTGCATGTCACGTGCACATGTCATTTCCCAAGGTTCTCTTGCATCACTGTTTTTCTTTTCATCAGATATTTCATTGGAACTTCAGTGTCCACCTTCTCTTTCCGGATCCATGAAGAGAGGGAGATTTTGGGTTTTGACCCCAAAGCGACATACAATCGTTTCTGCGGGGACAATGAGAAGGAATGTGAACAACCCACACACTGGAAAATTGTTTATTGATGCAACCACTCACTTTCCTGACACACACAAGTGCCAACAGCAGTGTTAAAAGGGACAATTATTTGTATGTAATATTAAAATATATTTTTACTGTTTAATGGGGTATTATCTTTTGTTTACTTTGTATGGTTTCAGAATTGTGCAATCAGGTCTGAAGTGACCACTGTGACTGAACCTTATACAATGCCAAGACTTGGCTGCCAAACATGTATAACTGTAATCGGAAAATCTGCAAACATTTCTTTTGGTTTTATGTGGAATATTTATCTTTTAATGACAGCTTCATTTTTTAAACATAATTCCTCATATTTATTACCAGCACCACTGGTGAGAAAAAGTGACTTATAAAGACTGCAGAAGAGTGTTGTTTGAAGTGTTGTGGTGGAGTATTATCAGTTTAAACTTTGTGAGATTCAAAGATGTTGAGCATCTATACATTAACTACCCGTTATTTAATAAAATTACATTTTTCAAAAATAACTGCACAAAATGGTGATGGAACAATCGTATATTGCATTTTTAATAAAAGGTGCCCTGTGGAACTTTTGGAAGACAAATAAAGATGTGTTTACAATTTATTTTCAAATATGTATTTTGTTACCCAGTGTTATTTAAGTACTTTGCACATTTCCCTAGAAATTAGTAAGGAGCTGAATATTTCTAGCTCACAATTTTTTCAAATTAGCTGCATTTGGTTTCTTTTCTACCTTGTTTCTGTGATGTGAATTATGTTCCCTTTATGCATTGCCAGTATTAACATTTGTTACATGAAATTTCATTACAATATTATTGGTAAGTAGGAAATATGAAAATCGTCATAATGAATATCATGATGATTTTTGATGGTGCTTAACTTCATTACATTTGTTCATTATGTGATTGACATTGACCATGATAGTATCTTTGCTTATTAAAATATGTTTTAAAGGAATTCAAACGCCACAAATGAGCCACTATCTCTTCAACACTTGCTAGCCATGGAGCTGTCCTGAACACACCCTTTTTTTCATTCCTGAAGATGCCCGTGTTTTGATTTAAACATGTTTGGTGTGGACTTTGTCTCAAGACTTGCTTTATACAGTAGTTGTATTATTTTCATGATAAAAAGATTTTAGGCGGGTTTAAACATGGCATTTGTGATTATGTTTAACGTTTGATTGCTGATGCTTATATTTTCCTATCGCTATATTTTAATCTCAACGAGAAGTCAATAGCTCAAGTTTAGAAATGGTGATGTTAAACATTATTTGATTATAAGAGGTTAACTCTTTAAAGTATGTTATTGTTGTTAGGAATGTTTATTTATTCATATTTCTTGACAAACATAGTGTGATTGAGGCGTTCCAACATTAGGATGTTATATGTATGTAGTCTTTACAGCAGCAGAGATTTCTTGTATGACTTTTATGATTTTTCGCTGCATGTATGAAGATGAAAAACCAGTAAGACTACTTTGATGACGGAATTCACTTGATGCTTAACAGTATGATAGTGTCATATGTAACCTATGCTCTCAGTTGGCCCAACCCTGAGGCTTTCTATTGTCCTTTGTTTTGCCTTGTTTGAAATGTCTGGTAATGGTAAAAGTTAACTGGCACATGTTAACCTGATAGTTCAGGCTCCACTCTTTATGTACAATTCTGCTGAGTCATTCAGCTGTGTCTTTATCAGTTGCAATTAAGTACACCTACACAGGGAGTGTGTGTTTGTGTATGAAAGTGAAGTTAAAAATTACATTAGTTTGAGCTGCATCAGGCTATAGTCACATAGAAATCTGATTAAAGTAAAAAAAGAATTCTCAAATCTTGAATCTAATCTTGTGTGAATGAAGCAATTGTGATGGTATTTCTTTTTACATTTCAAACTTTAGTTTTTCAACATTTTTTGGTCAGTTTTTCTTGGCTTTCTTCATTTGTTTTCTCAGTCATACGATGTGCAGCTTTATGCGAATACACTGCATTGTTTTGTTTCTTTTCCTTGTGGATCCCCTACATAACAGAGGTGTACCCATGGAGACCATCCTCAACAACATTGTACTGACATTAGCAGAGTGTATTGTGATGCTTAGTTGCTCTGTCCCCTTTAAACCAATGCTCTTGCTTGTATAACATACATATCAAATGTTTTGTAACATTACATCTTATTCACACATTCATCTTTCCTCTATTAATCACTTTTCTAACCTAAACCCAGAAGTCTTACCCTGAAGAGGAACTGACACATTATACTGCAGGTCAAACACAGGAAAAGCTCAACAAATATGTGATCAACATTTTTTTAAACATTTGTACAGAAATGTGTATTATTAGAAGACTATACGCTTTTATGTTCAAAGGAATCAAGTAGGTTGATCCAAATTAGCTTAATTCTATATATTTAAAAAAAAACATCTTTCATAAGCTTTAGTAATACATTATGTCAGATACGCTATGATTAGCTTAAAATAGAATGACATTATAGGGCACAGTGTTCCCTGAAGTCAGGTGCCATACTGTGTAGTCAGACAGGTCGCAGCCAGAGTACACGCCCCTCTTCAGATTTACCTTTTCACACACACAGGTTGAGCTAGTCACATAAGCAGCAGGCAACAACAGAGGTGAAGGTTGTTTATCCTGTGCAGAAATCGCTGGGTCATTCTTTTTGTTTTGAATTGTTGGGGTTTTGAGCGTGATTTCCTCTTTTACTTTGAATCGTCTGATGGAAAGGGCATCCTGCTAGGGGCCAGTTCGCGCCATGTCCTTCGTTGTCCTGCGCTCTACAGTCAGATAACACATCGTTTTCAACAGTAAAGAGGACACACGCAAGCAGGTAAGACTCATACTTTAAAAACATTTAACAGTGACTTATTTTATATTGTCAATTATTAACGCATTTTCATGACGTGATTTATGCATGTGGATTTGTGAGAAACTTTATTTGTGTCCACGTTCAGTTTACTATTAGGCTATATCAAAGTATGACACGAAATAAGATCAATTGAATTATGCACGTGTCATATGTATAGCCTTCATATTATAAGACTAGTATGTTTAACTGATACCTTCAATGTCGACACATTGGTTTTAAAACAGGGTCCAATCTGTCTTCCTCCACACATGGAGTCTCCTGGTTTTCAGGGAAATGCATTTTTTTAATTCTTTGAGCAATATAGGAACTTAGTTCATGATAACTTCAAACTTTTAAGTCCCGCCTGAAGACCCACCTCTTTTCCCTCGCTTTCGAGTCAGTTTGAGCTATGTTTTATCGATTTTTATGCTTTTATTGTCTGTCCATAGCCTTTGTCTTTTATCTATTCTTGTGTGCCTTTTTATCTATTATTGTTATGTTTGCTGTGAAGCACTTCGGTAAACCCTCTGTTTTTAATAATGTGCTATATAAATAAAGTGGATTGGATCAAATAAAAATAAATCGTTAAAGCCGAATTAAACAATTCGACGACGAATCGAGTCAAATTGTTCAACAATTCAGATAATCATTTAATCATAGAAATGACTCAAACTGAAAATGTTCATAGGAAATACATAAATTGCTATCTGAAAATAAATCAAATGTCTTTCAGCTTTTCTCAGTTTTTTATCACAGTAACCTGAATATCTTTAGATTTACGACTGATTAAACAAAACATTTAAAGACATCACCTTGGACTTTGAGAAACAGGGATGGACATGGACATTTTATAGATAATTTAAAACAGAAAATAAATGCATAGATTGATCATTCTCATATGTTTGTTTTTGTTACTAGCCTCCTCTCCTGATGGCCTTTTTCCAGCAGCTGAAGCTTCTCCTCTGGAAGAATGGGCTCGCAGCCATCAGACAGCCAGTAAGTGACTTCCAAGAGCTGGGCAATTCTATTTCTATACAAGCACATGGATTCTTAAGAAGGATTTGGGGGAATAAATCACATACAGCACCTTTAACGAAGGGATACTCCATATTTCAAGATTAATTAACTATTTATCCCTTAAAATATTCAGTTTATATATAAACAATGTAAATGACCTCTTTATTAACTGATATTGCTGTTTTATCATATCCTGTGTTACAGTTATGGTCCCTGACTCTGGTCGCCTGGCCTCTGATCATCTTCATCATCATTGCTGTGACACGCAACCAGTTCCCTCCAGTTCAAAAAGATATATGTAAGTACAACACCGCACGGGTATACAAAAGTGCTTTGATTTAGATCCATGTTAGTGACATGTAAAGATGTAATTAAATAGTGCTACAAATACATATCTTCACAAAGACAAGTCTAACTGTTATGCAATCAATAACCAATAAGATGGAATGGACTGAAAACAGAATAAAGTAACTACTGGATAAGAGACACAGCTGGTAATTCTGTACTTACAAAATATTGTTTGTCTCCATATCAGCAATTTTTTTCAACGAATTACAGGAAAGATTTGTTGGCTGCTATCTCTTAACTTCATAGAGAGCAAGATCTTAAAGTGGCAGACACAAGGGAAAGATCCAGTTGGCTGTTGAGTAATGGAAGCTTTCGTCACCAAATAATGACTTGACCGGGGCAGCAGGGTGTTTGTATATTGTTTAAAATCACTTGGCCATTCCGATTCCACAATGAAGGTAAACAAAAGGAACGTTTAACTCAATATAGCTGCACTGTTGACATGGTATTTGCACTCCTTTGTTATTTAACCCCCGATAATGCGGGTAAAGGTTATTCAGGAGGGAGCGTTACACAAGTATATTTTTCTGCTATTGTTGTGCCAGATATGATGGCAGATGAAACCCAAGTATGGGGTTACAGAGGGAGGGGCCGACACTCAAACCAGGTGGTTTGGAAAAAAACATACCACAAGATTTTAGAAACATACCTAAAGCTTTTTTAATTCCAGTAAGCCTGGTTCTTTAACAAATAAGCTGCGTCTTTCAGAAAGAACATTTAAAACTGCGTCAGCATTATTTTAAGAGAACTTCATCCTCCTATGCACCTGTCAGCATGGGATAATGGGCACATTTGTTTGTCCGGTCTTTTTTCATGGATCAGATTCTGTGGATTCAGGGATTGCTGTGTAACTTAATAACTTTTCAGTGAAACGAACAATAGGACCTACTCTACCATTTTAAGTGCTGTTTATTGTGTCGCTGCTTTTGTATAAGACCACTCCCAAAGCAAGCAATAAAACATATTGAGTGACCAATCATACTGGATGACCAGCAGTAACCTTGATTCAGGAAGTATAGGGTTGCAATTTAGTCTGGAAACACACAGTTTCTCACAGAACTATTGAGTGTTATCAAATTATTCCTTGTTATGAACTATTTTCCATGAGATGGCCCCTGTTGTATTATGAGAGGTGCTGAAATAAGCGTTAAAGACTAATGATAAACTACTGAAAACAAAATATACACACATCTTTTGTTGCTTTTTTTGACAGTTGAAAACAATGTTCAATGCTGAAATGTAACATTGGCACCCTGCTTGATTTGAGTTTCATAGTGTTTATTAGGGATGCACGATATTGGTTTTTTGAAACCGATAACTTCCTGCTTCTCAAGACCGATACCGATAATAAAAAAAAATGTACGCCACTAATTATTTTAACGCGATTAACGCATGTGTATTTTTTTTCCTCGGCCGCCCCGTAGTTTCAGAGCGCATCGAGTTTAAAATACCATCTACAAGCTGATGCTGACAGCCCCGCTCCTGTCGCCCGCTTGTGGCAGACCACACTTCCACGCTCACCGGCAGGCACCGACTGGCTGTTGGGAGGACCGGGAGGGTGTGTGTATGTGTGGTCCGAGCGAGCGAGAGAGAGACCTTACGTGCATTGTTGTTGTTAGCATCTGGTGCTAGCTAGCTGCGCTAACGGCTATAAGGAGCTGTTCAAATGAAAACAGAGGAGCGACATTTCGCCACAACTGCGCCGAGCACTTGACTTTATGCAGGAAGCCAGACAGTGGGACATTGTACGAAAAGTCAGCACACTCAGCACGGATAGTGCGCAACATTATTGCAGCGTCCAGGCAGCTCCGGTTCGAGCATATGCCTTGAGTTGCACATAGCTCCAACGCCCATACCACCGACGACATGTTTGTTTACTGTCCTGGCTTCACGAGTTAGGGAGCGCTGGATTTGTGAAAAACTCCCCTCTTCCTAAACCACTAATACCACAGTACTGGCAAAACGGGAGGAGCCGAGTGAAAAACAAGCGCCCCTCATCCCAATCCACCCACACCGCAGTATTTTTTTCTTTTTTTTTACCCAAAACATATATTGTATATTATCGGGGCTATTAATACTGGTATCGGGTTTATCGGGATGACGTCATCATTCCTAATATCGGACCGATAATTATCGGGCCGATAATTATAGTGTTTATCATAAACCACAAACCTCAACCCATTATCAGATTTGCACTACTTGAAGGGCCGTTATGTCAATGGATATGAAATGTTACCTTAACTCAAGTACCGACTCAAGTCACTGTTTTTGCTCTAGATATCATAAACATCAATTATATGTCAACGCTGTTTGCTCTGCATATTCTTTAGTTTTTGGATCAAGTACCTTTCTGAGAAATTATACTTAATACCATAGCAGTACTATACCATGCAGTCAGTCTAGTCGCATGTCTTTGTTCTACATGTAAGTAATGGCTAAGATTGTTTCCTGAAAATAAATGATGTGTTAATTCATTGGCAGTGATTCAGAAAATGGAAAATAGTTCAAGCTCAAGATCTTGTGGGGAGAAATACGTGAAATAGAAATGAACAACCAATTGGGAAAATGTAATTCTTTCTTTTTTTTAATGAAGCGCTCAAACAAAGCGCGCAGTATGTTCACAATGCACAGCTTTCCTTTGGACCTGCCTATTAACACCACATCAAACATTTTTATAAGGTTGATTACATTTATCTACCCCTTCATATAGTAAATAATACGGCATAAATTGAATGGAGTATTTAAGCTAGTAATCTACCTGTAACCTACTTCGGGTAGTTCCAATAACAGAGTTTTGTGTAAGGATGTGCAGTTTTCCCTCCTTCTGCTTCTCTTTTTGTTTCATGTTTGTTTGTATCTGTCTGTCTTCCTGGCTGGGCGTGGCTGATCTACTTTCAGTTCCCGTCAATTCACCTCCGCAGCTGCTACTCATCTTCCTGATTCATCTACTCACCCACACCTGCTTATATACCCGGCTTCCTCATCCAGTATTCACCAGTTCGTCGTCAAAGATACACTGAATTCGTCTACTCCTCTGCCTGCCACGTCCAGCCAACACCACCTCGTCAGCAAACCTCAGATTATCTTCACTACCAGCTCCAGCCTGCTCACTCTATTCAACTCTGATTCCCCGGCTCATCTCACCCGTGTTCCGCTGCAAATCTCCGAACCCCGGCTTCAGCCTGCTCTCTCCGACATCCTCCGGATCTTCAACTACGGACCTCCACTCTCCCCCCCCCCCCGTAGTAATTCCCCGATCCGGATTATTAATTCCACAGCAGTATTGTTTGAACTTTGAATTGGAAATTAAATTATTTTTGCTTCCATACTCACGTCTCCTCCCTTCCGTGTTTGTATTGAGGGTTCAGCCTGTAAGCGCTATTTGAGCGTAACAGTTTTGTTTGCCAAATGTACACATTTAAGGACATATCTTACTGATGTTTTCAAGCATTCTCGCTAAAACTTACACTTTGTCACGTCTCCTCCAGGTTATGTGGGACCCAGAAACCTTCCCAGCACAGGCTTCTTCCCTTTCCTGCAGACCCTCATGTGCAACACTGACAGCAACTGTCACAACAAATCCCTTCTGGTGGACCCAGCTGCATCAAAGTCAACTTCAAGGTATCCCCAGTAGAATAGATCATATACTGGATGAACTATTTCTGACCCATACTGCAGGAGCACCAAATGTTTATTGAAGTTGTGATTTCAGTCAGCATCACTGCATCTATACCGCCTCATCATTTCCCTCCATCTTAAACATAAACGTAATGTCTCTAGTGCAGGGGTGGCCAACCAGTCAGAGGTTAAGAGCCACATTTTTTCTATGTTATTGCAAAGAGCCACATCAAACACACAGTCACTGATACCGCTTGTTTCAGTTTTTTGTTTTCTGGAGACAAGATTTCAACCACGTCACTGATGCATTTTTGTGGCATTGGGATATATATTTTTTTAATCCTCTGGAGCAGAGAGAGGAGCTGTGGATTATTGTTATTGATTAATGCATCAGTGTTTCCTAGGGTCAAAAACACTAAACCCACAACTTAAGATGAAAGCGTTTAGTTTATTTAATAAAAGAGCACATGTTCAATGTGAAAAGTGACAGTAGTTATAGATTATTTGCAATTTGGTGGTATATATATATATATATATATATTTTATTATATATATAACACCTTGAATTCCAGGGGGGGGGCGCGGGGCTCCGTTGGCGGGGCGCGGGGCTCCGTTGGCGGGCAGCGCCCCTCTAAGACAATGGTAGGGGAAACACGGGATAGTGTTTAATCAACGATAGGTTTCCCCCCCCTCAAAGGTGATTGGTTCACTGCATCGCAGGTATTATTGTGATTGGCTCTTGGGCCACATCAAAATTAGACGCGCTGTCATCCTCTCATACTGACACCTGACACCACACATACACACGTAGGGAGAGCCGGGACGAAAGTAACACGGGACGAAAGTAACGGAGCTATTTTATCCGAGCCCGAACAACTTTGACCGGCCAAATTACGTCAGAATTATCAGCATTCAATACTTAACAGACCTACTAAATATCAGGTTTAACTGTCAGGAGTAGTGTTGTCACGATACCAACATTTTGGTTTCGATACCAAGTCAAGAATTGCGATTCCGATTATTTTTCTTAAAAAAAGGGAAACAGTCTTAAATGTAATTATTGTGCTTTATTTCACACCAGAACCATAACCATAACACAAACTTTTAAACAATGAGAACAATAAATAAAATAAATGACAAGAATTCGTATTAAATAAAATTAATACATTTCTTACAGACGGGCCTCGTGGTGTCCGTAGGCTTGCCCTCACTGTCAGAGATATAGCTAAAATACATCGCTTCTGGCGTCTTTTTTCTCAACAAGCCGAGGCGCAGCGGCAGTTGTACTCCCACTTGCAGCCATGCTTCTGGTTTTCTCACATGCTCTGGCAGCTAGCGCGTGCACGAGAGAGGGGAGGGACTTAGAGCGTGCTTGAGAGGGGAGGGACTTAGAGCGTGCTTGAGAGGGGCGGGACTGCAGGCACGGCTGCAGTGCAGGGAGTGGAAGCAGAGCGCTGAACACACACGGCTCTTATTAAAACGGCGCTTTCTCACCGGAGTACTTTCCCCCGTCATTCTTAAAGTACCGATACTAATGAAACGGAGGAATCGTAACGTTTTTAACGGCAGGGTATCGCGGTATACCTTTCAAGTATCGGTACACCATGCAACACTAGTCAGGAGTCAGTGTCTCTTCTCCAAACTCACACATATAAAATTCGATATGAACTGAAGAGCCGCATGAAACTAGGCAAAGAGCCGCATGCGGCTCGAGAGCCGCGGGTTGGCCACCCCTGCTCTAGTGGCTCCATCCCAGGTGTCATACCATTTATAAAAAAAAAAGATGTACAGAGGGCAAGAGAGACACAAAGGAGTGACTCACCTCCGCATAGCTGCATCACACGAGATGACTAGTTAGTGTGATCATAGAAATGTACCAACAATAGATAAGGAGAAGCAAAAATGCTGAAAGAAAAACCTGCTTTGATGGTATTCTAGATGAGTGATTACTTTTTAATTTAGTTTAAAACAACTCTGCCAACACATAGAGTTGCATAATCTTTAGAAAACAGGGAGCGGGTTTCTTTATGTAAGCCTGTCTATTTCAAGTTCAAGTGTTAACTAGGTAATTAGTTCCTTAGTTGTTTTTTCTGTCTTTGTTGAGCTCTCGTGTGCTGTCACTCAAATATATATTCCAGACACAGGAATGACGCTGGCTGGTAGAAACCAGTTTTTTGTAACCTTCGACATAATGCTGATTGATGGTTTAAACTTTATACCCATACCAGACTAGTTACACTCACACCCACTACAGATTTTGGTTTCAAATGGTTATCTTTTCATTGCCTCATGTGATCCTTTTGACTCTGTATGATAGGTTGAGGAAACAGAAGAGTTCTCCGCTGTCAAAACTGATTAACGGGGATGAATTATTCAACTTCCTTCTTCCCAAGAGCGTTGACAGTGATCCTACAGCACTGTTTGAGGTGTTAAACAACTTTTTTGGTATGTTATCCTCATTTCCATGTACCATGCTAAAAAACATTGTTATGCTCATTTTAACAAATCAAATTCTGGGTCAAGTTATGCATTTTTTTCATTTTGTGTTGAGGAGCCCCATTCAGACACATGTTATTGCACAGATAACAATTTAAACACATGTTATAGAAAGACTAGCCATGCTCTCGTACATCGGGAAGAAAAGACACATTTGCTGTAGAATAAACATTGTAAAGCAAACTTGAAGCTGGAGCCAAGAGAAGAATAGCTGAGCTAAGAGAGTGGAAAAAGGGAAATAGCTAGCCTTTGGTTAGCCACTTTGGATTGAACAGATTATACAAATAACATAATGTGTTCATAAGTGAATTTTTGATATGCTGGTAGGCAGATGAGATTTATTTATTATACCTATTATATATTTAGAGAATTCATTCAAGCTAGCAGTTTCCCTCTACTAGTAGTGTTTATGCCAAGCTAAGCTAACTGTTTCCAATTAGCTTTATATTTAAGAAATACATATATAAAAGAGGTTATAATCTGCAGGACAGCAAATAACCCTGTTTTTCAAAATACTGAACCGTTGATTTTTAGAACCACATTGTGGACTTATCTGACGTTGGTACTAAAACATTCAACTTTGTTTACTCTAGCCCATTCTACTGTTGGCTAATGTGTTTACTATGATATTAGGAATGACTGTAACTGCTATATTCACACAGTTTTTCAATGTGTATTCTTGTTTTAAAGGTTCATCTCACCAAGGAAGCTCTAATAATGCCTCTTTCATGAACTCCATGAATAACACACTTCCTGCTGATCAGGTAAAATTAGTATACGGGGAACAACACTGCTGAGAGTACAGAATGAAAAGCCTGTTCGTTCAGTCAAGTGCCACTTAACTGAAACCTTGTTCAGTCTCTTCTTTATAAACCAGTGTTAGTGGCAGTTAAGCCATTATTGACCATAAAAAGGCTCATAGGAATACCTAAAACCATTTATTTAAAATTCCACTTCCTTTTTGTATTTACCCTTGACAGAGATAAGGGATACACAAGAAACAAACAAACAAACTGTATTTTAAATTGATAACTTGCTCAATATGATTGTTTCAATAGTTAAGCGATACAGTAGATTGTGGAACTATAAACAATGTGTTGTGAAGGTACAATCGACATTTGTGTTATAATTTTTTATTGTATGAATTTACTAATAGTAATAATCTGAATCCAGGAGAGCTTGAACCAAATGCTGGAGTCAGTGAACCTGTTTAAGAGAGCCATCTGTTCCCTGACGCTGCCCATGATAAACACCTCGTCACCGGACAGTATCTCCTATGCTGTGGTCACTTTCTGCACTTCCAACAACACTCTTTTTGAAGTCTCGCTCAACACAATCAACCAGGTGTGTGTTCGCTTGCATTCACAATTTGTAACTTGCAAGTCTCAACTCTTTTATGTATTTGTACATACAAAAAGTAAGTATTTAGGGACACTGCTGCAGTGAAGTTTGTTTCATTGACCTCTGTTTTCAGATACTGACGCAGCTGATGATGAAAGAGCCTGATGAGATGATGACGTTGGCTGGCGTGGCGGTGTTGGTGTTCGATAAGCTGCAAAGTCAGACCCCACTGTGGGAAACTCTTCTTGCCATTCCCCAGCTCCTCAATTCTGGTTCCATCGACCAAGGGCTGGACAGCGCTGAGGTCCTACTCAGCAACTTACAGGGGTAATGTACTTTCAATGACGGATTCATTCAAAATGAATCAAGGGCAGCTGTATAAAGGTGTTTATGTATTTAGTCAGTTTAGAAAAAAAGAGGGCAATAGTTCAATAGTATACTGAATATTTCATGAAGGCCAGAGCAGCTTTCAGTTAAAGAATTACTGAACTGAGTTACAATTCAATTGAGCCCTAGTGATTCATTTTAGAAAAAAAGAATTGGTAATGGCTTTTGAAACTTGGACCATCCCTGTTTGCGAACCACAACATCTGAAACATAAGGATTTAAAGCAGCAGAAGGGTCAAATGTGTGTGTGTCTAATCAATAGCTCTTCCAAGTGTTTTCTGCAGGTCTTGAAAATGAAATGTTTTCCCTCTGCGGTCTCTTTAGTTCTCTGCGTGTCATCGAGAGCAATTTCCCTGAAGCAGGTGCCTCACTTTCCACGGTGCATCCACTGCTTGCGGGAGGCATCAACCTCATCAACTATGCTCAAAACTGGCCTGGCAGAGGTAACGTTTCAACAGCTGTACTGAATAAACCCCATTTTTTTTCAAAATACTTTAATGTATATAAGATGTAGGCTATGTTTGTAAATATGCAGGTAAAATGCTGATATGCCATAAGGGTGTAACATCTGAACATGTGATGTTATTTTATTTAGATGTGTCCATTCCCCTTGGAGAGATTGTCACATTGCAGAATGACACACTAAGTGAAATGGTGAAAACTCTCTTACAAAACATCAAAATACCTCTGGACAAGGTACGTGTTGATCCCAGTCATTAAGTTAAAGCATTTCTTTCTATATGGTATGAAAATACGAGTTGGTATCCATCCAAGAAAATGTAAAAATCTGAATTAGATGATGAGTTCTATACATATGTTTTCACTCACATGCCTATATAATAGATTATGAAGCTACTGTACAGCCCAGTAGCATAGCTTAGAATAAAGCAGAGGTTAACAGAGCCTAGGTCTGTTTAAAGTTAACAAAAACCCAAATGCCTAGATTCTTTGTTCCATTACAGAGGCAGTTTAACCTGTAAGGATAACTAAACTAACCATGTCCTTGCTGTAGTTTCATATTTAATGAACCAATATGAAAGGGTGTTTTCCCAGAACTATTATTTTCAAGCAACACTGTTTTACTACAGTTCTGACTATGTGGTAATAATTAATCCATACATGAGTCACCACTATATAAAGACTTTAAGTATCTTCCCTTCTCTAGGCTATTGGCCTGGCATTGGACAGCAGCATGGCTAGTTCGTGCTTGTGTGACAACAGTAGCAACCCGATGTGGCTAACAGCAGCGTGCCGCACCGGCACCGTGGATATGCTTCTGGGTTGGATCAGCCCTGATAAGTTGGCAAAGCAGGTACGAGAGAGATAATCACAGACATCACAAATGAGTCAGCTAGTTGTTGTTTTTTCTCTCTCTTCTCTCTGTGTTGTTCTGTCATTGCTTTTAATTTGTGTTTTCAAGTGCTCCACCTTCACTTTTAATTAGATTCACCAAACACTGAATAATTAGACTAAGGGTCGCAAGCTGTTGGCCATAGCAACAAGCAACCGTGAAACCCAGGTCACACCTGGGGAACAGAACCCTTAAAAACATCCAATTAGCACTGCCACTGTAGTGGATTTGTTTTGATGAGGTAATAACCAATCAGAAGCAGTTAGGAAACACAGTCATCCCTCTGCGTGCACGCTTCAACAGTCAGCTGGACAGCATCTACAAAGTTATGTTATTATATCAGAGCCTGGTTTATTACTAAGTAGGATTTTGTATAATATAAGAATATGTGCTGTGTATTTGTGTTAAATTAAAGAGCTGTACAGTAGTATTTTGACCATATCATCTTGCTAATATCATTAAGAGCACTGTTATATGTCATTTGATGTCAATTTGCCTAGGTGAATGGATATGTGAAAAAAATAGATACAACATGATAAACTCCTTGATGAGACAGGTACAAAATATTTACAGATCAGGTAGGATTCAACTGAAATGATTTTTAATGTTGCTAGCCTAATTCAGCATACCCTCTGGTAACAACCACTTTATTGTGCCCAGGCTCTCTTGGTGTGGAGTAAGCACGTTGCTCCCCACGACGTGTCTTATGCCAAAGGGCTGCTGCACAGTCTGATGGGAACGCTATCTCCAGGAGGACAGCGAGTCTCCAGCAACCCAAGGACCAGGCGTAGCATAGAAACACAACCACAAAACATTGAGGAGGAGCTGTAAGTATAGTACATTCTCAATCACCTATAAACATCCTATAGAGGTTTTCTGTTTCTCTTAAAGCTGCAACAACAACAGTATGTAGTGAATTGCATTGAAGCAACTAAAAGGGCTCTCTGAATGTCACACAACTAGTCAGACAAGTGTAAGCAAGTTTCTAGGAAATGTTTATTTGAAGGCTTGAGGATTTGACTTGGGTTCATCAAAGGTCATTCTTGTAATCTCTTGCTCCAGCTAACAGTTATGCTTCATTATCAAAATAAATGTATACAGTAGAGGAAACAATTTGTTATTTTCCTGTGAAATTGTTAGGGAGATGTGTTTTATAGATAACATTTTGGATGTTGAAAGCTATTTTTATACCAATTCTTTAACATTTGTTGTACAATTTGTTTCAGCAAATGTAACCTTTTTAGTTTAATATATTATACCTAGAAAATACAAGCTGTAACCAACTTGTGTTGTTTCTTTACTCTGTCTTTCTCACTCGCTGAAGTTAGCTAAACCTTTATTTTTTTGAATACAAAATCTACCATATACATTTTACTATCGTATGACTATATAAATATGAATATTTAGCTGTAGAAAAAGCTTAAATGTAAGCTATAACAGAGCCCTGCAGCTATCATCCGATCAGATATATACGTCTGCCGTCCACTGTAACATGAATAGTTTGTACTTTATTTTGAGTCTGGTGTTTCGGCAGGTTTTTGGGAGTCGGTCAAGTGGTGATGGAGATTATAAAAAGTGTGCCAGAGCTGGATATGGTTCTCCAGAGCATCCTCGGAACAGGCTTCCAGTCCATGAATTTTGCGTCACTGTCCCTTGAAAATGTAGAAGGTAAGACTTGAAACATCAGTGAAGTCTCAGTTAAACATCCTGATGTCTACATGCAAACTTAGACATCTTTTTTTGACGGTAACACATGTACAGGACTACAGTTCAGTTCAGTGAGGAAGTATGACTTATTTTTCCACTGACTGCCACATTCACTTTTGTTTCCTCCCCCTGAAGTATTTGTACTGTAAAACCAGAGGTGAATGGAACAAGTTCACTCCCTTTCTCAGGGGAATAATGAAAGAACCAAAGTAGGACTATAGGAGTAACCAAATGGGAAACAGATACAACACACACACACACACACTCACACAACACACACACACACACACACACACACACACACACACACACACACACACACACACACACACACACACACACACACACACACACACACACACACACACACACACACACACACACCACACACACACACAACACACACACACAACACACACACCAACAAGGGAACATTATAACATTTTATAAAACACAATCCCCCTGGGTTGTATTGTATTACAGAAATTGTGTGACAAATTAGTTGACATAACAGTTTCCAAACATGGATTTATTTGTTCTTGTTATAAATGTAGTTTTGTTTGATAGCATATCGCTTAATAATGATGATCTCTGTCTGACTTTCAGAAATCATAGCCAATGTCATGAAAGATGCGGATAAACTCCAGATGGCTTATCTGGCGATCCTACAGGACCAGACCGAGGCAAGCGCTTGGATTGCTCAAGTCGTGGACAGTGTGATGAAAGTGATCATGAAGGTATGCTCGTAGTATTTTAACTAACCATACAGCTTTGCCTTTTTTTTCTCTTGATTAATAAAGAACCACGGTGTTATTTTTGTAGTTTTAGGCCTCAACGCTTCATTACAGCTTAGTGGCTGGCTGCTTGACTCAAGGCAGAAAGACATAGAGGATTGCACATTGTCGAAGTTGCACAGGCAGGTTGTAATCGATATTTAAGGAAACGGTTACCTTTTAGTTTCACTTCTCAGTAAATTCCCTTACATAGTTTGGTTAAAATGGGCTTGGTTCACTGTCTATCTTGTCTATCATGCAGTTATGAGGGGGCCTCACCTCCTCATCTGAAGCGCAAATGCGGCGAACTATTATGCGCTTACGTGGCGCAATTAGTGTAAGCGTGCCACAGGTTATCTGCCGTTTAGTCCACTAGCACCCCCCCGCGCTCGCGACACAGATTGGGCATTTTAAAAGTAGCTCCCAAGCTGAAAAAGTGTGGGCACCCCTGGTCTATCTGATCCCTCATGTTATTTCCCAAGAAAACGTTGAGCAACCTAGCATTGTTCAAAAAGCTTTGTTATGCAGGTATGTGCAGGAAGCCTAGGGTGACTTACTGAACACCTGTCTGATTAATTTCTCTAGTATCATATAAGGACCTTGAATTCTGGGGATGTTTGATGTTTTTGTTTATTGTATAGAAAATCAATGACGGTAATTAATTGGTGTTTTTTGCTTCTGTTTGACTAGATTCTGTCATCTGAGTCTTTACAATGTGAGGATGTGTTTGAACCCTTCGAATGGCTCTTAAAGTCAGAGAGCATAAAGACAGAGGTGTGGAGATCAATGATCTGTCAGAACAGCTCCGCCTTACAGGAAGCGCTCCTGGTGGATTGGCTGCCATTGGTTCAGAAGGTAACTACATTAAAAGATGTACAAAAAATAAAATGTGTTTTTTACTTTATTTATTGTGTTGTTTTAAAGCAAATTACTATCATCAAGGCTTTTGGCTTTTCTGCATTGTTGAAATTAACTAAATGTACCTAATCAGTTAAAATGAAAGTCAGTCTTACGTTAACACACATTCATATTTAATGTCACGCAGGTATACCTTTAGATTAACAACTTGTTTTATGTTATCTTTCTACAGGCGCAAGACTTGTACGGTGTCCTCACAGGCCAAACACACTACAACGTGTCACTTCCCATGATTCTCTCTGAATGGCACAGGTTGTACAACAACAGTCTGCAGCTCGGTGTGCTTTTCGACAGACTGGCCACAGAGCTGGGTGGAGCGTACTGGATGAACTGGATGCCAGACAACAGCACTCCTGATGTTACGGGAATTCTTCAACAAAGGTCTTGTGAAAGTGTTGATTAAATAGCCTCAGGGTTCCATGGTGCTCTGCATATCTGTTTTTAAGTTTAAGAGATGATTGGCAATAGAATGTCAAATATTATTATCTTGTTATAAACATGTTTTTATTCGAACTCTCATAATCAATGTAACTCAAACGATTTTAGTGGTATCTTCCTGTGAAGGTTATTGATTTAAGTTGGATAAAAGCTATGCAAATAGTCCATTTCACTTTGTTAAGTGGAGAACAAAATAAATAAAAGGTGAATATGAGTATCAATTTCATAATATCAGTTATCATTTCACTGTCTAAATATTGTTGTAATTTGCTTTGCTTGTAGTGCTTTCTTTATCATGGTGAATGTTGGAGAAAATATTGAGAAGAGTCAACTGTGGCCCGATGTAAAGGACTATCTTCACATGCTCTACTGGATTTCTAACTACAGGCCTGGACTCACAACTCAACCACCAAACTGTGAGTACAATTTCTTCTTTTCTATTTTTCTTTTTCTTTATCCAACTTCTTTTCATACTTTTTTTCGCTTCTTTGTAATAATCGTCACCGACACACATTTTTGTCTGTGAATTCTTTATATTCTCCTTGTACTGTATACAGCAATTAAAAATCAATTGAAAGTTTAAATTGTGAATTAATATATTTCCAGTAAACGTTTGACCAACAAAAATAAATGGCCAATTTGGCTTTATTAGTGTTGTTATTTAAATTGGTCTTGGTCTTAATTGGTCTTAATAGAGAATGCCAATCGGCCTAGTATATATTATAGTATATATTTCTCCAAATTAAATTTAAGTGCGAAAGTAGTTTATGATAAACTAAGTAAGTATTCAATAAAAAAAATAAAAAAAATCCAACCAATTTAAGTATATATGTACTTTTTTTACCCTCCCTTTAAGGTTCAATGAGCAATTACGGGGCCCTTCAATGTGATACTGGTTTGAAATGGCCTCAGTTTGTTCAAACACTGACTCGGAATCTGATGTCACCAAACCAAGATGTTCTGGTGAAGTAAGTTATTTTGTCCTTGTTATTTTCAACATATTATGTATTTTTGTATGTGGAGATGATGCAGGTAATGCACTGCAGATGCTATAAAATAGGATTTTCTGACATGTTTTCTTGTACTCTTCTCTTTTCTTTTTAGTTTTCTAAAAGGAACAGTGAATCTGTTGCAGCATGTATACGGGGACACCTATAAAAATCTGGCAGGATCATTTTTGAAACAAGAAATCATTGGTGGAGATGCGCTCTCTGCCTACCTGACAAACCTGCTGGAAAACCTGGATGTTTTTGTCAACACGATCTCCATGCTTCCTGACCGAAACATTACAAACCCTAATGTCATGCTTCCCCTCCTCGGTAACCTGTTGCAGTCCACAGGTCTGAAACCACTGCTGCCTCTGTTCTTGAGTGACGGTCCCCTCAATGCCTCCGCAGTACTGGATGTTGCCTCGAAGCTTGGCAGACTCAACCAGCACATTTTTACATTCAATGAAACGGACCCAACGATGCCTGAACTGGAACGGTTGACAATGCAGTTTCTGTCCTTGGAGGGTAACCTCACCATGTCTCTTCCTCACATCATGGGACACACCCTGCTGACCTATTCAAACTACTTCAACCCTGATGATGTAGCCCGTCTTAGAAAAGCCATCCAGCCTTTCACCAAGCAGACCTCAGCTGGCTTTGTAGAAGCCATCCTGAGGGCCATGGAGCTACTAAAGAAGGTTTTAGATGCTCCAGACGGTGACCCAACTAACATCATTCTTGGGTACATACGCCAGCTTCAAGACTTTGTGATGTCTCTGTATAGACTGAGAAAAATACAACATCTCCCGTCATCTAGTGGGAATCTAAGCACAGCACAAGTCACTGACCTCCACATGCTCTCGAAGGACTTCCTCAGCCTTCTTACCCCAGAAGGCCTTATGAACCTGACTCACGCTGGAGAAGATGCTGCCCAGGACATTGTTGCACAGAAATTCATAGCATTCCTCCCAAAAGAGGTCCAACAGGAAGCTGCTCGCTTTCTCAAGGATTTCAAAGCTCTGCAGTACCACATAATCCAATGTGCAGCAGGACAGAACTGCTTGACTGGAGTCTCAGAAATCTTCATGTTCCTGGATCAGATATTGGACCTGATGCTTTCAGCCGACGGTAATGTCAAACTTACATTATCTTCAACCAACTCTGTTCTGAAGAGACAGGAGGATGAGGAAATTGCAACCCTGTTCTTCTCACTCCTCCTGTCCTCTGATGATGCTGCCTATGTGGAAACATTCAAACAGTTTCTTCATTTCATCCGATTGATCATAGCTACACCAAATATCAGTGTGTCTGACGTTCAGAATGCATTGCAACAGTCAAACCTTACCCTTGCGGAGCTGAACAACATCGCTGCCCTAGCTGGAGCTGCCAACATAAACGACCTGATGGTGGATATAATGGAGCTTATCAAGGTCCGACAGTGCTTCGAACCACAGGATAAACCCATGGTGACAGCCCAGTGTGTTATGGGCCTGATAAAATGGTTTTGTCAGCAGTTTCCTATCCAAACGTTCCCAGTCCTCCGTAATGAGACAGCCATCCTCTCACTAATTCATTAATCGTCAATAACAGTATCAGGGATGTCCTCCAAGGTGACTTCAGCTCCAATCCTCAAATGGCTATTGCACACACCTTGAACAGATCCTGGCAATATCAAGATGAACCTCCAGCAAGAACCAGCTGTCAACTCGGAGATCATTGAAGGAATCGTGGTGGTAGAGGGTCTGATACAACTGATCGCCATCTCAGAACCATTTGACAATTTGAACTCCACTTTGATGATGGACCCTTTGTATGCTCAGAAGGTGTATCTCCAGATCGTGGAATGGTACTTGAAAAAACTGGAAAACATCACAAGCACAAGCTCGGTCTCAGGGCTTGTCGATCCTTTTTTCTCCCTCACACACATGCAAGTGACATTACAGCTGGCTCAGGCGGATTACTCTTTGTTCGTCAGTAAGCAGGTCGAGTTCTTGATGAACAACCTTCAGAACCCAATAGATGCTGCAGGGGTTGGTCAAATTGGCCAGACAGCAGTTGAGCTTCTCCGACATCTTTTTGAATTGATAATGGTCAACCTAGAGACTCAGAATAACATCGAGCCATTTTTTAACACAACCATTCTGCATGTCACCAAGCTCCAAGTTCGACAATACCTCGACCTCATACAAAGGTGGATGAAACAACCCAATGTCCCGTTGGTCATTGAAAGTATGCTCCAATGGGCAAGCCCATCAATAAATATCTCCACCCCTATGACAAACCTCCATCAACTGCTGGAGACAATAGTTAATTTTGTCAGTGCTGATCAAAGGGCCTACCTCGCCATCATAAGGAATATCACACAGTCCCTTAGTAAAGCACTAATGGTGGCAGAGAAACCTGGTGGCCTACAGAGTGAACAGTTTTCAGCCGCCATCTTGGAAGCGGTCCGAAGTGCTTTGAATATCCTGAGTGCAGCCACAGGCCCCCTGCCGCCGTCTGTACAGCAGAACATCCTGGAAATTGTGCAGGACTCACTGAAGCTGATTGTCCAACCAGAGATGAGTATTGCCTCATCACGTAACATCTCCCTCCTCATCCTCAAGAAAGCTGAGAGCCTCATCAAAACGATAATACCACAACCGTTCGCTGAATATGTGCTTGCTGGAGTCGAATTAGTAACCACATATTTTGAGAGCATCTCCGCAGCCACTGGACCAAACAGCTTGAATCAGTTGTGAGTGATGCTTATTTTTTCCAAATACTTAAATAGACTAATGAATACATTTAAATAATGGTATGTAATGGAGTTGAAAAAGGCTTGACAATAAACACCCATCAGCAAACATTGTTCTTTCAGGGAAACCAACATGTTCTATTCCCAATATTATCTGAACTAAATTATTGATATATGTTACCATCACTCATTAAACACCCCGTTCTGCAGTCCCAGTTTGTTAACTTCTCATCATGCCAGTATAATTGAGAGTTATACCTTGCTGTAATTAATGAGCAATGTAATGCCTAAAGCAGCGACATCAATATATTTATTTTGTGGCGGATCAAATGACAACATGATGTGAAACATGTTGTCAGTAGTTAGTAACTGGCATATATTTATCACCTTACTGCAGTTTCCCTATAGAGCATTTAAGCCTGTTTTAGCATCCTTGAGCTCATGGATGTGAATTTAACAGAGATTGCTGACAGACAAAGTTAACAACTAGCTTTTAAACATAGTGTAACATTTAGCAAATTAGCTACACCTACCATTCAAGATGCATGATTGAAAACAAACAAACATTGAGTGCATGCAGTCCTGAAATCCTTTGATAACGCTTCATGAGACATGGTGTCCTTTTGGTGAAAAATGTTCAGTTTTGAAATATTGTTACCCTTTGTTTCTTCAGGATTCTGGATGAGATGGAAGCAGTACAGAGCCTCCTGCCACGAAACAGCACCGCCCAGCCCTACATATCTGTCCTCATCAACATCACTCACTTCATCTTGGAGTCTGGACAAGGCAAGTCAGCTTCCCTGTGTCACTGTAGGAGGACAGAATGTTGAATCCTGATGAACTCTCATGGAGTGGAGGTCACATTGTGGACTTCATTATTCAAGCTTTGATGCCAGACAGCCTAGGAGCTGTGGATTAAAGTAGCACAATGTTGTTTATGTCTGTTCTAAGAATATGACACTTCACTCCAAGTCTCACTTTTAAGGTATGTTTATTTGTCATTCAAATGTAGGACCTTATTGTAAAACAATGTCTTGTGATTTCAGGCAACATGAGTCTCTGGGGATTTTTTGAGAGTGCATCATTAGAAAACATGCCCATCATGTTTGGCCAGGTAATACTTAAAACACTGTCACATCATTGTATGAGCAGTTCATTTTGTCTATTTGTTATTTCTTCTTTTATTCAAATGTTTTGGGAATTTCTTACAGAGTGAACAGTTTTCAGCCGCCATCTTGTTTGCGGTCCGAAGTGCTTTTAATATCCTGAGTGCAGCCACCGGCCCCCTGCCGCCGTCTGTACAGCAGAACATCCTGGAAATTGTGCAGGACTCACTGAAGCTGATTGTCCAACCAGAGATGAGTATTGCCTCATCACGTAACATCTCCCTCCTCATCCTCAAGAAAGCTGAGAGCCTCATCAAAACGATAATACCACAACCGTTCGCTGAATATGTGCTTGCTGGAGTCGAGTTAGTAACCACATATTTTGAGAGCATCTCCGCAGCCACTGGACCAAACAGCTTGAATCAGTTGTGAGTAATGCTTATTTTTTCCAAATACTTAAATAGACTAATGACCACATTTAAATAATGGTATGTAATGGAGTTGAAAAAGGCTTGACAATAAACACCCATCAGCAAACATTGTTCTTTCAGGGAAACCAACATGTTCTATTCCCAATATTATCTGAACTAAATTATTGATATATGTTACCATCACTCATTAAACACCCCGTTCTGCAGTCCCAGTTTGTTAACTTCTCATCATGCCAGTATAATTGAGAGTTATACCTTGCTGTAATTAATGAGTAATGTAATGCCTAAAGCAGCGACATCAATATATTTATTTTGTGGCGGATCAAATGACAACATGATGTGAAACATGTTGTCAGTAGTTAGTAACTGGCATATATTTATCACCTTACTGCAGTTTCTCTATAGAGTATTTAAGCCTGTTTTAGCATCCTTGAGCTCATGGATGTGAATTTAACAGAGATTGCTGACAGACAAAGTTAACAACTAGCTTTTAAACATAGTGTAACATTTAGCAAATTAGCTACACCTACCATTCAAGATGCATGATTGAAAACAAACAAACATTGAGTGCATGCAGTCCTGAAATCCTTTGATAACGCTTCATGAGACATGGTAACCTTTTGGTGAAAAATGTTCAGTTTTGAAATATTGTTAACCTTTGTTTCTTTAGGATTCTGGATGAGATGGAAGCAGTACAGAGCCTCCTGCCACCAAACAGCACCGCCCAGCCCTACATCTCTGTCCTCATTAACATCACTCACTTCATCTTGGAGTCTGGACAAGGCAAGTCAGCTTCCCTGTGTCACTGTAGGAGGACAGAATGTTGAATCCTGATGAACTCTCATGGAGTGGAGGTCACATTGTGGACGTCATTATTCAAGCTTTGATGCCAGACAGCCTAGGAGCTGTGGATTAAAGTAGCACAATGTTGTTTATGTCTGTTCTAAGAATATGACGCTTCACTCCAAGTCTTACATTTAAGGTATGTTTATTTGTCATTCAAATGTAGGACCTTATTGTAAAACAATGTCTTGTGATTTCAGGCAACATGAGTCTCTGGGGATTTTTTGAGAGTGCATCATTAGAAAACATGCCCATCATGTTTGGCCAGGTAATACTTAAAACACTGTCACATCATTGTATGAGCAGTTCATTTTGTCTATTTGTTATTTCTTCTTTTATTCAAATGTTTTGGGAATTTCCTACAGAGTGAACAGTTTTCAGCCGCCATCTTGTTTGCGGTCCGAAGTGCTTTGAATATCCTGAGCGCAGCCACCGGCCCCCTGCCGCCGTCTGTACAGCAGAACATCCTGGAAATTGTGCAGGACTCACTGAAGCTGATTGTCCAACCAGAGATGAGTATTGCCTCATCACGTAACATCTCCCTCCTCATCCTCAAGAAAGCTGAGAGCCTCATCAAAACGATAATACCACAACCGTTCGCTGAATATGTGCTTGCTGGAGTCGAGTTAGTAACCACATATTTTGAGAGCATCTCCGCAGCCACTGGACCAAACAGCTTGAATCAGTTGTGAGTGATGCTTATTTTTTCCAAATACTTAAATAGATTAATGAACACATTTAAATAATGGTATGTAATGGAGTTGAAAAAGACTTGACAGTTTGCACCCATCAACAAACATTGTTCTTTCAGGGAAACCAACATGTTCTATTCACAATATTATCTGAACTAAATTATTGATATATGTTACCATCACTCATTAAACACCCCATTCTGCAGTCCCAGTTTGTTAACTTCTCATCGTGCCAGTATAATTGAGAGTTATACCTTGCTGTAATTAATGAGCAATGTAATGCCTAAAGCAGCGACATCAATACATTTATTTTGTGGCGGATCAAATGACAACATGATGTGAAACATGTTGTCAGTAGTTAGTACTGGCATATATTTATCACCTTACTGCAGTTTCCCTATAGAGCATTTAAGCCTGTTTTAGCATCCTTGAGCTCATGGATGTGAATTTAACACATATAACTTTAAAGTTTAAGTTAATGTTAAGCAGCTGCTGTAGCAAACCCACTCCACAATACTCTTTGTCCAGTATAAAATGACTGACAGAAAAAGGTAACCACTACTGTTAAACATAGTGTAATATTCATCAGCTAAAAACTACATATTTCAACAAGGGGTTTTTGGAGACCAAAAACAGAGCTAAAAGGAGTGTGAATATTCGACTTTCATTCATCCGCTGAACAGGTATACTAATTTGGCTAAATATTAGTCTGTCAAATGTGCCAGTGAGCCTGTATTTGCTAACAAGCTTCCAACATCAGAGTAGTAATATGTCAATGTTGTGGTTTTATTTTTCCAAGGTCGCCAAACAGTCTGATTATTGTTGGTTGAATTATCTTTCAATTTGTTTTGGAAAAATACTTTGTTTAACAGGACATTTAGACAGCATTTCTTTATCTTTATTATAAGAGGTACAGTTTTAGTGCTTGGTACTCAATGTGCTTTTAGTTGAACTGTCTTACCAACTAGACCTGATTAATCAAAATGAATTGGATTCATCTTGCTTGTCAGAAAAAATTCCCTTAGTGGATAATTAATATTCAAATAACTAACACCTACTGGTCCAGATGCATGATTGAAAACAAACAAACATTGAGTGCATGCAGTCCTGAAATCCTTTGATAACGCTTCATGAGACATGGTAACCTTTTGGTGAAAAATGTTCAGTTTTGAAATATTGTTACCCTTTGTTTCTTCAGGATTCTGGATGAGATGGAAGCAGTACAGAGCCTCCTGCCACCAAACAGCACCGCCCAGCCCTACATCTCTGTCCTCATTAACATCACTCACTTCATCTTGGAGTCTGGCCAAGGCAAGTCAGCTTCCCTGTGTCACTGTAGGAGGACAGAATGTTGAATCCTGATGAACTCTCATGGAGTGGAGGTCACATTGTGGACTTCATTATTCAAGCTTTGATGCCAGACAGCCTAGGAGCTGTGGATTAAAGTAGCACAACGTTTTGATGTCTGTTCTAAGAATATGACGCTTCTCTCCAAGTCTTAAATGGAAGGTATGCTTATTTGACATTTAAATGTAGGTCCACATTGTCAAAGATATTTCTTGTGATTTCAGGCAACATGAGTCTCTGGGCAAGTTTTGAGAATGCATCAGAAGAAAATGTGTCCATCATTTTTGGTCAGGTAAGGCTTAAAACACTGTCACATGGTTGTATGAGCAGTTCATTGTGTCTGTCTGTTTTTTCTCCTTTCATTTAAGTGTTCTGGGAATTATCTGAATAACATATTACATAAAACAAATGCTAATTGGCATCTCAATTTCATCTACTGAAAACATTGGCCAACACCTAGTTCCAAACTACAGGAACAAAAAGATAGATCATATCAATTATCAGTTATGTGTCCTCAATGTTGTCACAACATTTAAAGGATCAAAGAGCACATTTAAGTTTTGCATTGAATAACGTAAAAACAGTGGGTGAAAAATGCGACCTGTTTCCCTCCCTTCTTGTCCCCATTTGTTCTGTGTTCAGCTGGGAAAATTCTTGAGCACGCTTTGGCCTTATATCATGGGAGGCCAAGGGTTACATGCAACTGCTCCATCTCTGGAGGGCTTTGTTCATCTTGCACCAGTCCTAGAAGAGGTGATGACTGGAAAAGCAGACAAGGAAACATGGGACAAGTAAGTTGAATTGACACTTGTAATGGAAAAAAAACAAACAGCTAATTACGGGATGTTAGTTAGAAAGCTGGTTAATATTTAACCAAATGACTTGTATGTCTTTGTGAGATAATAATACGATTATTGAATAATACAAAAATGTAGTTTAGTTCCTTCTGTGATTGCACTAAACCTGTGTGTTTTCACAGACTTGAAAGCTACTTGAGTCCCTTCTGTCAACCCTCAAAGGAACAGAGCTGTGGGACGGCACCCCATCTGTTATCCCACAGTTTGAAAAAATCATAAGAAGCTTGGTGAACACTGTGCAAGCACAGAACGGTGAGTATACTACTGAACAGCAAGGCTGTTGTCTTACATTTGTATACCCAAGACAGGTATATCAGTTTATTGATCCAAATGATTAACTGTGACACAGCATGAAGTAAGAATATGTACACTATTCTAACTGATGTCACCTTTTAGGTTTGATAATGGCTTGAAAAGCATACCTTTTGCAGAATGGCACACCTTAAACATACATGAAATACCTGCTGAAAAGTACCTTGTGTACCATTTCATAAATAGGACATGTTTTATTATCTAGCTTGTTAAGTCATCCTTGTTGGTCAATCCCTTTGTCTTTTCTTTCTCCCAGTGATGATACAAAGCCTTCAGATGCCTGTGGTGGTCCTGATGAGAGAAATTGCACAGTCTGCGAACTCCACTCATTTTAACTTGTCTGAGATCTCCCAAAGAATGCAGCCTGCCATTGAACACACGCTGGAGCTAGCTGAGCAGGTTAGACTGCTTCTCCTTGGGAAGTTTTGGTGTCTTCACAGTCATTTGCTGGCATCTTTTGTGAAAATGTTTCCGTGAGAGAGAGTCACGTGAGAGATACATTACCGTAACAATGCATACCTTTTCATCCATTGTTGCTTTTGACTATGCCTATCTCTCATCTTGAGGTTACACCTTATGTAATAATAGTTTCCACACACTTAACTGATGTACACGCTTGGGGTTTGGATTTTTATAACTATCTGTCTTTTCTTCCTTGCCATTTTTTGTTTATTTTAAGAGAATTATTCTTAATACTTTTTGAAAGACAACATGCCGGTATATAAATAACATGTGGGTTGTCTTGCCCTGTTAGCGCTCAGCGTGTTGATGCAGCTGACAACTGGATGATGGCTGGCATTTGTTCCTTGGATTAGTTATACTTCATTCAAAGGTTAAGAATGTTCCTCATTTAGTGACAAGGAGTCAATAGTAAGAATGCTTGTACCGATGTCACTGATAGTAGTCCTTCTGATGAACAGAACGAAAAAACAGACAAGCAAAAACAACCTAGTTGTTTGTCAGACATGCTTCCCCATACTGGAGCCTGAGCCATACATCTGCGAGCTATCTGCCTATTTGTACTGGTCACATATATAACAGTATTAGTGAGAATGTTGGCATTAACAAACCAAAACACTTATTCATTATCTTACCGATAGTTGGATGAGAAAATAGGCCTACATATTTTTTCTTAAATATCATTATCATTAACAGCCTAATAAGGGATTATAAGGAAAACAAATATACAGAGGAGCAGAGCACTATTACAGGTTATTTTTATATTATTGTCTTGTGTAATTATAGGCTACTTCATACAATCTATCAGAGAGATCTGACATGGCAGAAACTCTATAGCTGATCCAGTGTTTGTTCCAATACATTGTGTATGCACATACAGTACATACGTGGGTGTGTCTACTTGGTATGTACGTTTGTGAGAAGCGATGTTTGTGTAATATTAATTCCCTTTTATTTGCTAATGCATAAACAGGAACATAGAGATAAAGGGAAGTCCCTTGTGCCTCTACCTTTTGTCTTCCGGCTCTTTGTTCTACCTGCCTTTCAAACTGAACTAGTTTTCTTGGAACATTACAAATGAAACACAATAACATGTTGAAATGTTCCCTCTAGGCTAATGGCACGTTGAAGTGCAGTGAAGTTCTCATAGCATGGGAGCCCGTAAGAGAGGCGGCAGGGCTGAGCCCCTCCACCATGTCTATGTGGTGTAACATCCACCTGCAGCCTGTTCTGGAGGCTTATGCTGAGGCCCAGACTGTCTACGCCCTCATGAACACGAGTGTGAGTACTGTAGCTGCATGGCAAATCAAACAGGACATACTAAAAACAACTCATTGGTTGAAGGCTATTAGAATTAAAATGTGTTTCTCAGATCATATTCAAATATTCGTGTACCAAAAAAATATTCTATTACAATTACTGGTTTTACCACTTGGTGGCAGTGTTGACGCACAGATAAATCTGCCACATAACATTTCTGCTGTATGTGTTCTGTACAGCACATGGGTGTGGGACCAATGACTGTGAGCGCCACAGCTGCCAGGATCGTCAAGAGTGTACAGTCCCTCTACCATGCCAACATGAACAGCTCAATTGTGTCACAGCAGCTCATCATGGTGATCGTCAGCCAGCTCTCTGGGTTTACAGGCCAGTCTCTGAGCCCTGAGGCAGAGCTTTACTGGTACAAGCAGCTCCAAGATGTGCAGCTGCTAAACAGGTAAACAAAATAACAACCACAATGGCATTGCAACATTGCTAACGCAATGCTGAACAAGAAAATGCAATTGATCCTAAAAAAAGTGAATCTAATCCTGATCCATGTAATTATTAGTGATTAAGATATCAGGTCAAATAATTTAGACTCTCAAAACCTACAATGCTGAGATCATTGCATATTTGGGTTCCCAGTTTTATTTCTAACAGAGACCTTAGTGGATCAGACAGAGCACCCACATTAAAGCCACAGGATATGATGCAATCATATCAAAATATAATGGAGCCACATAACAAAACCCGCCCAATAGTGTATCTCCACAGACCCATACAGACAGACAGGTTTAGATAGACAGTCTAAACTCTCCTCACATGTTTTTGTTGCAACAGTAGCAAATTTGAGTCATTTCAAATTACACAAGGAATTAGAAGTGATCACATTTCTAATCAACTTGATTCATTTCAGGCAATTCTGTCTGAAAAGAGGCAGGGCATGATCGTGGCTTAACCATGATTCAGCTGAGTGGAGACATCCTCTTAAAATTGATTTTCCTTTATATGCCAGCTGAAATGATGAGCCCTGCACTGTGATAATATTCTGCATATCACAGGGAATCCATCAGGTCTAAGTACATGTGATAAAGATCGTTGATCACAGTGGAAAGACTCCACAGTCTTTTATTACAGATGAAATAGTAAAACTATGTACAGTAAAAAGCAAGATGACAAATAAATATTATTAGATTTCTATGGAATAATTGTGTTCAGGGAATTAACTAAAACAAGATTTTCATGTCATAAAAGAAGCATGTAAGAACTAGTCCTGAGTTCTTGTCCATAGAAGAGCTTTGTGTCCTACAATCAAAATGTTTTACTTATGTCATATTGACATTTTATACATGACTTTAATTGAAATGTTCCCCTCTACAGTTTGAATTCTTTCAAAATGCTCTCTGACGAGCTGGTAAACGTGGCCCCATTCATCCAGCCTTACACTGATGCATTAGAGGAAGCACTGAACCACATCCTGGGCAACTACGATCTTTTTGAAGACAGCAGCTCATCCGAAGACATCTTCAGAGAAGCAGCAATGATCTTCCTGTCGTCTGCAAACATAACATTGGACAATTCCATGATGTCAGGCAATTTCTCTGGACTCAATGTAGAATCTCTAACCAACATGATAAAGGAAGCTGTCCAACAGATCATTGACATGCAGATATTTGGGAATGAGCCTATGCTTTACCAAGCCTTGGAGCAGTTTCTGGCATCCAACGAATCAAGCATGATTGTGCAGAAGGTGTTCGACTTGGTTGCATGGTTGGCCTCCACTAAATCATCTGGATTTGACCTGCTGACTCAGGTTCTGCCTAAAATCTACGACATAGTCAGGCCTCTCCTGTCTGTTCTGACCCAGTTGGGTTTGGACATGTCAGAAAACATGGAGCTGTTTGAAGACCTAGCTGGAAACATCATAGCAATGCTGAGGCAGTTGGTAAGCACCAGTGGTCTTCTGTCCCCCAAGGACCACCGACCAAGTATGTATGGAATGAGCGGTGGTAACCATACAACGAGGGTCCGAAACCGACGCGAGGCCCCATCGATGATGGCAAGAGATCCCATGGATGACTTCATAGACCTGTTCTACATCGACTACCCTACCATGTTCAAAGCCATCTCTGTTCCTGTTTCTACAAATGAAATCCTGGAGACTGTCCACGTGTTCTTTGCCAATCCTGATATGAACGTTGTGGTGAAGGGAGTTACAAGCGACATGCCGTGGGGCTTGAACGCCTCTCGGGAAGACACCATTGATGCTGCCCTTGGCCTGCTCTCCTTCGTCACTCTGCCTAGCACGTTTCAGATGTAAGTCCCTTTTGCAGCTTCTCTAGTATGGATTTATGAATGATACAAAAAACAGAGATGGCAAAAGTACACCCATCCTTTTCTCAAGTAGAAGTAGAGATACTCGTGTTTAAAAATACTCTGGTAAAAGTAGAAGTACAGACTAAACTTCTTTACTCAAGTGAAAGTAAAGAAGTATGGGCTTCGAAATGTACTTAAGTAAAAAGTACCCATAACTACCAGCTGTTTTATAGAGTAACTGACCTCCCTTTATATTAATAGAACAATAATGTCATTGTTAGCTAATGAATGTTTCGATGCTGGACAATGGCAAAATGACAAAGTTCTCATTGGTCCCTCTTGTTTAGAGAAGACCAGGAAATGATGGATACACGGATCGTGTTCAAATCAATAGGCACGCAATGACTCTAAATAATAATGATCACGCCACCAAACGCAGATTAAAACTAAAGTAACGAGCCTGTCTTGAAAATGTAAGAAGTAGAAAGTACAGGTATTTGTGTTAAACATGTAAGAAGTAAAAGTAAAAAGTTGTCAGAAAAATAAGCAGTGGATTAAAGTCCTTATACCAGAAAAATTTACTTCAGTACAGTAATGAAGTATTTGTACTCCACTACTTCCCACCTCTGACAAAAACAAACCTTTTTAAGTTGTGTAAACCCAATCACTTTAGATATTAGTTTGTACCAAAAACACAACTTATTTGCAAATGTTGGACCTTGTTTTGTGTTTTTAATCTTCCCCAGGTCATCAATGGATCTTCTGTCAAATGCTGCTGCAATGCTTCCTGATGGCTTTCCATTCTCCACGATGCTTAAACATATCACCAGAGTGCTTGCTGGTGAATCTCAAGGTAACTCATCGGTTTAGATCTACTTTCTCTCTGACTCATTCTGGACAGTTAGAGGATTGTTTGACCAGATGCAGCTTTATGATGAGAAATGGCCACTCATTAGTTACATTGAGAATCCCCTAATGGGTAATGCTTTATCCTTTTAGTTTCTCCAAATTAACTTTACCTACCTCAGTGAATTCCCTCCCACTCATGTTTAATTAATGGTGTAATGTGGAGCTCACACTGATGCTGCAGCTTGTGTTTACATACCTGCTGTGTCAGTATGTACATTATAAGCAGCTTGGACCATTAAAAAAAGTAACGCAGCATGGAAGAGTGCCACCCTGACCTTCACAGCCACCCTGACCTTCATACTGTAGCTATTACGACACCATGGGAAGACCATCAAACGATTTGTTAATGCTGTTGTTATTGTATACATGATTATAGTACGCCATAATTCATTCCAGAGATATGAGGAATAAGGCTTCACATCGGCTTAGCTTGAGCTCCCAAAGAGCCCAAGGCCATATGGCCCTTCTCCAGCTGAAAGCCACTCAGCACCTTTTTAAATCTCATTAGCAAAGTAGAATTCAATCACTTATCCTGTCCGCCCTCGCTAAACGTCTCCCCTCGCACTCACACAAGTGGACATCTATGACCTCCTTTTAATTGGCATCTGTGCTTGTGTGATAATATTTGCAGAGCATAGAATTACTTTGTAGGCAGATGCAGACTCTTCACTTCTTCACAACCCAGCTCCAATTCTTCACACACACATCCAGGGTGCACTGTTGTGATTGCAGGGGCCTCTAGGTGTTGAGCACCCTGAGATGAAACATCACCATTGTCTAATTTTGGCCTAATTATAAATTCTGTCATCACATCTTGCTGCCCGAGGTGGTGCCTTTCTTCGGGTTTGTCAGATGTGTTTTAATTCACGACAGCATCCCGTACTGCGGGCCCTCCTGGCCTCATCAGTCCAGCACAGAGCTTCACTTAAAACACATCATTTGCCGCTCGCTGGCTGAAGAAGCTGCCCCGTAATGTTGCGAGTTGTAATGAATACCAGTGGGATGTCATGTTACTCTGTCACCTTATTGCCCTCCTTTCCCTTTCCTGTCCCATTTTCCTGTCCAACTCTAATAACCTCCCTCCCCCTCTCCTTTAATCTCTGCCTCCCTTCACAGAGAACCTAATGCTCATGCAAGAGACCATCCAAACAGCCATCGAGCTCTTCCAGATCAGCCTGACGGACCCACGATTCACCGAGCAACTCAGCCACCTGGGATCCAAGGTCTCTGCATTAACCTGGCCACTTGCACACATTCAACATTAATTGAAATAGTACTTCAGAATGTTAAAGAAATCCTATAAAGATCCATTTAGTGATTGAAGAAGCACTGTTATAATTAGAAGTACTTAGAATCCAGATGATGTTGATATTGCAGAACCTATTTGACTCAAATGTTGTCAGTGTTTAAACCCACTCGTATGCATATCATGTGTCCCCGCAGTGTTATTTGGTTGCTCATGCTAAGATGTGGTTATGTCACGGTGTGCTTTGAAAAGCATTTTATGTTTTCCTTGCTCAAGCCTCAAAGACAAAATCATCACGAGTAAAACTTTAAAGAAATTAACCATCAAAGTTTTATCAAACCTTTGTAAAGTTTGATTTGAGTTCTTTGAGTCACAGTGAGACAGACTCTAACGCTAACCCTGAAGTCTTAAATTGAACTGTGTAGCGAAATGTTCCCACGGTACAGCAGCAAACCATCAAATCTATGTTTGATATGTTTGATCCTGAGATTTGGCCAGAAACCAACTTGTTCCTTACTTGACTGATTGTAGGTGTGTGCGGTGGAGCAAACAGAGTCTGTGCGTCTGCTGATGCTGTCCCTCTCCATTGAGCCTGGCCAGCTGTGTAACACTATTCTACCGAGCCTGCAGATGTTGGTTGAGAGTCTGATGATGAACACATCCTATCTGAGCGATGCCATCTTCCAGACCGCCATCGGAGAACCAACAGCCTACAGCCTCCATTCAAACTGGTACAACATTGTCTTCATTCTTAAACGTGTTTCACCGCAATGATTACAGAGAACGCTGCTCTTGCAAACCTCTCGATCCGATGTTTTCAAAGTGGGGGGCCAGTTTCCCCAAGAGGGCTTCAAACGTCTTCAGGGGAAGCTCAGTGAATTGATGTTAAGGAAAATTACATCAGTTAATAAAAGAAGATCACACAAAATAGCCTAGATGTGTGATTTGGTGATAATTCAGAGATACAGTAGTTTGGGGATGTATTACTGTTATATTATAGATGTGTCTAGGCTGTAGATATGGCATTAATATTAATCTATCTAATTTGTCTGGTATCTATGGCATTTAAATAAATAACCATGGTCCCATCCACATCAAGGAATTGAGAAAAAGTAAGATTCGTTTAATCCCTTTTCTTTATTTGTTAAATCATATCACAGTGGGCCGGGCTGTTGCACTTTACAGAACTCTCCTTCCCGGATTTGAGTGGAAATAAATCAGGCAGTACTCTTGCTGTCATTTGGGGCCAATAGGTAAACTTGCATGTATGTGTTTGTGTCTGTGTGTGTGTGTGTGTTTACAGGTCCTCTCTGTTGAGTCAAGGCTTAGGCTTTAACACCAGCAACCTGAGCTCTTTAGACATTAACATCACTTCGCCAGGTAAGATGTTTCCCTATGTCACAGAAGTTGCTGTATTTCACATTATGTTATTATACATTCCTTTACCACTACTATATTTACCAGAATTCACCCCTAATGCTGCTTTTTCCACCACACAGATTATATTTCTCGCTGCCGGTTTTGTTGTTGTGTAGATAATTAATTGGCTGTGTAAATATGAATAGGGACAAGGACGCACGACAGAGTTTAGCATGATCCAAAAAGTTTTTTTTGAATTGTCCAAAAGTGTAATTTAAGGCTGTGGTCGCTTTTTATTAAAAAGGGTGATGCCTGACATGCTATCTTTAGAAAAAATAGAAAATCACACACCTTGTTTCCATAGCAACAGACTGCTCATATCAGCTCACCTGTCACTCACTTGTTTCTGATGCCACTTCCTTTATTGTCACTGGATTATCTAACAATAGTCACTTACTGCAGAGGCACATTTCTCCACTGTGACCATGATCGTTTTTCATTTGGATTGGCTGGCTAAGATAACAGTTCATCTCATTTAGCGCTGAACTTTTTCAGTTTCTGATGGGGTCCTCTTTTAAAAACCGCAGCCAGTATTGGCATATTTAAATGATTCAAAAAAGGTAGACTAGAACACCCTAATGTAGTTGTTCCACCTCTTCTGCTGCAGGATATGCAATCAACTTTAGGAATGAAATGAAAAGTGCCACTGAAATAAAAAGTATTTCTGTTTCTGTTTATACAGAAACTAGATTAACTGGGTTTAAAACAACAAAACCAAAGGACTGAGTGAATGTCATAGTAAAAAGAAATACACTTTCAACCTACCCTTTGTTTCACTCTATTTCCCAGGAGTGGTGACAGTCGGTGAGTTGCTGAGGAATGAAACAGCCTTCCTCGTTGATGTTCAGAAACACATGGATTTCGATCCAGATGCCCTCCACCTGTTGATGGAAACAATATTACCAAACAACAATTTAGAGGTGAGCCAGGAACCGCTTTAGCATGTCATCACATACACTATAAAGTGTGGAACAAGGTTATTGTATTTTCTTTAAGAGATGTTTTCCTATACCGTCAAATCTGTGCTTTATTTCCCTTTATTATGTGAACTTACACAATTGTATAGTATTGTATCATGCCTTTGTCTATATTCTTTGCCTAAGGCTGGTTTGACATTGTTCAAATGAAATGTAACCTTGCTACCATTAGAGGATAATCCAGTACCCTTTAGCTAATGGCACACAAGTTGCATTTTTCAAAGCCAGTTATTAAATACCAGGCTAGATAAATAAACTGTATTGCAAGACTAAATCCACTGTCAATGGTCTATTTGTCCAAAGCTGACTTATCTTAGCAAAATAAAAGGCTGTTTTTTTAAAGTGTTTAGATTATCTCAGACAATGCTGCAAAAAAAAAAGGCAGGGAATCATTTATACAAACAAAAAATCTGGTGGTAGCTAACTACTGTCTACACACTACAAAAGGTAAATTACACCCTGTATGCATTTTTTTCATAGCAGACCAATGTGACTCATAAATACCACTTGAATTGGAACAAACAGATGTATATGATTGCTAATTTAGAAAACTGTTAAGTTCCTATGACACTTCAATGCTTTACTGTTCAACATATTCATAATTTTCTCTGTATGATGCTTGATTCAAAACATTTCTTGCCAATCATTTAGTGAGCCGCAAGATCAACTTTTTACAACAACATTTTGTTTTTACTAAATGGAGGAAAAAATCAACACACATGTTATAAAAATGCCTAACCGAACACTAGTATCAATGAGGAGAATTCACAATCAGAACACATGCCGTTGTGTAGTTCTGAACACACTCTCCTGTTGCCTATACTAACTGCTTCCATACCCTCTTAATTCTATTACACAGATCCTGTCCTGGTTGGTCAACCTGCGTCACTGCGGCTCCACAGAAGCGTTGGAAATGAAAGAGACAGATTTGGAGATGTTGAAGACCTTCTGCTCCTTGTCTGTTGAGCAGTGGTACAGCTTCTCACTGCTGATGGCTCGCCACCTCAACATGGAGAAACTCATCTACAGAGTAAGGCTGAATTCTGATTGAGTTTTTTGTCAAAGAAAAAGCAAGGTGGTACACCTCCTATATGTGATTTATTTAAAAGAAACATAATGATTTCTTTGTGATGGCCAAAGACATCATTTTTGTTGGGCTGTAGCAAAACGTGTGAGATGAAACATTGTGTTTGTTTGAGATATATGTAAGAAATAAATGATTGCTTTTGTACAAGAAAAAACCTGTTCACTTGACAAAGCCCTGCATCCCTCTCAAATTTAAAAACATGTATTTCTACCTGATGTTTCTTTTTCTATTTGATCAACAACAAAGACAACTGTCCATCAAAACATCTAGTTACCTAGAAACATGTGTGTAAGAAGCTTACAGCTTTTTTATATTTCATGAGAAGTTAATCTTTATTTCATGTGTTTCTTTGGTGTTTTTTAATTAAAACTCCTTCACTCATAGATTTGAAAACAACACTGAAAAGATACATCAAGTCCTGGATGGATTTAGAGACTAGAGAAGACAGAACAAAGAGCAATAACAGTTTGGAAATGAAAACCATAGCAAGATGTCTGAATGTTGGCCCCTGTCTTTCAGATGGTGTTGTCTGAAGAAATGCAAGGCCTGGTGGGAGTTATGCTCCAGATGGCTGAGGTTATAACCAGCATGATGAAAACATTTATTCCTACCATCGGTCAGCTTCAAACCTTCATGGCCTCCGTCCAAGACCTCAACCTGGGAGCCAACCAGGAATTTGACCAAGTATGTGTGATCACCCACAGCTATGTGTGTGTGATTACTAAACGTATGCCATAAATGACGAATGAATTTGCTATAAAATCTTCTGTTAAAATACTGCCAACTGGTAGCCTACAGGCAAAAGCTTTTGCGTTAAAGGGGACCTATCATGAAAAATGCACTTTTTAATGTCTTTTATACATAAACATGTGTCCCCGGTGTGTCAGGGAACTCACAAAGTGTCAGAAAACAAACCCTCCCTCTTTTCCTCCGTACCCAAATCTCTAAAAATGGCGGTACAACGGGGCTGATCCAGATTTGTGTCCGATATAATGTAATATCGGAAATGTGGACCCACGGCCCTATCAGAAACATTGCTATTAGAAACAATGCCCGACTGTTTTGGACGTAATATGGTCTTTTTACATTAGCAAGCATCGCTAACACTCAGAGTTAACCTGTAGGCCTACTGGAGAGAGTATGTGCCTTGCCTTGCCTTGCCTTGCCTTGCCTTGTGGTAAACCGGTAAGAGAAAAAGCATTTGAGCTCCATACTGTTTCAGAAATAATCCTTGATGTGGTTTGGAACATGATATGGCATTTAATCACGGCAGCATTTAGCTGTCTCCCGGTAGAATTCTGAGCAGACATAAGCTCCGCCCCTCTTTCTTTCTTTTTTTTCAAGCTAAGGACCCTGAACCTGCAGTTCCCTAACAGCTGAAATAGAGGGTTATGAGGGATGTCTAAAATGCATGATCTGTTTTTTTTTGGTTGAGCAAAACACATCATATACATGTTTTTATATATTTTTTAATATCTGAGAACCATAATATATGCCTATAAAAAGCATAATAGGAGACCTTTAATACATTTTTTCCAAGAGGCCTTCAGTTATGTATTTATATTTGCATGACAGATAATTCATTTTTCATTTATGATAATCATAAAGTATTCAATGTTTCACTCTCTTCCCACAGATGGCTAGAGGATACAGGTCAAGCATTTCCAGCAAAGCTACGTTTGTCACCCTCTCTCGAGCGTTGTGCAGTAAAGGTATCCTGGCTCTGCTCGGAGTCTCTAAACTCACCGCCATCATGGAATCAAACTCCTCCCAACCCGACCAGGTCAGGAGGGGGGAGATGATCAATAGGTTCAAGATCCCACAGGATGCCTGTACGTACAAAGGGGAAGGGATTTGCTAACTGAATTGTATTGCCTGAGTATTTGTTCTTGGTATTCAGTGTTTTTCACAAGATTCAGTTGCTGTCAAAAGCATTCGTAATTAGTATTCTGTAATATGTTTTTATATTATAAAAAAACATTATCTATGCCTTAATGAGAGTGCTGCTACTTTGGTTTCTGACTCAAACACACAAATAGAATTTAAATATGTATGGACACTTCTGCTTAAGTTTTGTTTGCTAACTTCCCAGTGTAATAAAGGAATACAAATAAGAGGGTAAGGCTGATTGCATTGTATTTGTCTTATCATTAGCAAACTTCATTAAGTCCACAACTTACAAATTCATTGATACTACCTTCCAGTTTTGTTGGGACTTACCATTTGTACAGATTTTACAGTAGTCGTAGGGATGAATGTGCTGTGAGAGTAATGCTACAGACACCTTGGGGAACACCTATGGGATTTGTGGCAACAAGGATATGAATGCCAACTGTTCGATTATTTTTACGAAAACTAGATATCAACTTGTTTGTTGGATATTACATTTGTATGAATACTGTATATCTAATGATTCTCCAATCGTCTGCCCTCGTGTAGCTCCCTTCTGTATGAACATGTACCTGGATATGGTCAACACCACGGGCGGAGCCATCGCCTGGGCCTTCCTCAAACCAATGCTGATGGGTCACATTTTGTATACCCCTGACACACCTGCCACCAGGGCCATAATGGAGAAGGTATGAAGCACATATCAAATATGTCTTGTGTTTGGGTCAGCAGCTTCAAAATCAGCATTCACGGTTTTGCCGAGTATGTTGATCTTTTTTTTTTTTTTGGTGTATTGGATGAACATAGTGAGAAAATATAGAAGAAAAATACAAAAATCTTTCAACATAAATATAGAATAGAAGAAAATTACTATAAAATATGAAAAATACTATAGGAAAAAGTCTTCATGAACTTATGAACTCTATGTTCTAAATCCCCCAGAATCCCTCCTCTGTCCTTGTTATGCTTTTACAGGAGTTTTTTTCACTCTTACTTCTACCTTTTCTAGGGTTTAGTTACCTTTGTAGTCTTCAAGCACCCCTACTGGCATGTAGTAAACAAGAAATACAGCATTGCAAGGGGTGCACACCTATTTGTATGCGCCACCATCTTCCACTGTGGTACTATTTTGTGCAACTTTAGTTTTTTTAGTATACTGCTGACTTCACAGACGAAAACAGCCACAAGAACAATGAAATAGGGCAGGTTATGAAATCTTGCTTACACTCAGCCATTTCATATATTCTCGTCCTTGTCCTCTCCTTTCCAGGCCAATTCCACCTTGAATGAGTTTGCAAATCTAAGGAAGTACTCCGAGGACTGGATCGAATCCTCCAACTACCTCGTGAAGTCTGCCGTGTTACTCAGCCAAACTTTGCCATTGCTGCAGGTATGAAAACTTTGAACTGTCTTTTGAACATCTTATCGTTGCAGCTGGCTCGCTGCCATCTCGCCAAAATGTTGGAGATAAACTTTGCAGTGGTCTGCCACGAGTTTCAGCAGGCGAATCTTGATGTTGTACTTCGTCTCTTCCCACTCCCTCTCAGAATTCCCTCAGCAATTCCTTTGTTCAGAGATTCATTGAGATGCAGACAGACATCAATGTCGACACAATGAAGGAGACACTCAGCAACTTCTGTGAGTGAGCATTTGAAGGTCTTTCTTTTGTAAGCGGCAGATTCCAGGCTTACCTTTATATTTCTCCCTCATTTATTGCCTGTAAAATATCCGCGCTATCAGAAAATAGCACTGCTGCTTATGTTTACATGACGCATCGCTATCATCACTTCAACATGCATTCCTTAGGGTCTATCTTCTTGATGTGATTATATGTGACAGTTTTTTTTTCATAAAGGTCTGACTTTGATGTGCAGGTATTTAATCAGATTACCTTGAAATGCCAGACCATATCTTTTTATCCGAGTTAACATATGCGATAACAGTGCATGGCACGGAACAGACACAGGGAAGTAGCATTACTTTAATTTAGATTTACAGCAATCAAATCTAAATCTACACGCTGAACTGTTTTGACCCAGTCGGTGAATTTCTAAATGTGTTTTTTTCCCCTAAAGCTAACATGACCGCCATGCTGGAGAAAAACAAACACATAATGGATCAGGTCACCACCTTGTCCACCCTGATGGTGAACCTCTCCTCCTGCATCACATTTGACCGTTACCGTGGTTACGACACTGCTGATGAGCTCAACGCTGCAGCTCAGCACCTCGCCAAAAACCGTGATCTCTACGCGAGTAAGTAAATATTAGGTATAATGGACACGTTTATGTGAGGAGAGCTGACTCATTCTGACCTGCGGGTTCATGAGGACAGTGCAGTGTGTTTCCACAAAATGTGATTTATTATTGATTATATTCCATCATATATCATACTTTTCTGGACTTGTGTTTGTGTTAGAGCTTATCCCAGCCAGGCAAAAGCATCCACCACATCAACATATTGTTGACAATGATTTAAGAGGAGAAAGCTTCCACCAAAACAGACTTTAAAACAGTATGTCTAGTAGAAAAAGATCGTAAAAGCTGCTCTTTAAATGCTATCTGTTTATACAATGCATGATCTGTTTGGTATTTCGAGCCAAACACTTCAGAGACATGTTTTGTATATAACTGAGACCTATAATATATTGATGAAAAACAGTATAATAGGTGACCTTTAAGTTTAAGATGTGTGCATTGAGATTTTGCAATCTGTCCTTTAGGTGTCATCTTCAAGCTTCCCAAAGACACGGACGCATCCAGGAAGCGTAATGCCAGGGCTTCCTCTTCCACATCCACCCTGCCTCCTAAAGTCAGCTACACCATCCGAATGCACATGGACAACTTGATGCGTACAGACAGAGTCCGTGACCCCTATTTTATGAAGGACCACCACATCTCGGCCCGGAGGACGCTGCGCTACAACCGGGGCTTTGTGTACCTGCAGGAGAACATCGATCGGGCGATCATAGAGACCCAAACTGGACATAGAATTGAGGAGACAGCCGTCCAACTGCAGCCCTTCCCCTACCCCTGCCACTACAGGGATGAGTGAGTACCCTATACACACGGATGCACTCTCACTCACACACACACACACACACACACACACACACACACACACACACACACACACACACACACACACACACACACACACACACACACACACACACACACACACACGCACACACACACACTCTGTGGGGAAGTGCATGCATTGACGTGGATTCATGTATGCTCTCTCATTATTAATTTGCCACTTGGGACTGACAGGAACCCTTTTTGCATTATAATTGGCTCTGCACCAGGTGCATAAATATTCACTATTATTGAGCATTCATTTTTGAAGACCATACTCACAACAACTCTGTAGTATATTTCCAATTGAAAACATGGGCTTGGCATTAACTTGTGCATCAATACTCTTCATTGTTTCCAATAAATCATGCTTGACCGTAATGTCTATGTTTTTGCTTCCTGCCCCGAGTGCTGATATCTCATCTTAGAGGCACCAGCAGGCCACTGTCTCTGGCTGGATGCCTCTGACCAACTATAAGATATGAGAAATCTTGCCTCTACGTCCTTCTGATTTATTACTCAGCAAGACAATTTCTGACATGAGCTGTGAAATATAGCTGTGTAGCATGAAAGACCGCAAGCTCTAAATTCCTATGCTTCAGGCTCCAGATATGATGAGGTAAAAAAAAAGAAAACTAAAATGGAGAGGCATTTATTTTGCGTAAATAATAACAGGATCAGGCTGTCAAAAATCCCCTAACACCTCCTTCAATATTGCTTTTTATTCCGTGTATCTGTCAAGCCGGTGACTGAATGATAGCTCTTTTTATCTTCTGTTGTTGACAGTGATTGGGTGTTAGGTTTTCTAGAAATGTGACTGACAGTTTTATGTATTCCCCAGGTACCTGGAGGCCGTCGCTTTTGTCTTCCCTCTCATGTTGATGATAGCCTGGGTGCTGTTTGTGGCTGATTTTGTGAAGAAACTGGTGCATGAGAGAGAGCTGAGACTGCATGAGGTATTTTTTTTCACTTGAAATATCATCAAAATTGCCCCTGTATTTTACATGGAACACTGATTTCTTGTTTTCTAAAAGGTCCTGTTATCATACTGTCCATTTATTTGTGTTTTTTCAAGTATAATAATAATAAATTATATTTCTATAGCGCTTTTCTTGAACCCAAAGACGCTTTACATTTGGGAGGGAGGGGAGACAAACAAAACAAAAATAAACAAAGAAACAAAACAAAACAGAAAAGCAGTCAGGAGGAAGTTGGTTGAGAGGGGGGGGGGGGGCTTATGGATACAGAGTTGAAGAGGTGGGTTTTGAGGCAGGACTGGAACAGGATGAGGGACTCAGACTCACGGAGGTCTTGGGGGAGGGAGTTCCAGAGCTTCGGGCTGCCACAGAGAAGGCTCTGTCCCCGAAGCTCCGGAGTTTGGCCTTGGGGATGGAAAGCAAACCGGCTGAGGTGGATCTGAGGGACCGGGGTGGTTGGTAGAGGATGAGGAGGTCAGTGAGGTAGGGGGGGGGGGCAGTTGGTGGAGGGCTTTGTATGTGAGGACCAGGAGTTTGTAATGGATGCGGTGTGAAACGGGGAGCCAGTGGAATTCTTTGAGGACCGGGGTGATGTGATGCCATGATTTGGTGTGGGTGAGGAGTCTGGCGGCTGCGTTCTGGACACGCTGGAGTCTATTGAGGGATGTAGTGCTGATCCCGTAGAGGAGTGAGTTGCAATAGTCAAGGCGGGAGGAGATGGAGGCGTGAATGAGTCGCTCAGCTGCAGGGCGGGTGAGAGAGGAACGGAGTTTGGCAATATTGCGGAGGTGGAAAAATGAGGTTTTTACAACTTGACGAATGTGGGGCTCGAGGGAGAGGGTGGGGTCAAATATAACGCCAAGGTTGCGTGCCTGGGTGGAGGGGGAAACAGGGGTGCCATCAATGGTGACTGTCAGGTTGGGGGTTTTGCTGAGGGTGGATTTGGAGCCGATGAGGAGGAGTTCAGTTTTATTGCTGTTGAGTTTGAAGTTGTGTTGCATCCAGGATTTTATTGCAGTCAGACAGGATTCGATGTGGGTGAAGGGGGAATTGGTGCTGAGGTAAATCTGTGTGTCGTCAGCGTAACAGTGAAAGTCCAGGTTGTATTGGCGGAGAATCTGACCAAGGGGGAGGATGTAGATGATGAAGAGGAGGGGGCCGAGTACTGAACCTTGGGGAACACCTTGGGTGACTGAAGCTGTGGCAGAGGAGTGATTGTTGAGGGAGATGAAGTGGGATCTGTCGGAGAGGTAGGACTGGAGCAACCTGAGTGCAGTACCTTCGATACCGATATCCTGGAGTCGGGTAAGCAGGATGGTGTGGCTCACGGTATCGAAGGCTGCACGAGGAGGATGAGGATGTTGAGGGAACCGGTGTCAGCAGAGGTGAGGAGGTCATTGAGGACTTTGATGAGTGCCGTTTCTGTGCTGTGGTGGGGACGAAAACCAGACTGAAGGGGTTCAAAAAGCTGGTTGGTTTGGAGATGGCGGTGGAGTTGTTTGGAGATGATGCGTTCTATTGTTTTTGAGAGAAAGGGGAGGTTGGAGATGGGGCGGTAATTACTGAGGGAGGAGGGATCCAGACCGGGTTTCTTGAGGATGGGAGTGACAGCAGCAGTTTTGAAGGCAGAGGGAACGGTTCCTTGGGACAGGGAGGAGTTGAAAAGGTTGACAAGGTAGGGGCAGAGGACGGGGAGGCAGGACTTCAGTAGAGGGGTGGGTAGAGGGTCAAGCGAGCAGGTTGTAGGTTTAGAGGAGCTGATCAGTTTGAGTATTTCAGGGGGGGTAACCAGAGTGAACTGGGAGAGTTCCTCTGTGGGGAGGAGGGCACGGGAGGTCCAGGGAGATGGGGGGAGAAATTGTGGCGGTGGATGTTGGGGGAGATGTATGTGTGTCAGATGCAGTGGATAGGGAGAGATTAATGGCAGTGATTTTGTCAGAGAAACACTGGAGGAATGAACTGCATAAAGTGGAAGTGGAGGAAGGGAGGGTGTCAGCACGGGGTTTGAGGAGCTTGTTGACGGTGGAGAAGAGGGTCCTGGGGTTATGGGAGGGGTCGGTAAAGATGGTGGAGAGGTAAGCAGTTTTTGCGGCAGTGAAGGCGTCTCTGTAGGTAGTGAGATGGAGTTTTTAGGATTCATGGTGAACTGTGAGGGATGATTTCATGGTTAGGCGTTCAAGCTGGCGGCCGGTTTGCTTCATCTTACGGAGTGCAGGGGTGAACCAGGGTGAGGAGGTTTTAAAAGTGACATTTTTCGTTTTGAGGGGGTCAGGCTGTTGAGGGAGGTGAGTAGGGTGGAATTAAGGTGGCAAGTATGCACTCACGCAGCTCACAGCAACAAACAGTAACATTTCCTACCTCTTATATTCCCACCGTTCATTCTTAAGCACCACTAACACATCAACCATTTTTTTATTTCCTTGTATTCCAATCCTTTTCTTTTCTTGCTTTTCCCACAGTACATGAAAATGATGGGAGTCAATCCGCTCAGCCATTTCTTCGCTTGGTTCCTGGAGTGCGCCTCCTACTTGGTGCTGACCGTCTTCATCCTCACCCTGGTGCTGAAGTACGGCGACATTCTGCCCCACAGCAACGGCTTCATCCTCTTCTTGTACCTCTGCAACTACAGTTTGAGCATCCTGTCCTTCAGTTACCTGGTCAGCTCCTTCTTCGACAAGACTTACATCGCTGGCCTCAGCGGCAGCCTTCTGTACATCCTCTGCTTCTTCCCCTTCATTGTGGTCTTGGCCGTGGAGACAGATCTCACCTTTTCCCAGAAGAGCGCCCTGGTGAGGAACCCTTTGGACCCTTCTCTTTCATGACTCATCTATTAAAATGGTGCTAGTACTGTGCAATGTGTAATAACTTACACAGCTCTGGAATTGAAAGGAGAAATAAGGAACAACATACAATCATGTCATTTTATTACCAAATGTTATTTACTCAATCTATCATAGAACATTTTTGTATCATGATTCAAATATTCCAGCCTTAAAACATGGTTCTTTGTGGAATAGTCTAAATAATAATAGTAGTTTTTGCCTCAAACTGTTTTACAATGTGAGATTTTCTTTTAACTTTGACACATTGACAGAAACAATCTGACATGTTTCTGTTTGCCTTCTTATGCTGACATAAGTTGTGCATATTTACGTAATATAGACTTTTATTTTGGTGATGGTTGTCAGATTTGATCATTAATTAGATGTCACATAACGTCAGTGCAACAGCTAAAGCCTTATTTGCTTTGAACAAAACTCTTCATGTTATGTTGAGAAAGTGTTGTTAAAACCACATAAGAGAGGAATGATAGAAAGGCACATCATTGGATTTGTGTTGCTTTTGTTTCTATATGTTGTCTGATTTGTCTCTCATTTTCTTACAGAGTTTGTTCTCCCCAACCTGCTTTAGTTATGCCAGTCAATATATATCTCGATTCGAGTCCCAAGGAGAAGGTATGCATTGTATACAGTACACATTTGACTTGCATCAACAAGACTCTTTGACATAGAGCATAAGCTATTTTAGTCAGTGTGAAGCAATTGCAAATGATGTGTTGGCTTCTTTAGGCCTCCAATGGAGTAACTCATACACCTCGCCCATACCTGGAGACACGGCTTCATTCGGTTGGCTGTGCTGGCTGATGCTCATTGACTCCATCCTCTACTTCATCATCGGGTGCTACATCCGAATGGTCTTCCCAGGTAAACTATTAAATCATAGAAGTCTGTATGAAAAATATTTTCCTTAAATGAAGGAGGCCAGTCCTTTCTAATAATTGATCTGTGATGTTTTATCGCTGATTTGAAATCAGCATTAACTAGGATTGCTGTAAAAATATGTGTCGAGAGCAAGTACATGGCATATTTGCTGTATACAGATTAGGTTGTTAACAGTGGAAGCATATAAGGGCTCATGAATGTATTGCTAGATTTATATTTGGTTATGTTTTTACCCTTTAGGCAACTATGGCATCGCTTCCCCATGGTACTTCCCATTCAAAGCATCCTTCTGGGCCGACCTGTGCTGTTGCTGTAGGTCAAACAGTAAGGTGGGCCGAGGACTCCTCTTCACCAACATCATGCAGAAAAACCAGCCTGTCTTCTCCGATGACAAGGGAAAAGGTACAGGGGGAAAAATGAATTTGTACTATCTCGCTGCAGATGATAATAAGCACTGCTGTCTCCTCCGGTGTTATGTTTTGAAGCAGGAACATGATGTTTTCCCTTTTTATATCATTTTTTGTCTCTAACACCTCACTACATTTTTTTTCACCCTCACTCTTCATTTAATTCCCGTCCCCTGTGACTTTGATTTACTGGTTGTCTCTGTCTCCATGTTTTTTTCTCAGGCCAGAGCAGTCTTTCCTCTCAGACTGGGGAGGATTTCTCAGAGCTCCCAGTAGGCGTTGCCCTCCATGGTCTCAGCAAGATGTATGGCGACCGAGTAGCTATCCAAAACCTTAATGTGTCCTTCTACGAGGGCCATGTCACCTCACTACTTGGTCACAATGGAGCCGGCAAGACTACCACCATGTATGTGTGGCATAATTTCTTTATATTTCACTGTATCAGCATGACGTGAGATGAATATAAATGCAATTTTGACAATTCATATACTCAATGAGGCATCTTTTAAATGTGATTTGTGCATCCCTTTAATCAGCAAACCTTTTAAATGGGTCTGCTGCTGACAGGGAGATTGTTTTGTCTTAATCTGGCACAGCAAATGCTACTTGAAAGAGATTTGCCTGACAGGTCTTCATCAGCTGGAGCACTAACATTTACATTTTAAATGTGACTAATTTTGCTGATGCTCTCAGTGCATCAGCAAAATACCTTTCAACAATGTTACAAAAAAAAAAGATATAATATTCCAGGCCCCAACAAATCATAATTTAACAGGAAAATGGTTGGGAGAAAGTACAGAAAAAACAAATTGGACATAGCAAAGGGCATTTCCAACATTTAGTGTTCCAGGTAGCAGATATGACGTAACATAAATTGTTGAAAAACTATCTTATTATCTATTTGAAGTATATCTTTATGAAACATGAAGTAACCAGAAAACTGAATTATCTCATGTAATAAATGAAAATGCTTTGTGCTTAGGTCTCTCCTGACTGGCCTTTTCGCCCCAACTTCTGGCACCATCGAGGTGTATGGCAGAGACATGCAGACCAACATCGATGACATTCGCAGAGAGCTAGGAGTGTGCATGCAATATGACGTCCTGTTTGACCACATGACCACCAAGGAGCACCTGCTGCTGTACGGCCAGATCAAGGCGCCACACTGGTCACAAGAGGAACTGCGTGAACAAGTCCGCTCGTGAGTGACAATCCGTCCATTACAGGGAGCATGCTTAACAGCATAATGCAATCAATCATAATCCAGTGGGTCTTAAAGATTATATCAGGGGTTCTGCATTATTTAGCAGTGCCATTGAATGTATTGTATAACCTGTTTTGTTACATCATAAGACATCATAAGAATAATTCTCTAGTGTCTAGGAAATATGAGTAAGGGTTATCATAGTAAACAGTGAATTATAGCTAGTGCTTGACACCAGTGACTGGTTACATAGGGACAAAAACTAAGAGCAATATTCAAATAGGGTTATAATCAAACATAATTTATGATTATACTGCTGTAACTTATAGAATATAGGCCTTGAAGCAAGAATTCCAATCTGTGATAAGGACAAAATAATTGTTACACTTGTCATCCATGAAATAAGCCCCACTATTTTCAGATGCAGGCTGAGAAAGCTATTGTTCTCCAACCATGCTAGGACAAACCTAAAACAACACTTTTTTCCCCATTTCTAGATCACAATTCGAGTATTTCTTTGTATTTTATCTCTTTTTTTTCATTGTTACTCTCTGAGATCAGCTAAAGGGGGCAAGCATTTGAAAATAAATGTAATTATTCTGTGGCATAATTAAGCTATGGGTAGAACCCCCAGTTGCATCATGAAACTATTTCTGGAGGGTTTCTGCATGACAAGAGCAGCAGTAATAAGCAGGAAAGCTATAAGCAAGGAACCGTACCTTCCCACTGGTTTCTGTTTTTCAGACATCCTGCTGGGTATCTGATGGGAGTGTAACTCAGAAACTTGGTTTTAATGCACAGACAAGTATACTAATGCGAGCTGTATGTTAAATGCTTTTCATCGACTTCCCTACCAGGACCCTAGAGGAGACAGGCATGTACGCTCACAGACACAAGCTGGTGAGCACATTGTCAGGAGGCATGAAGCGCAAGCTGTCAATCTCCATCGCCTTCATAGGGGGCTCTCGCTTGGTGGTTCTGGATGAACCCACTGCGGGAGTCGATCCCTGCTCCAGGCGCAACATCTGGGACATTGTTATCCAGCACAAGAAACGTGAGTACATATGATGAGAAAGAATAGCCCAAAAGGAACTGCATGGAATAGGAAAACATAGTTGAGGAAAGAAATGCAATTCTCCTCTTACTGTATGTCAAGTGGGGCCCCGCAAGGCGCAGTACTTGGCCCTATTTATTTTTTATCCAAATCTAACCCCTTGGCCATATTCTTTGGCAATTCTGTATGCAGTAGATAACTTTAGTTCATAACTGTCTGAATGTACTGCACTCTCGCCTCGCTGCCATCAAAAACTAGATGGCCTCTAACCACTAGCTTAAAATGTTCAGCCAGAATATTTATCTAAATCAGAAATGATGCCAGGCAAATCCGCACTTCCCAAAAACAAAGTCTAGCAACTTTTCTACGCCGCCTTTTTTCTGATCTTGACTTCTGCATTCCATTGTATACTTCCCTTAATCATGTAGCAATTACCCATCTACAGTTGGTGCATAATGCATCAGTTTCTGGTTTTGAATTCAGTCTTGATTACCTTATAAGCCCCCCATGGTTTATCCCTGCATTATCATTAGGATCTTGTAACTGCATATCAGATAAAATCAACTGCCATACAGATTCAACAACATGAACATACATACTGTACACACAGTTTGCACCTTTTATACTAACTTTGCTAATCACAAGAGGGTTGTTTATTATACATTTAAAGCACTAAAAAAGCATTAAAAAAGCCCAGCTGCTCACTCAAGAGATTAAAGTACCACACATGAGTTTAAGGGAATAATCTCATTCTAGCTTTGTGTAATGGATAATTAATCACATTGCATCATTTTTATCCTGTTAGAGGACAATGAATACGATTTTTGTTGTTGTAATGAGGCTAATCCTTGTACAAAAAATACTGAAATTCTTTAGTGCACACACAATCCAAAGTCTTGCTCTAGTATTTTCTACTGGAGAGACCCCCCACTACTCCCTAAGAGGGAAAGGAGTAGAGGAGCAGGAACCTGGAGCCAACTCTAGGGCTTTCCCCTGCTCAGGCTTCTGACTTTAAATCTAGCATATAATTAAAGTTAAATAAATCCTGTGTTATTTATTCAAGCTGTTTTTAGAATAGAAGGCAGCAATGGCAGGGAGACTGCTAAATGTAATATAATTGAAGCTGTGGAAGAATATCCTCTGTAATTGGACCCGTCTCAGATGTTAAGTGAGACTTTGCTGCCAGGAGGATCTATTTTAAAGTACACTTTCTGCACCGGTTGCTCTTTGTGAGCCTGTTTCTCTGATGATTTGTATGTGCATGACACAGCTTTTGTGTGACCTTGTCTTTGTGATGCTTTGGTATTTTATTTTGATGTGTGTTTTTGCGATTGTTTGTGTTTGCTGCTACACATGAAAGGATGTTCTTACTAGGATAGGAAAACAAGGAAAAAAGTGTTTGCTTAAAGACATGTTCTTTTACCCTTCACAAAACCTTGAACAGCCATAAAGCTTTACAGCTAAGTTTGGCTGGTTATTATTTACCTTAGTGGATTTCAGGTTTGAGTGGATTGTTCAATAGTTAAAAGTGAAGGGAATAGTTTAGAAGTTGTATACAAATGCATTCTATGTGTGTCCTGTCAGATCGCACTGTCATCATGTCCACTCACCACCTGGATGAGGCTGAAGTACTCAGCGACCGCATCGCCTTCCTGGAGAGAGGCGGATTAAAATGCTGCGGATCCCCCTTCCACCTGAAAGACAAACTGGGTCAGGGCTACAAACTCACCCTCACCAAGAAGGTACTTAATTTCATTGGCATCCAGTTTCAGGATTCTTTCTGGTCAAATAAACTATATTTCCCCAGATATACATGTTTATTTATTTGTATTGCTTTTGTTTGTTCCACTTCTGGCAATGAATATGTACACTTTAAGCAGTTTATATAGCCCATTACAGAAAAAAGCAGGGAGAAGAAACCTTAAACCCTAATCCTAGAAGTGAGAAGGCAACATATCTCGGATTTTTATTCAGACACTTTGAGAATGCACAACCAGCATAAATAGTAACATTCCCTAGTACATTATTATAGTGAAACTGGCCTGTTTATGTAACAAAAATAATTCTCGGTTTTATTTCTGCCCCAGTAGAGTTGCACACAATCCATATTGCAATAGAGTGATTTGTATCAGATCAATTGGAAAAACTGCTTAACAGGCTAAACACAAATAATGCTCTACTGACTGCTGCAGTCTGGCTCATACTTTTTTTTAGACTATATAAATATATATATATATATATATATATATATATATATATATATATATTAGTGCCCTTTATAAGTGCACTTTATGCCAGTAGTTATTTGTGTCTAAAATAAAGCTGTCAGTACTGTGTATCTGGACTGTTCAGGCTAAAATGTCTTCTCTTTGTAGCAGTAAGTCAGAAAAAGAAAATATTATCGGGGGAAATAATAGAGTATTTACAAACCAAAAACATAAATAGTACAAATATATATATGTCAAGCCATGGGCAGCTGCTTTGTGGTTGTGCAAAGTAAACCAGTGTAATCTTGCAAATCAAGCTTGTTATAACCCATTCCTCTTTTCTATGTGCAGGCTCAGAACCCAGAGTCTGAGCCGATTGACAATGCTGACCTGAAGGTCTTCATCCAAGCTCATGTTCCAGAAGCCAGAATGAAGGAGGCCCAGGGGGGCGACCTGGTCTACTCACTGCCCCCCTTTAAATCATCCAACGCTTCCTCCTACCGCTCCCTCCTGACTGCGCTGGACGCCAACCTGGATGCCCTGCAGCTGGGAGGCTATGGCATCTCTGACACCACCTTAGAGGAGGTAGGCTCATCCACAGCAATGCAAAAAAACAACATATCTTGGATATTCCCTGTGTGAAAACACTCGTGTTCATAAAGTTGGACATATTGACTCGTTTGCATAATTTCAAGCTTCAAAAATGGAACAAAAATCTCTGTGTTGTGAACAGATGCTGTTGTTTTTCTTTTTATCTGTGTAGGTGTTCCTCCAGTTGACTCACGGAAACTCAGAAGATGGTTCTGAGGAAGGCCCGCTGTCTATCTCAGAGACAGTTTCTGACACTGATTCCATCGACAGCTTCCCCTCAGACTCGAGTGGAAACATCGACAACTTTGGTGACAAGATCAGTGAGTGAACCAAAAAAAACACTTTCCATAAAGTTTATATATTCCTTTTTTGGCATTTATAAAATAACTGTTATTCTATTTTACATTTTTAAAGAAAAATATTCGAAGAAAACTTCAACTCAGCTGACCTAGTTCAACAACTTCCACATTTTGATGGGTGTACTGCCATCTTTTCTGATATAATCCACCCATTAACCTTTATCTCACTGTGCCCTAGAGGGGAAATCAGGTATTATCAAAGCAGTAAGACACTAAGAAGGTAAGTGAATTAGTACATAAATGATTAAACCTGTCTCCACTTCTTCTCCAATGTATCCCAGAGCTTACCGGATCATCCACGATGAGTGGCATGGCCCTGGCCTGGCAGCAGATGACAGCCATACTGGTGAAGAGGTTCCACCACAGCCGTAGAGACTGGAAGGGCCTGATCGCCCAGATCCTGCTTCCTGTGCTCTTCATGGTGTTTGCTATGGGCCTGGGCTCCATCAAGAGCGACCTGCAGCACTATCCTGAGCTGGAACTCAGCCCTGCGCTTTACAACTTAGGACCGAGCTACTCTTTCTTCAGGTCAGCTCTCATTGGGTGCCCAATAGTAAACAAGGCTAATAAGGATGATTTGACTCCAAGCATTTTTGGATCAGTTTAATGGAACTCTAAGGGTGCGTTCACACCTGCCTTGTATAGTCCGGTTGAATCGAACCCTGGTGCATTTAGCCGCTTGGTGCGGTTCGTTTGGGTCGGTGTGAACACAATCCGAGACCTCTTAAGTGAACTAAACAACCAGACTCTGGTCCGCTAAAATAGGTGGTCGCGGAGCGCTTGCTTGCGAACTCTGGAGCGGTTCATTGCTGGTGTGAACGCAGTCCGCACCAAAACATAGGAAGCGTAGTATTTACGTGTCACAAGAACGCGGATATCTTCAAAATCTTTAGCGAAAGAGTCTTTCAAGACATCCGCGGTTGTTTAGTTAAAGAGTGCAGCAGAATGAAGTGTTGAACAGTGTCGTGTAATGTAAAAATTCTCCGTCAGCTACATAAAAGTAAGAACACCTGTCGTCGGTGAAACGCCCTCGTGACTGCAGAACATCTCATTATATGTGCTATAATGTTTTTTAACGGACGTTGTCTGATTATAATATAATCATATGCGCGGGCCGCTAGTGTCTGTTGTGATCTCCAGATTAACAGCTGCATGAGAATAACCTGCCGAAAGTGCCGATGCTCCATGGCGGAGGCTCCAGTAGAAATTGCCGGGATTTGCGTTTTTACCCCCTTAATGTCTGACCAATGGTTGAACAGCATTTCCGTGCACATGACTTGTGTTTAAAGTTTATAGTCCGTTTGAGTTTTGCCCGTGTGAACGCAAACCGAACCTTCTGAAAAATGAAACAATGTAACAAACTGTCGTCTGGTGCGCACCAGAAAACGGACTATTAGGTGTGAATGCACCCAAAAGCTTTGCCCTTTCATTCAATATATTTGGCAAGGTCAGACCAAGGCCACTATGACTCAAGGTTGCAACGAAAAATCACGAAAGGGCACCTGAAAAAGTAGGTCTTGTCCAGGAATATTTATTTTACACAGACATTTACATTTTTAAAGGTGGTGAGCTTTGGCAAAGGCTTCAAACAAATCACGATACAGCCGTGTGCCTCTCAAGAGAAGTCTTTGTAATACTTGGTTTGTTACAAAGCTTGGAAGAGGTTGTCTTGTAATGCCATTTTCTGGCATTTACAAATCTTATACTGCGTGGTCTAAACGATGCACTAAGATCACTTTTTTTTAGCACAGAGCTGCAACCATCCTGCAACTTTGATGAAGGGTTGAAGCATCTCGTCCTTTGATTGGTCCCCTGGGATCCCCCATGTCACTTGTTAGAGAATGAATTTAAAGCTGCAGTTTGTTGAAGGGCAGACAGACCTTAAGGAAAGGGAGCGGAGGAAAGAGAGGATTGAAGACGGGTGAGATACAAGATCAAAGTGAGAGGGAGTGTCAGGAAGTTGCGAGATGTCTTCATTTTTGAGAAGTGCTGTTGTTTGATCAAGGGGATGTGCAGCAAAGGAGAAAATAAGGAGGTGCCATCCATATCAAAATCGGTATGGATGCTCTCCCTATTCCTCTTCAGCTTGATACAAATGAGTTTGAAAAGATTGGATAATCATTTTAATTCAGATAAATGGTAAGGCTTGGAGAGCTAGGTAGCAGTCTCACATTGTATGAACTTTCTCAGAGCAGTGTGTTTTCAGACTTGCCTGCATGAACAATACAAATGCAATGATCTGAATGTTTATTTATGAGAGTACCTCTTCTAGCAGGAAACAGCTCAAATTAAAGAACTCCACTCAAATGTAAAGTGGCAAATCAAATGTCCTCACTCCCCTTTTATCTGTCCAGCTCCCCACAGCAAAGCTATTAGAACCACTGATTGTGCCCCCATGGTCACTTTATCGACAACATCGGGAGATAGTAAAGTGCTCTTATACCATCTTCTCTACTATCCTTGATAAATTCCAACCTTGAAACCCCAGCAACCAACACTGATTTGAATAAATCAATAATGACTGAAACCAATTTTAGAGCCTTGTGAACCGTTTTCGTGGGGTTACTTCATTTTATTATTGTTGTAATTATTGTAAAGTCTACTAAATCGAATATGTAAAATTTGAGTTGAGACTGACTGTTTGTTTTCTGACTCCATAGTAACCAGAACCCAAGCACCTCTCAGCTGACGGACACCATGTTGTCATACCCCGGGATCGATAACGCCTGCCTCGACAAGTCTAATAACCTGTATGTAATAAAACCTCAAATGCCAAACATGTTTCTCCTCAAAATGACATATTTTTCACCGATACTCTTGGTGCCCTTGCTTAATTTTCTCATGTATTCTACGCCTTTTCCACATGCACAGTAATTTCATATTTAACTTATTGTCATTCTTTTATTGCCTCCTCCTGCACCTTGTTTTGTTACCAGGCTGCCTCCCTCCTATTCTTTCCACTTTCTCTCTCCTCCATGTGCCTCCTCTCTGTTTTCCTGGCGCTCAGCTTATGTATGTGTCTGAAAGCCGGCAGCGAGGCTCTGCGATAGGAGGGCGTCATTTGTATTCCATAAACACCTTGTGTTTATAGGGGAGATTTTCCCCTTACAGGCGCTCAAATCAATGTTAGCACTCATGAACCCGACCTCGGAAGCATTTTAAAATGCACTGCCAAAAAAGAAGAAGAAAAAATACAGAGATAATGGAAGATCCTATGTTGCAAAAAGAGACTGCATGTTTTGCTCACCATGTCCTATTATCACAACATGACAATTACTGAAAGGACGGTGTGTGAAGCAATTACATTTATATCAAATATAATGTATTGTCCGTTGACTATGGTCACTGTTGTTGGACAACTTATATCTAAAGTAACAGGTGAGCATGTGGGTGTGCAATCTTCAGTCATCTGCACAATGTGTCATAAAGCACTTGACTGAAAAGAAAGGCGGGGGAGTTGAACATTCACCCACACAAACACATTACACATAATACGATTTTACATTACATATAAAATAACTTTTAAAAGAGTTTTTTTAACTAACGTCAGAGAAAAACAGCATGCAAACTTCACAGGTGCTGTATGAATGGTTGCAGTTAGCAAACATGCAGATTTGTAGCTTTGATGCAGGCCATCATATCAACTCAGTTTCAGGATGGTTTCTGGGTCTGTCTAGGGATGCTCTAGTGCCATTATCACGCACTGCAGACTGCCATCGTTCCTCTGAGCCACCATTTCACTTTGTGAATGTTTTCTTTTAAGGGTCTGCACAAGAAGCGTGAGCAGCTGGAATTCCAGAGGGAACGGCTCCAAAGCATTTAGTGTCTGTAAATGCAGCCGTCAGGAACAGGTGAGATGGGTCACTGGGAGCAGTGTTTGTGATTGTGTGTGTGTGAGTGAGTTTTTATGTTCTCATGCATCTCTGTTGCTACACAGGAATGTGTCTTACTGAGTGTGATTGTGAGAAAGGCAGAGTGTAATGTGGTTTTCTTTTCCCTACACTGCAGGTTTGCGACCTTGACAACTTCCAGCCCCCCCATAAAAAGATCCCCTCGTCTCAGATTGTGTATAACCTCAGTGGCATCAACGTGGAGAAATACCTGGTGGCAACAGCAAATAATTTCATCAGAAACAGGTAAACATACTGAGAATTCAACCCATGCTTCACTGATAGTGTACTATAGTCTCAGTGCTTATTGTAACTGCTAGTTTCATGAACTATAGGAAGCCATGTTCCAACAGAATCCAATATCACATATATTACATCAGGGGTGTCCAAACCTCTTTCACTGGGGGCCACATACAGACAAATATACGAAAGGCTTGGCCTCTCACTCGAGGTGAGGTATATTGCCTCATAAGTTAAGTTCTAAGTTAGCAAAATCAATCAAATGTAGGTAAATTATCCTTAATACTTGAATATGCTTTAAGAAAAAAAACAGCCTTCAACAAAGCTTTCCATAGAGTTTCATTTATTTTCTTACAAAAACTGTTGGCAGCTCAAGCCTCAGATTGCTTATAATAAGGAACAATATGAAGGGTTTATTTCAAGCTTATTATGCTAATAAGTTATTGGGCTTTATTTGAATCAACGAAACTTTGTTAGAAAATGTTTTCAACTTTAACTTACTGAGTTTATTTGAAAAGTTGGGCTTATTGACACATGAATAGTACTGCGTAATATCTGTTTACATATATATTTAAGAAGTACAATATAAGAAAAGCACAAGTTTCATGTGTGGGCCATATTCCATTTAGAATTTAGAGGGCCAATTCAAAATGGACAACGAGCCGCAGTTGGCCCCCGGGCCGTAGTTTGGACACCCTTGTATTACATATAACATATTTTTGATGAGTTTGAGACTCCATTTTAAGACTTCAGTTAATTGTTGGTAACAGCAAATGCTATGTTTTACTAAAAGCTCCAATTGAGTAGAAATAACTATTCTAATAAAAATGTCAGGCAATACTCTGCCTTTGTCAATCTTTCTGTGAGCAACACTAATCTGTTTTTATGCTGCACACGGCTCGTAGTTTGATATCTGGCTGAGATGCAGGAGGTGTGCAGCGTGTCGCCGGCAGCTCTTCATCTGACAGCTCACTGGGGCTGCTGCCGACTGCTCAATTACTCTTGTTCAATAATTCAAAGAGATTCACTGTCACAAAATGTGCCCTGTGTTTTGCAGATGCATTTTTTTAATTAACTATATTGGCCAGTAGTAATCCTACTGACAAACGGGTGCTTTAAATGTGATGCTGCAGCATTAGGAAATGCTTGGTTTGCATTAGCATACATTTAAATCAACATTTCTTACAGGATATCGCCACAGACTCCCAGCTTGTACTGTAATACTGCACATTTATAAATACCACAGTTCTTTCATTAGTGGATCATATGTTCAATTACCATTGCGCTACCTCATTCAGCAAAAATGACATAACAGACATTAACTCAAATAGAAATCTTTAAGATTATTTCTTTAATAGTCAGAACTGGCAAAGTTGCTATTGCTGGGAAGTGCATTGTATATAAAACGTGCTCTGCTTAACACAAGTAGGTTTTTAGTATCTTGTCAATTTTTGGTCATACTTTTATCGTGGGGTCAAATGTTTTTACCAAAATGCTTCTCATTTGCAGGTTAATATTTAATTCAAAGAAAAACAAGCAATCGAAAGAGATAGTTTGTCGTTCTCAGCAGCGTTCGGAGCCCTTTGTTTTGATCTATTTATATATATATTCTTTTTTTATAGGTATGGTGGCTTTTCTTTTGGCGAGTCACTCCCTCACGACTTAAAGATGGATTTAACAATAGTGCCCAAAAACCGTACACTGTCTAAGGTAACTTTTCTCTTTTTCCCAGCTGCCTGTCTCATTATCACTTTAATGGCTTCACTGATGTAAAGTTTAAACATTACATCTTATCTTAAAGTATATTGGCTACAAGATCAAGGCTTGCAGATGGAGCTGCATTGTTAGCCATCAGTGTCATCATAAACATGCTTTATTGAAGCAATTCCGCAGCAGTTTTTAGCGTGTACATTTCCTCATCTGCATTTACTGTACTTTAAAGCCTTAGTGATAAAATATCGGAAAGTGTGTTTTAGGGATATAGTTGTCCTTCATATCCTGATTTGTAGTGTGATTGATGGTTTCCATGCATGTTTGTGTTTGAATGTGTTTAGGTCTGGTATAACCCAGAGGGCCACCACACAATGCCGGCATACTTAAACAGCCTCAACAACATCATCCTACGCTCCAATCTTCCAGCAGACAAGGACCAACGAGAATATGGTGAGCTGGAGTTTGAGTTTCTTTTGAAACTCTAGAGAAGGCCAAGGGACACAGTCTGAGAATAAAGTGTAGTTGATTAAGAATGATATCCACATAGATGCAAAAACAGATCCCTATCTTATTTGTACATGATATTAGCTTCTCTGCAATTTACTCTTATTGTGTGAAATATTAAAATGATTTAGAAACACATCTAAGCACATCATTTGTTTAGTTGATTGTCTGTATTAACAAAGGGTATTGAACAAGTTTGAAATAAGACATGACTGGGATTAGGCCAAGGGTATGCACACACAAGGTGCTGCTGATTAAACACCTTGATCATTCTGGAGACTAACTATAAACAGAGCTGTAAACAGTGTGTTTACTCATGGTTCATTCCACTGGATTAACGCCAGGGGGTGCTGTGTGTCTTTAGACTCACATCAGTATGCATGGTGAATACTGATGAGTGCCGCTCACTGGGGTAAAATCTGGCCCACGTTTTCAGTACTGTTTCAGCTCTGTATCACCCTGACCATCTGCCTGCGGGCAGGAATACACACACACACACACACACACACACACACACACACACACACACACACACACACACACACACACACACACACACACACACACACATGTATAATCACTTATAAAAACATACAGTGCATGCACATAAGTCCATGAACACACACACACACACACACACACACACACACACACACACACACACACACACACACACACACACACACACACACACACACACACACACACACACACACACACACGTATTCGACACAGGATGAAAAAGGTGCTCGAGGGGGTGGAGATCTGGGGAGATTACTTTTCAAGGTGATGGTTCATCTGTCAAATGTGAAGCCCTCCCTCTCACAATGTGAACTGCGGTACCAACTCTGGGTGGGACACTTTAGAGGTTGCCATAAAACCGTTTGTTTAATGTCAGTCTCGCAGGCATTTTGAAGAACTGCCCACTGCCACAGATGTGCGATCAGTCTTCTTTCCACAGAGATTCTTATCACTCCCAACTGCAACAGTGTTTTCTAAGCCTCTTTGCCCAAACTGTTTCTCAGCTGTTTAATAATCCATCTTTAGAGGACATAACCCTAACATAAACCATAACAGCTTGGGGGTGATAACTAATATCTAATAGAATATTTATGGATCAATGGAAAAGAAGGATTCAAATCCAATCAACTCTGGATGGATCATGACAATTTTTAGCGGATTAATCCAGCAGTCATTCAACAGAAAAAAAAGTCAGAAACATCAATAATACAAATGTAATTGTAAAAGTGAATTTGATCAGATATGGTAAATAATCACTGGTTCCAACTACTCAAATATGAATATGGTATGAAATGATTACCTCTATGTTATCATATCTGATATATATTTGGCTTTAGGTCTGTTGGTCCTACAAAATTAGCAATTTGTGATTTTTAGGATTTCTGAGCCTCCATTTGAATTATATACAGTAGATCAATCAAGTAAATGGCTGATGAATCAATTATAAAAATATCTGATTGTTACAGCTGAAGTTGATTTATAAAAGATGCAAACCAGATATCTGGTAACATCTCTCTTTAGAGCAGTAGTAATGAAGTGTTAATGATTACGGATTAGATTTGGATTAGTGTTTGGAACCCTTTAAATCCACCAAAGTGCCCTTAAGCAAGGCACTGAGCCTCCAACCTACTCCAGTGTTGCCTTGGTCACGCTCTTTTATCATCTCATATCTCATCTCATATCTCAAGAAATGTGAGCAGAGACATGTAGGGGAGCAGCTCATGTCTGTGAGCATTCAGAAGCCCATGAAACAATGATAAAGAAAATTCAATTTCCTTTGTGTGCACTGGCAAATGAAATCATCTTGCACAATATATTTTCCAATTGACTGTGTCCCAGGCTAAGAGAATACCATTGCTCATTTGGTTTCTGTGCTGAAAAATTGCCTGTGTGCTGTTGTTTTTCTCTTGCTAACTTAATACTCTTTCTATTACAGCCATTTCAGTTTCCAGTCACCCCTATTTCGGCCGAGCAGATGATGAAGATTCAATGTAAGGGCTTAGAGTGTAATTTCTTCCTCCTGCTGAACCGTCTGTCACTATTTTACATTACCAACGACTGCACTTTCAAACAAGAGTCTAATTAGCATTCTAATTGGTGAAAATAAGAAGAATATTCTCGGCCTGTTGTTTTGCTGAGCCGAAACTAAATTATTGAAGCATCCTACTTTTCAATTCAGGACATGAAAGTCAGGTTGGACTCGAGGCAGGCAGGTACATGACAGCAGTATTTACCCATATTTGATTGTCTAAATGGATTTCCCTGAGCTTGCACTATTGATCAGCGTCCCAATATAATGAGTGTTTACCCTGAAGGTGGCACAGAGGTGCATTGATTCTACCCCACTCCCCAAAATGAGTTTATTTAAAATACTCCACATTCTCTTTTGAGAGACCCAGACTACAGAAATAGTGCTTGGGTGAATGTATGTAAGCAAACAAACAAACATGTGTGTGTACTCAAATCAAATAAGAGTGGATTGAGGAAAGCTCTCGTCTCTCTGGAGCTTTATTAGCACTAACTATTTCCCTGTGTTGTTAACTGCCCGATTGGATTATATACATACTGCACATTTCTTTATGTGTATGGTACAGAGCTGTTGGCCTGCTTAGGTACTGCAGCGACTGCAAATCCACAGTCATCCTTCTGTGATATTTTGCTTCCTCACCTGATTTATTCATTTGCACTGAGCTGTGTAAAAGATACAACAGGGTTATTGCTTCAAATGTCTTGACTCTCACAGTGTGGTAGCTGTTGCCCATAAGAAAGACAAGGGTATACTGGGCATACTGCTAACAAACGTGCTCAGTAGCCTCTGCTGCTGCTGGCTATCCTCTGTTGTTACTGCTGCCCTCAATCGCCCACCACAAGTCCCTCTCTGCTGTTCTCTCTCCTTCCTACTCAGTCACACTGCCAGTCTCATCCTCTTTTCCTGCCTCATGCAGCTTCTATTTGGTCGGTGGTGAGGCAAGAGGTAGAAGTAGAAGTAGTCCAGCAGTTTGTAAGATGGGAAAGACAGCATTGGAGGATGAACAGGTAGCTGCATCAAGAAAGTTTGAATGAGTGCACTGGGTTGAAGAGCAGCTGAGGGATCAAAGCCTCAGCTGGGTGTCTGGAGTTTTGTCTGCTCACAGCAACACCACCGGCGCACTGAACATACAGCAGTGTGAAGTTGTTCTTTTATACGTCGCCATTTGTTTTGTTTGCAGTTATTATCTTGTCAGAGGCGAGGCACAAGCATCTCGTTTAACAAAGCTGTTTGTCATTAATGGAATTCCATGTATTGTGAGCCACTTCAATAGTTCAAATGAGTCAGATCCCAGCAGGGAACAATAGGATTGTTTGTAGGAGGGCTCCTAAAATGGGCCATTGTTTTCAGATGGGATTTACAGCAGCTTTTCTCATTCAAAGTGACTCAGTACAGCAGAGAATATTAAATTGTTGTTGTTCTTAGATCTAAACCTGTAGCTATTGTAGCATTTAAAAAGGACACATGATGGTCTGTTTTAGCGAATGTCTCTTAAAGCCTCCCTGCAAAGTTATTTGTTAAGTCGTGGGTGGAGATACTCTGATGGGGGCGGAATATTTGAATAAGCCTCATTGCGACATGAAGGAGATCCAAACTAAATGTTTGTTTCATCACATGTTTTCTGATCTAGAAAAAACCCTGAAATGTGTTGGTTAACTGAACAACACAAAGACTGTCAAATAAGACAAGTGTTTTATATATTGTCCCCTTTTAACAGAAAAAACCCAATTTACCCAGCAGGAATCTAATGGCCATTAGTAGGATTGATGTGGTTGAATGCTAATTCTCTAATTACGGACATAGCTGGTAATTAATGATGCCAGTGTTGTCATCTGAATGACCCTATTGTTTTCCCTTACAGTATCCAGGGAATGCTCCAGATCATGGTGGCTATGTGTGTGCTGACGGGCTATTCAATCACCACAGCAAGCTTCGCCATCTACGAGGTCAGCGAGCACCACAGCGGCTCCAAGAGGCTCCAGCACATCTCTGGCATCAGTGAGCCCATGTACTGGACTGTGAACTTCTTTTATGACATGGTAACGTCCCTCAATCAGCTAACAGGAGACCCACATTGACATCTTGTTTACTCATTTCTTCTTGGTGATAAAATGGGTTTGAATTTGAATTGAACATGTCGTCTAAGGGAAGTCTAACCCTCAAAATCACGTTCACTAAAAGCAAAAGCAAACATTGGTGAGATTTATTTGGGCCCCATAACAATCATTTTACATTGCAAATATAGTGATTCTAGTGTTAACTTTCATCTTCTTGCGAGCATGTAACCTTCATTGGGCCGGGCAACTGACAGACCATTCTCAATGTGTCCTTAATGATGTATTAATTAATTGATTGCTCAACATATTTTGATATTGTTATTAAAAGATTGATTCATAATGTAATTGGTACATCGTTTTTATTTGCCTTAATGTTGTCTCATTGTGTCCGATCTCTTCCTACAGGTCATGTATTTGATCCCTGTGACCTTGACTGTTGCTGTCATCGCAGCCTTCCAGATTCCAGCGTTCACAGAGCACCACAATCTGGGTGCTGTCACCCTGCTTCTGGTTCTCTTTGGGTGAGTTATTTGGCTTTATCTGTGAGTCTTGCGCAGCCTAATAGCAACATGTAACACGTGCTGGATTTACAAAGTGAGTTTATGGCCTGTTTGGTCCTTTTGCCTTGTTGTTGCTCTCAGTGCCACTTTTGGTCAATTACATTTTTGACCCAAAGTGATGTGATGATGAGTCAACCCACCATGAGGCTGACGCATCGGGGTTATTCAAGGGCTTCAACTGTACTTACTTTTTCAAATTCAGCTGTTTGCTGCACCTCAGGCGAATGGTTTAATGAGTTATAAAATAGCACTCTCTTAAAAAACATTCTACTCGGCTCCATTTCACCATCCTGGGTGAGTGGTTCAGAAATAAAATAGGTATTTATAATATGTAATATATATAATAAGAGTTGAACTAAAACACACGGCCAAAGGTAAACAAAATCATCTATCACATGCACCCTAAAAGACCAAAATACAACAAGCATATATTAAGGATGGTTTGTTAATCACAGCACTGCGTAGAAACAACGATTAAATACCCCTTTATTTGATAGTAGATTAAAGTGGGTGCATCAATGATGTTGGTTATAATCCCAACGGCACAACTACTGCAAATAGGTCAGAAATAAGTTGGTCTGTAAAATGATGACAGACAGTGTTATTAACCTCTGGGTTTGTTTTCAACATCATCTGACTGCTTTTGTTTATACTCTGATCCAAGTGACAGCATCAAAACTCATTTGATTTAGCCTCATTCTGCAGCCGGGCAATGATCCTCACCGATAACCTAAATGAATATGTTCAAAAGCATGTCCTCATCACATGCACGCTTTATTTTCAGTTTTACTCTGTGTGCCACCAGGTTAGATTTACAGCACTCAGCATACGGAGGCTGTTGCCTTTCAAAAGCAAACACAGCTCCATTTTTCAGAGTCTCTTGCAAAGACAGATGGTTGTAGGACTGAAAGCTACTAACATGTTTATCTTATTCAAGCCAAATACAGTAGAGAAACAGGGAGACAGACAGGGAGGGTGATCAGGATTCTCTTCATAAAAATATGACTTTACAATAAGAGAAGGAGATTAATGCAAAGGTTCAACACCGATGCAACGCCATGTTTCCCCACATCTGATTACTGAAATGATGTACATCAAATGTAGCTCAAACTTTGTCTCCTGTGTTTCCTGTTGCTGCCTCATCCTGGGCCTTAGATCTTACGAGGCCAAGTCAGCACTCTGCTCCTCGTTTATCTGACAGATGTCTCCCTCTCAAGCAATGAATAATCGCAGTCTGTCAGGCGGCACCCACCTGGTCTAGTCTGCAGCCTCCTTGCTTCTGTTCCTTGTCATGGCTTGGCACCCGCGGTCTGCCTACCAAGCACCTTTTTATTTTAGGGCATGGCACACAGAGGCTTTGTCTCTGTCTGCTTCTATGTGTTTGTCTCTTCCTTTTCCCAGCCTACTTTTTCCTTCTTCATTTCGTTGCCCCTCCTTCGCTTTCCCTCCTCTGCCTTGCTGACCCAGACACCCCGATCAAACGAACAAGCAGATGATGTGAGAGTAAGGAGAAAATGAAAAAAACAGGAAAGGGATTTTCTGCCAACAGGGGAATAAAGGGAGAAGTAATTTATCTTCCTCTATTTTGGCATCATGACTAAATGTTTACCGTCCTCATGTGTGGTATTTTTCGTCCCTCCCCTTTTCAGTATTCTTTGGTTCAGTATTCTTTGGTTCCTTTTTTTCATCAGGCTCACTGCTGCTGTGTTCAATCTCTGAAAGGCTTGAACCAATTCAGTTAAATAAATGCAAAGTCATGTATTTTAGAAGGTGCAATTGTGAGGACTGTATGCATTTTCCATATCCACTTTGTGTGTTTGTGGGTCTTCCTGCATTTGGAGGTAGCCCAGCCAGATCCCAGCAGGGTTATGTAAATGTGTGTGTGTGTGTGTGTGTGTGTGTGTGTGTGTGTGTGTGTGTGTGTGTGTGTGTGTGTGTGTGTGTGTGTGTGCGTGTGTGTGTGTGTGTGGCTATTTTTGCTTGATGTTATGTTTAAAGTATCCTATCACTGTCACCTCCTCAGGTTTGCCACCTTCCCCTGGATGTATCTGTTATCAGGCATCTTCAAGGATGCAGAGATGGCCTTCATCGTCTATGTGTGCATCAACCTCTTCATCAGTATCAACACCATCATGTCCACCTCCATCCTGTACTTCCTGAGTCAAATTTCCTCCAGAAACTCTGAGGTCAGCTGAGTCTAGAGGCCTCATATTAGCAATTGAATATCTGAAGTAGATACATGCAAACTTTGACTGTGGAGGTGCAGGAGGTGAGAAGAGCAAACAATTCTGCTGACGACAATGAGAAGATTCAAATCCTGTTGAGTTGTGTTACTGTCGAATAGTCTTGATTTTGCCAGCTCTATTTAAGACATATACCTGTGTAAAATGCCCTTGGTGTTTTTTTACAAATTGAATCAGGCTCATCCTGTGTCTTTTTAGAAAATTTTAATTGACAATAATCTAATCTTTTATTCTTATCTAAAAAATACGAACTATTTGAGTAAAGTTATTTTTGAAACATATGGCATTTATGACAGCCAAAATATCACGTTGTTTTTTTATTCCACCGCGGTTGATGTCAGTTTTAGATTAAACTCAAGTCAGTAAGTCACTCTGAATCCTCCTGACTGAAGGAACTTCAACATTGAAAAATAAAACGGCCTATACTATTTGGTCTCCAAGTTTAAAATCGGTTAAACTAACTGTAAGACTCATCTCTTTTTATCAATTATATTGCATGTTTATATAGTTATAGTTTTTCATGGAAAAAGGGCAAAAGGCATTTCTATTTATAGTTTAAAAAAACAAACAATTTACCACTGCTCTAGTCTCGTAATTCATACCCACTCTTCGCACTCTCCCTCTTCTCAATTTCTTCTGTTTGATCCTTTGCTGCTGCAGGTCATCCAGGAGGTCTTCAACAGGCTGAGTGAGGCCTTCCTGATCTTCCCCCAGTTCAACTTTGGGAACGGGCTGATGAAGCTGGCCAGGATGAACATCGAGGTCCAGCTGCTCAGTGGCTACGGCATCGACGCCTATAAGAACCCGCTCTCCATGGACGGCCTGGGCTGGATGTTCTTCTCCTCCTTCATCGAGGGCGTGGTCTTCTTCACCCTGCGCCTCCTGCTCAACAGGCTCCTTATACGCAAAGTCAGGTGAGTAACCAGAAGCCTTAGATGGTATGATGAGAATCATAATAAACTCCTCTGGTACACACATATCTCTGGCAAAAGCAATATCATTATTGAATAAGCATGAAAGTCTTTACATTAATTTATGAAAACAATAACAAGGTCAATTAAGTGTTTATTTGTATTCAAAATCAACAAAAATAAACATTTTGGAAAATAAAAGCCAGACATATTGGGCTCCAAAGAGTTCACTTCAGTTTAAAAAAATAGCCCCAAGTCTCAGACAATCACAGATTGTAACTGTCTGCCAGTTTTACACAATAACTTCAACACCTAGCAGTAAAAACATACTTTTCACTTTTGCAGGAATCTGATTTTCGGCAGAAAGACGGTGCCTCAGGTGTCTCAGGTGTCTTGCGAGACCGAGGATGAGGATGTGGTGGCGGAGCACCAACGGGTGTCCAGTGGAGCAGCCAGCACCGACGTGCTGCAGGTCAACCAGCTGACTAAGGTCTACCAACAGTTCAGTAAGAAGGTCCCTGCTGTCAACAAGATCTCTGTGGGCATCCCTGCAGGAGAGGTGAGCCTTGTTCCTATAGGAGGAACATAAACTCACACAACACACAATTAATAAAGTCAGCAGCAAATGTAAAACGACATTGTTAAATTAGTGACTATTGTCAACCCCTTTTGACAACAGCATGAACATAATCACCAACAATATCAAGTGTACTGCTTAAGAGTTGAAGATTCTGGTCATGTTGTGCCCAGATTAGTAAATAATTCACTTTACAGTTCGCTGCACTCATCACAATTCACAGTTGAATTTCAAACAAAAGGAAACAGTATTTGTGAGCCCTATTGTCTGCTATAAAAACGACTTACATATAAATAAACAGAAATCAATGCTGGTTAGAGATAAGTAACACCAGGGCACTTTCATCATCCACTGAATGTCAGTCAAAGATTTAATGTTGAATTTCTCTCAGTCTCTTTTCTAACCAATTTCATTCTCATCTTTAAAATGAACAACATCTACATTTATACATGCAACATTCTTACTACAGATAATCTGCAATCAATGTTTTATTTTCAAAACAATTTAGTTAATTTAGCCCCTGCTATAGTGGAGGCGTTGCTAGAGAACATCACATAAAGGTGGCTTTGACAGTAGGAAATACAAGTGTGTTTGTAGTAATATATTGTTATTGTTTGTTCTTATTAAAGTTGTCCAATATGATTTAAAATCATATTCCTCTTTGTGATGGCTGGATAAATGAAGGATACCACCCATGTGTTTCTCTGTTTTCCTTATCTATGGGAACTTAGAGAAATCATAACACTATGGTACTATATAAGGGACAAATGCCTCAGGATTACTGAGCAGTGTGTGTCCAATTACAGTGTTTTGGCCTTCTGGGAGTAAACGGAGCTGGAAAAACGACCACCTTCAAGATGCTGACAGGAGATGTGAGCCCGACGGACGGCACCGCACAGATCAGGGACCGGGATGGGTAAGCTGATCATGAATTCATTCATTATAAACTTCAGCATAGCATGACATCTTAAGAACTTGTGTTTAGTGCCTCTTAACTTTTGAGTAAAAATATCGATTTGTTTTTGCCATCCCTTTACTTCAATATAGTTTACCTTGTATTTATAGTCAGAAATAGATCTTACCTGTACACTGAACACATAAACGTGGCAGGGTTATGTAACAGTACAAAAATGCTAATTTCCCCCAAAATATATTTTATCATTTGTTATGGTTAAAGCTTTATAGTCACTGGCAGCAGGCCATATTCACCCTGTTGCTTTCCCTTCTGTTGACACACTGCATGCCCATTCCTAAATAAATCAAGTTAAAAGTTGTTTACTTAAAATATATTCCTGCCAGCTTGAAAATGTTTTATGAAAATTACTTTAGAGAACACGACAGAAGCAATCACAGCACAAAGATTTGATTCAATTTCTACAGGTGCCCAAGCTACTCCATATAATGAATCCTAGATTAAATTAGCAAATATATATCCACAAATGAGGGACGTTATTGCCTCCCATCAGCGAAGATGTGAACATAAACGATTTGGGTTTTAGCGAGTAGCAGGTGCGTTTCATATCAATATCTCAGAATCTCCTATACAGGTATCAACAACGGTACTTGTGAGCTTCTTTTAAAAGCTCTGTTTTTAAGATGGGTATTCCCAGCAGGCAGCAGAGCCGTAGAGCACCCTACATCTCCATCTGCCCTACACCATGTGCTGGAGACCATTAAAGATAATGCGTCTTTGTCTTTTTCTTCCCCAGGCGCTTGGTAGACATCATGGAGTGCCGAAACGAGGGAATTAACATCGGCTACTGTCCCCAGGTGGATGCATTGGACGATCTGCTCACAGGAAAAGAGCACTTGTACTTCTATGCTCGCATTCGAGGCATCTCAAAGAAGGAGATAGACGGGGTAAGGAAACGCTGCACACTGTGTTTTTTTAAAGCTCGGGGTAGTGACAACAGCATCCACAAAATGACACTGGATCTGATATAAATTCATAGGTGCACCCCCACTGCAGGACTGATAACTGTTTATGCTCCCATGCATATTAAATCACAGGCTAGTGATGAGTGATGTGTGCTGAAAGCTGCACTATCTGGGGCGAAATAGGAAAGCTTTTGTTGTCAGCGCGTGCAAGCCAAACTTCATAATCAAGCTGATGCCATTTGCTTCCATGCACACACATTTACATTTAAACAATACTTTGATGATGAGAGGATCTCATTTGACTTGTCACTTTAGCCCCATTCTTCCATTTATCTTTCTGAGAACTAATCAATCTTGCCTCTGTGGTGATTACTGAGTGTGTCTGTCTTTCACTGCTGCTGCTGCTGCTGCTGCTGCTGCTGCCGACATGAGAGGAACCCACCAGAACAACCAATCACAGATGATGTGATTTCTGATTTTCCATCTCGACTTTTTTCCCCCTCACAAAGAAACAGAAAATAAAAAGTTCTGAAGCGTGTAAAAAATGTGTGGCGGTGGCAAGTCATAATTGTATGCAGAAAAAAAATCTATTTCTCTGTCTCTCTCAACACCATTTTACAACTTTGGTTGCAGAAGCACAAAACATAGATTGGGTCTGACACTCTCAGTCATTTCACAAACAGAATCACACACAGATGTGCAACAATGCTCAGACACACACTTACTTACGCAGATAGTTGAGCACAGAAATGGATCTGTCTGGCTCTAATCGGCAGCACTGCGGTTGTTACAGCTCTTCTTCTCTGGTCAGCACGGTGACAACAATGGTTATAATGGCCACGGCATCGATGTCGGGCTAATTCACAAAGATGAGGATATATATAGAGTTCCTCTTATGTTGTCTCCCGCTGAGAGTCCCCTATCTGTGGATAATGAGACAAGCCTTAATGGGGTCATTTCGCATTGACATGGTTGTGTCAGGCTTAATGAGCTGTAACATCAAAGGTGATAGAAAGCGTCTTTTATGAGTGAACGTTAAAGCAAAAATATGCATACATTTTGATGTTAACCATTCAGGTTCATGCTACATTGCCTGGGTTTATAATACTTAGCTGGTGATACTTTGCATTTGTCTACAGCAGGTTATGTTCTACACCAGGGATGGGCAAATGGCGGCCCCCGCCTCCTCTTTTTGCGGCCCTCAGATTAATTTATGAACAACGTAATTAATTAAAACAAAACAACTGTTTTACCTGTAGTACTGATACCGTCCACTAGACTCCTAGTTACGTTGCGAGCTGCGTACATGATTTAAAATACTAGCGCTGAGGAACAGCAGAGTGCGGGTTGACAGGTGTCTGTGTTGACATTCCCCTTATTGTGGAATAAGGGGAATGCAGAGACTGGTTACAAGTGTCTTAGGTTCAAGTTAGAGAACTAATGTCCGGGTTAGTGTTCATGACTTCATGTTTATGTCATCTTAATGGTTAATCTCAATGCACACACATTTTCCGTGCTTTCCAATAGTTTTATTCCACTGTTAAATAACCTGTTCAATGCAAACATGCCACTTGTACAAATTAAATAACATTTCTGTGAACTGATATTTAGTGAGCTTATTAGAGGATGTTCCCTTTGATTGTAAAATGTCAATGAAGATGTCAGACTTAGTATATTTGTTAATAATTACATACAATACATGGAATTTGTGTGTGTGTGTGTTCCAAGTGAATCTGCGGCCCCCTGGTGGCCAGTACATCAATTATGTGGCCCCCACCACCATCAAAGTTGCCCATCCCTGTTCTACACTGTGCTCTAATAGCCTGGATGAGGGAATTCTATATAAAGGGCTCCACAGAGAAAAAGCAGATAATTAGTTTTTCCCGTCACAATTACATTTTTCTGAGGCTCAACATAAAACAGTTATATGTATAGACCTTTAAAAAACATCCTCTTGTCTTACACCACACAAGTGTTCATATCATTTTGTGGGATGACCTTGATTTTATGGACATGTATCTAGTCACTTGTATAAGCATATACTCTACGCATTGGCTCGCGTCATTGATCTGCTTCCCCAACCTTGCAACTGATAGGAAACAAATAATGCTAAAGCTAACCGATGGATAATCACCTCCAGCTTTTCTGAAAGAACTGCTATTTACAGCTTACTAATGGTTAATAGTTCAGCATAGAGATGTTAAAGCAACTGAAACGGATATGAGCCATTCATTTGTTTGACTCCTGTTTTCAATGAGGTTTAACACGGAGAACAAATTGATACGCACCAAATATATTATGCTGTGTCAGTTCCTTTTCCATAAAGCTGCAGCCCCAGGACAGCGTGGAGCTCAGATTGAATAAAGTCACAAAGTAAATTCATTGTTGGTTTACAAACACAATGAAATATGCATGGGAGTGGGACAGATAGAAACCTCAGTTGATTACATTGCAGCTGACATATTAACAGGAGGCAATAAGAGAAATTAACTTTAAATATCAAATAGCCAATGAGTTGTAGTGCATCCTTTTCAGCTTTTTTGTAAATGCACCTTTCCTGCAGCTCCTCAGTTGTGTGCGTGGTGGTGGTATATTGCAATTCTTTCTCCTGAGAGATGTCCTCAAATTGATAGATTAAAGGGACTGAAAATCACCTTCCTCTAAAGGTCTGGTTTTGTTTCGATCTGCACGAGACACAGTAAGGGGCATTGACTTTCTCCTCATGTGCATGAAACTATAGGGAGCAGCATACAGTTCTATGAAATTGCCTCATATTCCTTTATGGTCCTAGAGCCATGCAGAGCAGCCATTAAACCTACTGACTCCCAGTGTATAACGGCAAAACCATTACATATTTTCTTGAGTGGTTGCGCAGGTCGGAGGTTTCCTTTGCCTTCTTAAGATGAAAACCTAGTAATAAGAAGACAACGTAAATGTAACTACCTTTAATCTCATCCCTACAACACATTCAAGGATAAACTACTATACGAAACAAAAGTCATATAGTCTAACGTCAAACTATTTCTTCTCAAAATATTATTTGTGATGTAATTGCAAGTCATACGATTTTTATTGTTTTAGGAAATGTATACTTAACTTGCATATGGTGTAAAACAAAAGTAGAGATAGCATAATGATGAATCTTGTGTCTTCAGAAAATGACTGACAGAATGCCCCAGCCCCCTAATAATATTTACTACATTAAAATAGGACCAACTATTGTAGTTATACATTTTCTTTACCAATTAAAACTGCAGTCTCCATATAACTGCTTTTGACAGGGGTTCATTAAAACAGAAACAGAAAACAATAATACAATGTCATGTGGACTAATTGATTGACACATTCATTGAACATCTAAGTGATAGCATAAAGCACCTGTGAGATGTGAATAAAGTAAACCTCTGTGATCTGCAGGGATAAGGAAGATAAGAGTTAAACTACTATTATGTTTTATCTTTTCAAACAGTAAACCTTTTTTCTCATGTGATGTTCATTATTTTTGTTCTACCACTGTCTAATCCCCTGCATGTTTTTATTTTAAAAGGTGGTGAACTACCTGCTGAAGAGGCTGGAGCTGAGCTACCATAAAGACATAATTACTGACGGTTACAGTTGCGGCACCCGCAGAAAGCTCTCCACTGCGCTGGCTCTCATCGGACATCCTAAAATCCTTCTCCTGGTGAGGAACCGCCCGTTCTCGCCGCTTTAGCTGCCCATTTAATTGCCTAACCATCCACAAGACAGCTAATATTAAACCATATACTATTGTTCCTCCTGAAAGGGTCTTTGAAGTGAAGTAGATATTGATCCCCAAGCCTTGACAGATCTCATATCTAGTTAATTAGTCTGTTTCCTCGGGCTCACCCAAGGGTGGTCTTCCCTGTTAGCTTTCAACTTTGTTTCTACCTTTTATCTCTATCAAATCCTATCTTCTCTCCCTCTCTCTCCTTCCTGTTCTCAACTGTATCCTTACATTTTGTTTTCTCTGTGTGTCTTCTTAATTTCCCCATCCTCTTGAAGCTTCCCTCTGCCTCTTGTCTCGTCTTCATTTCTTCCCTTACCTTCCCCTTATTTACTTTCCCTGTAGCACTTGGCCTCCCATCTTCCTTGCTTTTGTGCAATTATGTATTTGTGTTTACTCTTTCTTGTTCACCCTGCCCTTGTTTTTCCAACCTCATTGTTTTCCCTTTATGTCTGTGTCGTGATTCCAACCTTCCTTTACCTCTTCCACACACATTTCTAACTTCTCCTCACTCTTCCTCTCTCTGCAGGATGAACCGAGCTCCGGCATGGACCCTCGCACAAAGCGTCACCTGTGGAAAATCATCTCTGAAGAAGTGAAAGGAAAATGTGCCGTGGTCCTCACTTCTCACAGGTTAGCTTCAAATACATACACCTGCTCAGTCACTCATCCCTGATCAAATGCTTTTGTTTTTGAATACACGATGTAAGGATAAGGAATACAATTTCAGGTTATACTGTAGAAAACAACAAGAATAAGCACTAAATGTTATTATTTCTATGTGACCACAGGCACTGCTCATTACTGTATGCTCAAAGGCTCCAAGTGTGACCTTTTATCTTTGTCTCTTTGTCTCTGTCTCTCAGCATGGAGGAGTGTGAGGCTCTGTGCAGCCGTCTTGCCATCATGGTGAAAGGTCAGTTCTGCTGCCTGGGCTCCCTGCAGCACATTAAGAACAGGTTAGTGACCTCTACTCAAACCCCAATTCAGCCATTACCGCTCTCTCCGCCCTGCGCACATAACCTCCTATTTCTCCCTCTCCTGTGGCTCTTTGTGCAACTGAATGCTCAATTTTACTTGTAGCCATGTACCCCCCACCCCTCAGACATGTAATAACAGTGCTTTGTTTGCAAAATCTCCTTTGTGCAGGTTTGGCAGCGGGTTCACTGTGAAGATGTACTTGGCAGAGGCCTCCTGTGACGCTGAGGCAATCACTGTCTTCATGCGAAGTCGATTCCCCAGCACTTATCTCAAGGTGAGTTCTGCCAGCAATCCAAAGTAGTTGCAGGTACTTGGTAGAGAAGAGGGACAAGAATGCAAAGTATACATTGTAGGGCATTTTAGTTGTACGTATGATTCGTTTCCGAGGAACATGTAGGGAGCCTTTGTGGTATTTTGATCCCAGCTATTATTTCAGGATTGAGGTGCAAAGTTTAATTTGCCTATGTTGGCCTGCTCTTCACTATGAATTGTGTTAACACAGAGAGCATATTTCAGAATATCTAATTGCCCCTTCTTTGTCAACACACAGGACCAGCACTCCACTATGGTAGAGTACCACGTACCAACTGCTCCAGGAGGGGTGGCTGACATCTTCGACCAGCTGGAGTCCAACAAGAATGCTCTGCAGATCAAACACTTCTCTGTGAGCCAGACCACACTGGACGAGGTAAGAAAAAGAGACAGGACATAAATAGAGGGAGAGGGGGGGACTAGTGTGCGGCTTTGTAGAGGGTGGGTGGATGGCAGCGAGGGACAGAAAAAAGGGACAGGAGATGAGAGAAGTAAAGAGAGAGGGTAGGAGGGGCAGCAGGGACAGAAGAAAGCTGAGTGGGAGTGAGAGACTGAGTTTGAGAAAGTTTAAAGGAGGGAGAAGGAAACTGACAGAGGGTCTGCCTGAGGGAGGATAAATGGAATATGAGTTGGGGAGAGAATCCGTGAGCTTAATATGCAGCCAGTGCTGATATTCTTCAACTACTCTTCCATTTTGGGGCTTATGGAAGATACCATAAGAAGAGTGAAAAGAGGGGGCGTTGAGGGAAACTGACCAGCAGATTCACTCGAATCGGTTCACAGAAAAATAACTATCTTTTATATCGGACTGACAGTTACATTGTTCCTGCACCTTCACAGGTCTTCATCAACTTCGCCCTGGGAACCATCACCATGGAATCCATTTCACTGAACAGTGAAGACGGATCTGATGACCTGGACTCCATCAAGGCAGTAGACATTTAGAAACGACTGCCATCTTTTCCTGCTTTTTGTCTGTCTACTGTGAAATGAAATACCATTTGTTTAAAGTAAATCTTCTCTTAATATATATGGTGAAACAAATAGTTAATGTTTTACAAATACTGATTATTTCTTGAAAGTGTCATGACTGATCACATACACGGTAACATACATGTTTATACTTAGTCAATTAAAATGATAATGTTAACACAAGCGCAAATATAAAATGTTGATTAATGAAGTTTCCTGTCTAAATGGTTCGCACCTGTTTACCTTTATTCTTTGGATCTCATTATTTATGAAGGATAACATTATATGTGTAGGCTATTATTTTATCTTTGTGGTTTGGGCATTGTTTAGCAAATGAAAAACACTGTATTTACTGTGGGGGAAACTTCTGTGTAGCAATGCAGTGGGAGTCACCGACTCATCATGAAGGAGACACAGGAAGAGCAGGAGCTTTGATGTTAAACACTGATGGTTTATTTAGGAGGTTCGGCCGGAGGGTTCACATCACAAGTCCAAGAGCCAGAGGTTCTGACTTCACGGTAGAGTTGCCACGTCAAATCTGAAGAACTCTACCCCAGACCCATGTATTTAGCTAGTTCAGAGAGAATCATCAACATGCTGCATAACAAGAGAGAATCATAATACCTCTATCAGCTGACGCCAACAGGCAGGAACAGGGAGACAGAACACTGAGAGCACAGCAGCCAAGGTTACAGGTGTGTGTGCTCAGTCAGGACAGTTTGAACTGATAAACTGGGTCAAAGTTATGGGCCTTGGAAAATATTTCCCCAACATTTACTATTAAGAATAATTTTCATTTGAATGTAATTTTGGAAAAACTGAATTTACATAATCTTAAAGCAATCACACAATAAATATACATATTGTATACAAATGTTGTATATTATTTTAACACTTATATACATGTTATTGTGCCTACTGTCAAACGAACATCCTGAATGTGGACTTTTTTCATGCCTATGGACCACATTTTCTTAATGTACCCTGCCTATTTTTACTATTCTAATAAATCTATTTTCAAATGCAGCTGCTGTCTTTAGCCTATATTGTACATATTTCACTTATGAATCTTATACATATTAGATTTGTACCCCTATGGTAGACCTGCCACCTCAGTCTAGCTGATTTGTTATGTTTTGAATATGACTCCAATGAGATTTTCATTTGGCCTTTTTAAATGCGGTGAACTTTGGGTCCAAGGGCTCTCTGTTTTGGGCCAGAGTATACAAATGTGATAGAGCCCACTTTATGACATTACATTACATTGTATTTAGCTGACGCTTTTATCCAAAGCGAATTACAATAAGTACATTCGACCAGGAAGACACAACCTTGAAGAAAACAGAATCATATAAGTACATCAGGTTTCATAGAGCCAAAACATTAAACATTAAAACTGATCTTGGAGTTTACATAAATCGGTACCACTTTACAATAAGACTACCCTTATAAAGGATTCATAAAGGGTTTATAATTAGGTTATGAATTAGGTTGTAAACACTTTATTAATCATTAAGAACCATTTATAAACCAGTTATAACATAGTTTTCATACATCAACACAGGCTCACTATTTGGCAAGATGACTAAGCCTTATAATGGCTACTTAGCGAGAATCAACTCAGTGAACAACAGATACCAAGGATGCTGGCCAGGGCTGGCCCTGACCAATTTGCTGCCCTAGATTTTGTACTGTCATATAGTATTTTATACCTGTTTTTCATCTATTCTCTTATTTTTTTATAACTATAATGATCATATAAAGGTGTGCCTTTACCCAGGGCCGTATCCAGGATTTCCTAAATACCGAGGTCCAAACATGCTAGGGGGGTTTGGGGGATACCCCCCGAGATTTTTGGGATTTTCATGATCTAGTTATGGTGCTTTTTAAGTCCTATGGGGGGTCACAAATTGGATAATATATCGATTTCAAACCATGTCAGTGGGCTGACAATGTCAACATCAATTATTTTGAAAGTGTAATACATAATAAGAATCAGTTGATTGTTACTATTAATGATCTGGACATGCAGAAGAGGCTAAAATGATCACAAAACATTGTCAACATCAGTGGCGAGCCTTGACTTTTATACCTAGGCCCTCTGACCCCCACCCCTTCCCTCGAGTTATTACGTCACAGCGTATACTTCAGCGGAATATCAAAACAACGGCCCGGGGTGCAAAACGCATCAATGAAAGCGACCCTCTACCACACAAAACAACACCTGTAAATAACCCTATTTGTGTTCTTTGAAATTGAAAAGGATATTGCATTGTGTTTGTTACTTTCGTTGCAGTTGTATGTCTTAGGTGTAATTTGGCATGCTTTTATTTTGAAGGCGAGTTAACGCTGTTGACAGGAAGTTGTTGTTGCTATGGAAACAAGAAACGTTTCACAGCGGGCGGAACTTGTCATAAAGTCCGTGATAATAACACCCACCCATTTAGCGGGAAGATATGATTGGTCAATTGCACTGTCATTTGACATTACTCTCTCGTTCAGTTACTATAGCGGGGCCCTCTGAATTCATAGCTGGACCGCCTGGACGTCCAACAGCTCCTCTCTTCACAGTAACTTGCAGAGACGAGCTTCTTTCATTTAACTCTTCACATTCCAACATAAACTGAATAGGCAGATTCGAAGTATTTATTTCTTTGGAATGTTATTTTAATTACAATTAAATCAAGTTATTTTGGTAAAACTAATGAAAAATATAACTAAAAAAAAAATATTAAAAAAAATATAATTTGTTTTAATGTTTTTAAATATTATTTTGTAGAATATCTTAGGCCCTCACAGAGGGCCCTGACGGCTCGCCACTGGTCAACATTCATTTTCCATGTCTCTCTCCTTTCCATAACCTACAGCCTCTCTTCCATCTTCTTGAGTCTCTCTGTCTTCTTCCTGTTCATTACTCTCTCTGTCCTCTACGCTTTCTCTTTGTTCAATCTCTCCCTCGTTGTTCACTTTTTGCTCCTCTTCACTTGTCGCTCCTGCCAGTGAATCAAAAGCAATTCAGCAATTTAGTTCATTTCACTTGTTTGTTTGCATTCTTTTTTTATTTAAATCTGTTTTGTTTGATTCTCAAAAGAGAACAAAGATGTAAGCAAATTGTGTTTTATACAATTGTATGTTATTATGACATCATAACTGCAATAGATGTATGTTTTAAAATTATGCCTATTGTAAATGAAGACTATTGTTATAGATAAATAGATAGATATGGGGTTGTTAAGCCTACATTATTTTTGTGTGACTATACCTGCAGTTCCTCCCTGACTTCCATCACTTTCACTCTCTCTATTTCTCTCTGCCTGTCCTGTCTCTTCCTTACCAAAGCTGAGCTTTGACTGACGTAGTCTTTTCATTATATCTGAGTCAGTGTAAAAAGAAAACAATACAATGTTATATCTTCAATGTTTTACTCAAATTGAAATAAAAGAAAAGCATTACAACGTTTGTTAAAAGGTAATCCTTCTGACATTGGATGAATGTAATTAACTTTAGCTCTCTAGCTAGTTTATTCACGCAATTTAAACCAAAGTATAGCCTATATCTGCAATATAAGTTAGTGTGCATGTTGTCGGACGTCCACTGACTAACGTAGAGCGTTCACACAGGATCTGCTGGTCATAAGATGTCCTGATGAACAGAAACACAAGCAGCCCGCTGGACTCAGATCTTTAGATACCTCATCACTCCTCCGCTGCTCCGGTACAAGTCCGGGCTGCGGTGATTTGTTGATACATGTCGTCTTCTTCTGTTTGCTTTAATCGAGGCTACGTAGTTATGCAGCGCCCCCATGGTCAGTAAATGGAAGTACTACAAAGAACCCCGTTTAGTGCAATTATTTCACAAGTTTTGTTATACACAGCTCGGAAAATATTACCGAGGTCCGGACCTCGGTGACCTCAATGGTAGATACGGCCAGGCATGCCTTTACCTCACTGAGCTGAGGTTATCAGAGCCGCTCAGTCTTTCAGCTCTCCCCCCCACGGCCGCTTACACAGTACATTCCAATGTTAATAAAAGCACACAGAAGCTGTATACGTTTTTTGGGTGTTTGATTTATTTTAAATTAACACCCACACAAAATTAAAACCTATAATTGCACACTAAAACCATTATTTAAAAAAAAAGAACAATTGCACATAAACCTCTGGTTTTTACTGGGGCTCGGCCGAGCCGTTTTTTTTTTTTAAATGTCTCACTTCTTCTTTTTTTCAATTTTTGGCGCCCCCGATGGGTTGATGCGCCCTTAGCATTCACCTATACTGCCTTTGCTAAGGGACGGCCCTGATGCTGGCTGATTAAGAAGAAAGTAAGCTAAGCAGCCAATATAAGACTTAGCAGTACAGGTAAATGTGGGCTCACTATTTGGCAAGCCAGTTCTTCAACCACAGTTGCCCTGTTTATCTCATGTCTTAAAAGCTTATTAATGATTTATTTCCAGCCGGCTCTTTCGGCTCCCAAACGGCTCTTCAGTTTACCACATATTATACCTTTTATAATTAAATTAAATGTAGCCCTGTTTTGACTAATGATTTATAGGCTATCTGTACACATCATGGTACACATATCACTTAAATTATTCAATACATCCTTTGTACTGAAGTATTATAACTGGAATCACAGGAAAACTGCCAATCAAACTGGTTGTAAGTTGATATTCCAAAAATATTTGACCTTACCTGTTCATAAACACATATAGCTTATTTCGTCAAACATTTGTGCTAACTAACACGTAGTCTTATTGTAAAGTGGTAGGCTACCCATACATCTGGTTTCACAATTGTACATTCAAGCTAATTCAAAAAGGCTACAAGAAAAAAATAAAACTGGTTAATACATTTTAAAAAATCCGACACTTGATACAAACGAACAAGGATTGTTTGATGTCATTAATATATATTTGCATTTTATATATTTTTATTGCAAACCGCACCGGAACTTGCGTCATCTGACTTCCGTAAATCTTTGGCGGGAGATGCAAGTATACAGGAAGCATACTCGGCTTGTTGTGCAAGCTTGAGTAGGTAGGTAGCAGAATAAAAACAAAGCAGACACATACAATCCTTTGATAATGGATAATGTCGTTCCTACACAGGATTGGAAGAACACTAAGGAGGCGGTTGCGAACTTTCGACAGCTTCTGCTTTGCTCCAAATGGTAAGTTTACGTTAAAGTTACTGTAACGTAGAAGTGATGTAACGCTACCTTCGGGAGGTAATGTAGCATCATTGTGTTGCCTAAAGGTAAACAAAGAATAAACACACGTTACAACTAGTCGATTAACCTACTGTAAAACCATAGAAGACGATGCCTACTCTATGCTCAGCACACGTTTAAGTTGTCAACGTCCTCACCTCATTGTAATAACTTTAATTGAAGCGTTTTCTATGGGCAGAGCACGGTGAATAACGTGCGCGTTTGTGTCTGCTAAATTAAAAACAAATTATAATGTATTATTCAGAGTAGGGTTGTACAAGCAAATTGCAGGTTAGATTTAAGTTATATGTTTGACATTACTCAATTCCCCCCTCTCAGTTTCATATTATAAAAAATGATAAACATGTTCATGTTATTAGGATATTTATGCTGCTGTTTATTGAAAAGGAAATATCTTATTTTTGGGAAATAGATGCATGATATTGTTACAACACTGGAAAGAAAAGTCACGCCTCTTTTTTTATTGGAATTTTAGTGCTACTTTTATTTAATCTGAATATTTAAATGAAAAATATCTCATTGTTTTCAAAGCCTACGGATATCTTTTTATGTAAAACAATGCTTTAAGTTATTAAAAAGTCGTGTTTTTTCCGAAAGGTTTCATGTTATGTGACCGAGTGACTACAAATGAATGCAGAACTAACATACATACACATGACAGCACTACACATAGCCTACTCATCGGTTTGGCCTGAGGAGTGAAAAGATGGCTTTTTGTGCAAACGAAACTGCACTTAAAATAAAATTGTGGATATTAGAATTGAATAGTTAGACTACAGTAAATACATGCAGAAAGG